CTCGATGTATTGTTTCCATTGACTCCTATAAAATGTTATGACATTTTTAGCTCAAAATGATTTCCCTCCTGAACTGAATTTACCTTTTTACTGGGCTCAGTGTGTCCCGGCGAAATTGAGTTTTATGTTGAAATGTCTTTTTATTGTGAAAGTTGTAAATGGCAGCAATATTTCTCGTGTGCTAAATTGAGGCTTTGTATGAGGAATATTGTTACAGGAATGTGCATCCTAGAGGTTTCAGCACTGAATGAGCTCAGTGAAGCAGATCGTGTTGTATGCAAGTGTGTGGCATAAGGATAATGTCCTACTTTCCAATACAGACTGCTGAGAACTTCCCTGGAGTTTTGGTTGTCTGGCCCTTGCAGAAATACTGCACTGCAACAGGACGTGCATTTATTGGCATTCAAAAGATCTGATTTGAACTGATTCAGATGATGGTTCAATAATATAAAATCAGATTCCTAGGAAAGATCAGTAAACTGCTTTATTCTGTCACTGCCAGATTAATCATCACATTGTGTCAGTAATAGTCAGTGGACTTGGCAGCAGTGTCTTGGCTTGTATCTTATGGAGGCTGAAGACACTTCTTTTCTGATGGTAACCCTCTCTGGATGCAATTGTGCTGCCTCAATTTATCTTGAAGCATTTCCACCTAATGGAAGGCTGCTGTTAGCACCCACCACCTAAGCTAAAACGGGTTGGCTTGAAGCAATGGTGTGGTAGTTTCTGCCGCTTGTCTAGGTAGGTTTTTGGGCATTGAGCGCAGCAAAGGCAGTGTTTTACTGGCTGCGATTGGCTGTGACTTGGGAACAAATTGGCATTGCTGGCCAAGCGAGACATTCCCTGGAGATTGGAGGAAACTTTGGGGAGAAAGAAGTTGCAGATTGTGTGATATATGAAGTGTACGTACGCAAATTTGCTGCCTTGGGGTCTGCATTGCATGGTACAACCTGGGATGATGCCAGGCGCCAGCAGCATCTGGCTGCTTGAGAACAAATTCAGTTTGATGTGGTTGTCAGGTAGTTTGCAAGCTAAATGCGGCATGAAATGTTCTTTCACAGTGAATTTGAACACTTCATTCTATTTTACAAACTAGTAATGAAAGTTGAGCCCATAACGTTTCAAAATTGGCACCTTCCATTCTCTTGTGTTGCTCGTAGTTAAATCCATTAATATATTCAAACAATTGCCCTTTACAGCCAAACCAAGATTCATCTCTTCTATACAATTGATATAATTTATTTGAGCATTTAAAAGTTGTGTTTTTTTTTAAAAAGTGTCCTGTTTCCTTTAGGAGGATGTTGGATGTGTAATAATAAATTGTTAGCTCAATCCACGACTGCTTGTGGGACATTGCTGTGATAAAGTAACCAAAGTAAGAGAGCTATTCCTAATTAACTGGAGTGACTCGTTGCCACATTGTACTTGCGCAGTCCAGTGTGAGAAGCTACGAAAAGTGGAGTCCTGTTGCGTAATGGCGTTGTTGCTGGCTGCTTGACTGGAGGGTCTGTAGTTCTGTGGCAGTTGGATGCCAACAAGTTCAGCTGTCTCTGTGCTCTTCATTCGCTTCTTTGTGCTCCAATGCACAGTTGGCTTTGCTCCAGTCTAAGTGCGAGGTAACGGCTATACAACTGGTGTGGTAAAGTCAAACTTTGCAGGACGAGCTGTGACTGAACTAAGCTGATATCTCAAGTCAGTTGACACCTCGCGGTTGCTAACGCTCCACCCTCTCGGGCCAACTGATGTTCTGTCAGATTGCTGGTTAGACAGCACTGCTTGAAAGGGTCTTAATGTCTTGACATCTTACATGAACAAGATGGAAGGCATTCACCTTCCTTGATTCCCTCAACCTCCCTGGCCTCTCTCAATCTCAGCGAATCCTGTACACACCTTAGCATATAGTTTGATCTTCAAGTCCCTTTGCTTCCTCACATTTGGTCTCTGATCAAAACTGTTTCTTCACCTTTGTCATGCCTCCGCCTGTATCTTGCATGAAACCAAAGAAGTGACGTCCTGACACTGAGCAGCTAGTACCACCCACAGATAATCAAGATGGGCCATCTTCTTAACCACATTATTCAGGCATTAACAAAGCTTTGGCAACATTTTGTGAGTAGTTTAGCAGAATCTAAGGGAGTTGATATTTGGTCTCTCCTTTGGATTGAGGAGACTGCATCCTCTGAGATAATCTTCACCTTGTCCATGTGGTAAATGAACTTAAGGAACCAATGTACTAATATTGGCACCTTGGCCCAGTTTTATACACAAAAGTCATGAGGCTAGTAGAATCTTCAAGCATGACGTGTGTTTACTTGATTTAAACATTTTAGTGTGCTTGTTTTGTTAGTATCCTGAACTGCTCAAGGCTATGTTCTTCAAGTGTTACATTAGCAAGCGTTGTTAAGGATTAACTAGCACTTCATTGCATTCATATTTCAATTGATGACAGTATTTCTAAAGGACTTTTTTTCTATTAACGACATTTTGTCGATTGTATTAATTTCAATTCAGCAACAGCTTGTCAGTTGGTGGTTAACACTGTTGGCCAAAATGTCTAATCTTTTTCCTTCCTTAACTGGTGAAAATAGTTACAGTCTACAAAAAACAGGCACTACAGTACTGTGTAACCCTTGCATAAGATGTATTGAATGGTGTTTGTAGTGGGGAAAAGTAATTGAAGTGATAGAATTGAGTATTGTCACAGAAAGCATTTAGTGACTTAATTATATTTTTCCTTAAAATTCATGAATATAAACATGCTAAATAACCTCATGACAATAGGTTTCACTGTCCACATCTTATCTTAAACATTGACCTATATATTTGGATGTTTTGGACATCGTACCTTGAGGAATTGTTGAGCCATTGCTTAGGCAACTGAAAGGGACTGATTTTGGAACCTAAAATCTTTGAACTGGAGATCTGAACTGGAGAAAATATTGAGAGCAGAGCTAAGCAGGTTTTTAGAAAGTTGAGATCAGTGGATGGTGTAGATGCAGATAATTTAATTTGACCTAGAAGTGAAGCATGGAGGTATAAAATTAATGAGCCTTGAGCTAGATTTGAGATTACAGTGAACATTGGGTACGTGGCATATTCTTCTAGCAAAAGCAGTTGTGGATAGTTACCTCAAAATGGTTGATAAATATCTAACTCCAAATGGGATTGAGGGTTATAAAGGATAAATACAAATTGATTGAATGATGTGGATAAGGTAATGGATTCTGAGCTGCTGAAATCATGGACATGTTGTGGAAGGTAACCATTCAAGGGTAAATAATGAATGATCTAAGGCGAGCTATTCTGGAGATGTTGCTTCACGTACAGATATGGGGGAGAAGAGAACTTTGAAACATTTCCTCCAATTTTAAATGAGCTGGTCAAGCCTATGGTTAAGTAGATCGTAGTCTGAAAGGAACTGGCTTGATCAAGCTAATAAGTATTTCTTCCAGGTTTCTGTTCAGTGTTTGTCATGGCAGCTGAAAGATGGACTCATAATTTGTAATGTCTGTGGTTCTAAGAAGCAGTAAAACGAGTGCCAATCTGTCAGTGGTCCCTTTGTGGAGCTTGGGTTCATCGTTTGGATGGTACCTGGATAATTATAAAGGCTTCTCTCGACATACGCATATCAACATTGTTAAAATGAACTGATGTCTAACCAATCTTACGACCTCAACTGGGAACTGCAAACAGCTGGTGGCAAATCTTTAATATTAACCCATCAGGAGATCTGATCCTACAGGACAAGCAGATGCTCAATTAGAGTGTAGTTAGTGCTTGACCTTTTTGTACACGTTACTGAAATGCTACACCGTACCTCCTAAGACCTTTTTGCTCTCCAGTGGTTCAAATCAAGCATGTTTGTTCGTCTGTGTTCAGTCTGAATCAAATGCTGTGCTCTGCATTTTAGCATGCATAACCAGGGAGAGTAGTTAGAGATCCATTTATGTTGGACAGTAGGTTTCTTTCTCTCTTTTCCCCCCACCCCCCACTGATGTCCATGTTGTTGGTTCATGTGAGACGATTTTTTAAAAAATTAAATAGATTTAAGGGAAGCTCAATAAGACTTGTCACTTTCCATTTGCTTTGATTGAAGATATGTGGGATTGTCACAGCAGGAATATATCCATATGCATTTTTACTAGTGGCTGAACATCTGAATTATGAGTTCAAATGGGTTCAGCCTTTGTGAAATCACTCACAGCTGATCATTTATTTTTTTCTATGAGACAAACAGCTGCTTCCTGTAGCTGGCCTTCAGATCAGCTTCTTCAGAGCATTCTTTGTGGTGTGGTATATTTAACACTATAATACTTAGTTCATGAATCTCTTAATGAAGGTCTCCACAACGTAATAAAGTGCTGCATCAAATGCAAGGATTATTATTTACAAAGGGGATACATTTAATAAACTTTGATTTCGGATGAGGTTTTAAGCATTGGATCAAAATATATTATTTTTCCATATTATGAATCAGAAGGTTGTAGGTTCAAGTACCACAATGGGACTTTGAACTTGGCTGGCACTGTGGTGGAGTGCGAAGGGAGCACCACATTGTGGGAGATGCTGTTCTTTGAATGAGATGTTAAACTGAGGTCTTATCTGCCTGTTCAAGTTCATATTAAAGATCCACAGCATTAGTCAAAAAGAAGGGAGTTTCTCCTCTTCTGATCAATGATCCCTGTGTTGGCTGCTGATTTTGACTACAAATGCAGTCACTACATTTCATAAAGTATTGTGAAGCTCTTTGAGACATGTTGACAAATTGTTCATTCAGTTCGTGGCTGTTTTTGTGACAAATTGACTGTTGCTCTCACTTACAAAATACATGGTCACTACACTTCAAGTAAATCCTTTGATGCGCTTTGAGAAATCCTCCTGACGTGAAAGGCGCTATATTAAATGTACTGATTGTTATTATAACAGCCTGACTGTTTAAAATCTGACTGGTTCAGGCACTTGACAACTTAAGTAAAATTTTATTTCCACTCTTTTTACAGGTGGATGATGAAATCTCTTCTGGCTGCAACCATGTAAGTAATTAAGTCTTTTCACTATGACACTGCTGGTACTTGTGCATATGTGTGAACTAAGTGCTTGTTGTTATTGTTGTGTTTGTGCTTCGTTGGAAAGTTCTTAGATGTTGGTGTCCAAACCTGATGCTGCTCTGACTGAGTGGAATTGCAAGCTGTAGAAATATTAAGTTTTTTTAGAGAGGAATATAATGCAGAATACCTACAGAGCACATGTATTCCAAAATAAATCCCATTAAATCAACATGCTAACTGCCCTGATTACACAGCACATGTTGGTAAGACAGCCTAGTCGGTTGGCAGGAAGGCAATCCTCAGGAAAAATTTCATGCAAAAATTGTCGTGAATTTTTGGTCGGAAGCAAAAGGAGAGCAAGTCTGTGCTAACCAGTAACATTTTAAAAGCGTAAGAGTAGAGAGACTTGGGGATTAAAGTACATTCATCTTTAAAGATGAGATGTTCTTGGAGAGCAGTTAAGAGTATTGTATTCAGTTTTCCTCACCCCACTTTAGGAAGCTTGGAGATTTACTCGGTTGAATCCAGGGATGAATGATTTGACCTATGAACTGGGACTATTTACACTGGAGTGCGAAAGGTTGAGTGCAGGCCCAATAGAGGTCTTTTAAATTGAGGGATTTGAGTCAATGGGGGAAAATTATTTCCACTGGTTGGCGAGTCAGTAACTAAAAGGCATCACTTTAAGATAGTTAACCACTCAAAAGGGGAGATTCAGTAGAATTGTTTTTAATGTGAGTTGGTAGCATGTGGAATGCCCTGCCACTTGCGGTGGTCAGACCAGAGTCCATATTATTTTTTAGTAGGGAACTAGATCAATATCTAGAAAGGAGCAATTTGCAGGAGTACATGGAAAGAGTCGGGAAAAATGGAACAGCATGGCTTGCTTTTTCAAAGAGCTAACATTTGCCCCCCCCCATTCTCTGCCATAAATATCTGGTGCTGAGAGGAGAAAGGTATTATCATGATTTTTCTTTTAAGAAACTGTAGGCTAAAGGCAGTGTTGGGTACAGCACTAAACCACCATGGTTTTATGGAGTTGGGGAAAGGAACAATTGAGTTAGACATAGCCGTGCTTGCTTGAGTTTAAAATTCTGTTGATTCTTGAAGGAAGGGAACACAAAGGTGGTAAGGAGTACATGTTTGAGGTCCTGGGTAAGATCAAGTTTGAATACAGATAGGCCACTCAGTCTTGATTTTAACTGTCAGCATACAGTGTGTAAAGGGGCAACTTGGTAGTTCAGAGAAATGTTGAGTGTAGTTGTATTAAGATGAAGAAAAACTAGAGAGGTTGGAGGTGACGAAGGGTTTTTTAATCAAACGATGTACGTTATATATTTTGCTCAGAAAACAATTACACAGTGGGGCCAAAAATGCATAGGAATGAGGGTTCCCTTGTTGTGAAACTGATCCATATATTCCTTTACTGTGGGAAACGAATAGTATGTCCCAGGGCCTTTGGACGTCCTCCTGACATAAAAAGCGCTATACAAATGTAATTTGTTGTTGAAACAAGATCCATAATCTCTCAAATACCATTTTGCTCTTTCTGAGAACAATGTACTATTCTTTGTCTCTCTGTCTATTCTCCACTCAACTAGCCCAACATATTGCTTGTGCTGTGATATGAGGTACACCTTGCTCTGATCCCTACCATATTTCTCTTGCCCAAGCTTTGATACACTAACTGGTATTAGTTTGCGCTTCCTAGGATTACATGTTCCTTCCCTCGTTTGAGAGCTGAGGTGAGTTACTCCAAGTAGCACCAGTTGGTTTCAGCACCACGGATTAGAGAAGAAAAATTGTCAGCCAGGTTTTCCACTCTAACTTTCTGATGAATATACTTGTGGTCGTCATTGGGAGAAGACAGGATTGGGCTTGGCTGTGATTTTTTTTTTTTTTTCGCTTGTGCTCCCCATTCCTGGTCGCTGTCGAGGTCAAATCACTTGACAAAACTATACGCCTTCTATATGAATAATTGCCAATTCAGCAAGGCATCATGGAGTGTCTGTTCTGGATTACACGAGGAGCGAAAGTGAGCCAAATGCCTTCAGGGGAAAGAGAAGATAATTGATACAAAAAATGGAATGACTCGATGTATATTTTGGGGTTAGCGGTGAGATGTCTGAGTGAATTACGTTCTGCTTACTGAGATGTCGATCTTTCTGCTGACGGTCAATGATTTTGGTGTGGGGGGAGAATGGTCGTAATCACAGTAAAAGAGGAGGGTCTGGAGACAAATCTTAAAGGAGGGAAGAGGGAAGTTGATGGGATTCCAGGATGGAGTTCCAGAGAATGGGGCAGGTGTGCTGAAATCCCGACTGCCGATGGTGGGGCAGGGAAGGTGAATACAATATTTATTCTATTTTAATAAATTACTTAACACAGACTCTGCATGTATTCAATCTCTTTCCAGCTCCTGTGGAACTACAAGCTGAACCTGACTACAGACCCTAAATTTGAGGCTGCCGCTGGAGAGGTTTGCAAAAGCACGCTTAGCGAGGTGAGTGAATTCTCCGTGAATTTACAGAATGCAAACATCTACTTCACCAAGTACAATAGAGCCGGAGCTGTAATGTTATTCCTGTGGATGAGATGCATTTTCTATACTACCAGGTTTCTCTGAAAAAACTAACCTGACAATAAACCTGTGCTATTGATTCACTGACACTCCCAACCCCTAACCTTTTGTCCATTCATTTCTGATATGTGTTATAGGTTTTTCAGGATTTCATAAGGCAAAAGGAGTACTCTCGGAGTGCTATAAATGTCAGAACAGCGATATTCTGGCTGCATTTTCATCCTTCCAGAATTTACTCCTGACCTCATTTTGCTACATAAGGTTAATGGGGCAATGTTATCAGTTTAATTTTTAGAAATGTCCACACTCACATTCTGTTCAGCAAAGTAAGATGGTCAGGACTTCAGTAAGAGTTCATATTACTGCTATCAGGATAGACAGGATAGGTTAGGCCTTTTTTCACTAGAAGAGAGACATTTAAAAGAGGGCCTAATAGAGGTGTTCAATAATAATGAAAGGATTTGATAAGGTTATCATAAATAGGCTGTTCCCACTTGTTCAAGGATTAGTAGGGGACACAAGACAATGACTTCTAAAAGATAATTCAGCAGAAATTTCTTTACGTAGAGGGTCATGAATGAAGCATGGTTGAAACAGATAGTTTAGATGCACTTAAGAGCAAGCCAAATGTACACATGAGGGATTAGAAGGGTTTAGGAGGGAGTATGTGTACTTATGTAAAATATAAACACTTGCATAAAAAGATTGGCCTGATTACCCTATTCCTGTGAGATTTACATGGATAGAGTTTCCTCAACACTATAGATGGAGGGATTTTAGAAGAGGGATACGGGTGCATGTTTAGTGCAAAATGCCTTAGGTCCCGGAAGGGTTAAATAGACTCTACCTGTTTGAAGTAAAGTAGTCACCAAGATTTGTTGCTGCACTTACATCAGTTTAATGGTAATGATCTGTGCAAATACCTACCACACCACAGTTATCGATGAGGCTCATTTTTTGGTGTTTATGCACAGATATAGTTTCAAGAAAAGCATGAAAGCTGGTCAAAAGATGTTACTTAGAAACTTTTTTAGAAATAACCTTGAAATTGGGTGTGTTTTACTTTTGAAAATGATCCCTTTCAAGGAAAGATCATATTCAGTCTCCGACTTTTTATTTAAGCGCTGTCCTGCTATGACTCTTTCATCATTTAAACAGAGCCTGCCATATTTCACAGATTCTTAATGTCTGTAAAAACACAGCTCTAGTTATAAATATCCATACTCTTAATCTTCAAAAAGTGAGTGGCCATCCATTGTACAGCAGTGCACTCAGCTTCTTGACCTTGCTTAATCTGGTTTAAAATCAAATTCTGTTGTGTGTACTTTCCACAAAGCCCTTGATGTAATTTAGTGGTTCCTTGGCCTGATGCAATGAGAGTGCCAATGTGTTTCCCCACCCATCTGGGTCTCTGAAATTCTGGTATTGGTTATACCTAGCGCAGTACTTCTTGCACATCAGCGTTCACACAGGACACAGTCAGTCTCAGGGACAGGTTCTTGCCTGTTGGCAGGGTAAAAATATTCTCTGATTGGCAGAGGGTGCTGTTGATTGGTGTGGGAGGGTGGGTTCTTGTTTCTGGTGCGCGGCAGGGGTTGGGTTCTTTTTCATCTCTCTGTTGACGGGTACATTATGCAGCAGTTCCTTCTTCTTCAGCACATTGCCCATTTGTGGAACCTCCGTGTGACTGATTCTAATGAATTTGGCAAAGAGATGAAGTTTATACAGTGAGTCCTCACGGTTTCTCCATCTTGCTTTATATGTTGCGCGCGAACACCACATTAGATGGAGAAATTTTAGAACAGGGATGCAGGTCCATGTTTAGTGCAAAATGTCTTTGGTGTCAAAGGGGTTAAAACAGAATTGATCTATTTCAATTAAAGTTGTTGTCAAACCTCTGGATGATATTATATGGCTCGAAGGAAATGGAATTGCAAAAGTTATGAATAGTGTCACATTTTAAGTGCTTTAGAACATCCTCTTGATGTGTAAAGCGCTGTATAAATGTTAATTTGTATTCTAACATTTGCGCATGCATAAAACCTATTAATTCCTCCTTTCCCTTGTCCAGATGAAAGAGTGTGCCGAGCAGGAGCGAGGGAAAGGCTACATAATTTCTTGTTTGGTCGATCACCGCGCAAACATTTCCGAATACCAGTGCCGGCAGTTTGTTACCAAAATGACGGCCATCATATTCAGCGACTACAAACTTATCTGTGGCTTCATGGACGCCTGCCGGAACGACATCAACACCTTCAAGTGCGGCAGCATTCGGCCTGGTGACAAGGTACAGCTCTACCTGCTTGGTTAGAAATGCCCCTCATTTGTATTTTCCCTGGATTGGTGCTGATTTCCTGCAGGTAGTTAACACTGCAGGCTTCTGACAATCATAAATTGGAACAGGAATTTGAAAAGGAAACATTTGCAGTGGCATGGGACAAGAATAGGGGAGTGGGACTGATTGGGTAGCTCTTCCAAAGAGACAGCACAGGTACAATGGGCCGAATGACCTCCTTCTGTGCTGTAATATTCTATGATATATTGTGGTTAAAACATTAGATAATTTTAAAACATTAGATAATAAGTGCGGGTTGTCAGACAGCTGTTGACTAGGTTGCTTCCTTTCCAAAGTATATGGGAAGTGAAGGTGGTGACCCACAAATTGGACATTAGCGTCAGGAAGTGGCTGGTACCTGCATTGAGTCACCTTATCACGGGTTTTATCCCTGTAATAGTATGAGAATAGCTAAAACTGCAATTGGTTTTAATTGCTTGGTGTAATGTCTAATCTAATTCCTACTGTACTCCAGCAAGGAAAGAGTGGCAGACTTTCCAATAATACTTTGCCCTTTGACTTTAATTATCAGGTTGGCACAAAGTAAATTATCCCTTATAGGCATAACTCCGATTTAAATGGTTTGACAGCTCAGTGAAGTCTGAAAACAAATGGATCACTATCAGCTTCTCGGTTCATTTCAAAATCTTGTTCTGAGCTATATTTTAATATGCTCCACTTTTTGTCTTCTCTCGCTTTTCTTCCCCTCCCCCTTTCCCAACACAAAAGTAAACTTCCGTGACCCAATCCGAGTCTGAGCACCCAGCAGCTCGCGTCTCTGTAAACAATAGTGATTGGTATGGTAGAAATCGCTGACTGGGGTGCCTTGTCTTTCCGCAACCCTCCTCCCAGGCACTATATCAAATGCAAGGATTCTTATTATAATAATATAAATGATAATAATAATCCTTGCATTTGATATAGCGCTCTTCATGTTTTCCAGATATCTCAAAGCGCTTCACAGAATATACTGTAAAAAGTGAATTGACTGTATACTTGTGGGCTAAATGCGGCAGCCAATTGCACACAGTAGTGTCCCACAAACAGTCGTGGATTCAAGTGATCAATTTATTATTGATTTTCTTGAGTGATTATTATCAGGTGTGTGGAGTAAGGAAACTTGCCCAAGGTTGCGCCCAGCCAGGATTCTCTCGAAATGGAAGTGTTTTGGGCATTTATTACTTGTGTGTTAATCGTGAGCATGATTGCTGTGCGGCAGTAACCCTGAAAAGACTTGAACTTGTTTATGTAAAAATTTAGTGGAGCAGAGCCACCTTTTTGCTGCCTTTCATAATATTTGTTTCTCATTTGTTTGGCCAGATTGAAGTTACTGGAACTGTTCTTGGATGCACTGGTAGTTGAGATCCTCATTGCTTGTGTGCCGTTGAAAAACAAAATGGAAATAATAGAATATTCCAGCACAGAAGGAGTGTCTGCTGGATGATGCTAGCATGCATACTTTTAAAACGAGGTGACCTTCAAATGTGCATCTTTGAGTGGTAGGAATTAGTTGTCCACACTGATCAATTGAGAAGCTTGTGCCATTCTTCCCATAGGTGACCTTTCACTTGTTAGATATGTTAGAATTTTGTTCCGGCTACAGGTTCAGCTCCTTTTTTTCCATAGGGTTTTGGGTTGTTTCATCTTACGGGAAACCCAATCTTTTTACCATTTCCCAATCTTTCTTTCACATTTCTCAGTAATTTAGCGGTAGGCTATTATCTGGGTTGAATGATTTGAGATGTTTTGATGCTATTTGCTTTGGCAAGTTCAGTTTTATCCATTGGTGCTTCAATTAATTTTCTGGTTAATTAATCTCTGCATCAGAAATGATGTGGCTTCAAGAATTTGCAATAAGTGTCCTCCAGCTTTCCCAGTGACAGATGAACAGTGCACATTTGTTTCTTGCTACTCAGTATTTTCAAGAGGTGAAAATTCTCAGAAGCATGACTAACCTTCCAAACAAATAAGATTTTTTTATTCAGTTAGTCAATACTGCATTCCTGTCACATAAGGACCTGACCTTGATGCTGACACGTGTGAAAGCTATTGGAAGATGTGAGTTTATTGGACTGGCTGGTTTTCACAGAACCGTTCATTTTGAATTTCCAAGTGTTTAGCCCATTTTTACCAAAGAAAGCTATTCGCTTGCCAGGAGCCTCAGCAACTGGCTTGTAATATCCATATCTTTGACTGTTTCTTTTCCACTCAAAACTTGCGTCACTGCCAAGCTGAGTGTTCAAGTTCCAGAGTCCAAGGACTGTTTTGACAAAAACAGAAAGTGACTTGACCTGGTTTTCCTGACTTTCAGTTGCTACTTCCTGGTCACCCATTAGGATTATTTGAGAGAATAGAATCTGGTTCTGTTGTTGAATCATAGAAATCTGCTACACATTTCAAAGCCATTCCCGACAGGATGAAACGTTGGCAAGTTTCCTTACTCCACTCACCTCTGTTTACCTTGCAGTAAGTAGGAACCTGGTTGTTAGTCGATTGTCGGATCGCTTTTCCGGGGGTAATAATTCCTAAAAAAAAATGATAAATTGGTCACTCAATCCACGACTGTTTCTATGACACTGCTGTGCGCAATTGGCTGTGGCGTTTCACCCACACAATGCGCAGTCAATTCACTTCACAGTATATTCTATGAAGCACTTTGGGATGTCTCGAAGATATGTTAAAGTGCTATATCAAAAGCAAGTATTATTATTCAGCCCACCGAGTTTGCCCCAGCTCTCAGAGCAAGCTCTACTTTCAATCTTCCTGCCCATCCCCATCAAGCCTCTTAATTTTCATATAATACCTGGCTGCTTACCTTATGTAGTCATTCTGTGATAACTGGGGAAACCTATTGCCATTCCAAAATTTTCAGCTGCAGTGTTCCAGCCATCAATGTAAGCTTAGCCTTTTGCCCCTTTTATTAAATTGATTGCTATTTTTGGGACAAGATTTGCCCACAGAATATACAGTGTATAGTGTAAATTCAGTTTACAATATATTCTGTGAAGTGTTTTGAGACACCTCAACAACATGATAAGGTGCTATGTCAAATGCAAAGATTATTATTAAGATACTATGCCAACTATTCCCTTCAAGAAATCCCTTTGGAATTGTGTACATTCCATTCGAGGATTTACTGAGTGACCTAAGGGGTCTAGATAGGATGGACAGTAGATTATGCAAAAATAACCTCTATCTGCCTTACAGCAATGATACTACTGGAATCTGTGATAGTTATCCAGTCAGTGGCATGGGGTCTATTTGTGGTATTCGCAAGCAAGAGTTTTTAGCCAGTCAAGTGAAAGAGGGAAGAGAAATTGCAGAAGGCCAAACCCCACACACAGAATCTCGTCTCTTCCTCTCCCCACCAAAAACAATCTGAGGATAATTAGCTTTGGGATTTGAAGCTTATCCTGAGCAATGATTTATATTCAAGTTAGTTTTATATGGTTCATGGGTTGAAAATTGGCACTTGCTGTTTTTATTTCAACTGGATCCTGTTGGAAGAAACATCACTTATCAATGCAGATTAGATGTTTGTCGGTGTTTTGTTGCCAAGAAGAACTGAGCTTTGCCACTTGAACTGTGGCATCTTGCAGTTCATTTGTGGAGGATTTTTGAAGTAATCCTGTTTCTGCACTTCCATTGACAGTTTGAGGATTAAGGCTTCCTAAACCAGGGCAGTTACTGCCCTACTTTGATGTGTTCTATTACTGTATTTGGAAGTTGACAATTGAAAGATCATCTCATCTCTAAATAGGTTGTTGTTCACTAAATTCGGTACCAAATTACAGATGTGTGTTCAGTTGACCATTTATTCTCTTCAGTCCTGGCGGTATTGAGCTTCAATACACATGTTGTTTGTTGCTTGTTCAATCAGTTTTTCTGACTTCAATTCACTTCTGAGGGTCTGATCCACAACTCATTACAAAATTACATTTGTATAGCGCCTTTCATGTTGGGAGGACCTCTGAGTGAGAAGTGACAGTATGAGCCCAAATGAGATGGGTCAATTCTCAGGGAGCTTTATTGTTCCCTCCCTATCTCTCGCCAGGTGATTCATTTAATCTAAAATCCCTGTATGTAGGTGAAGTTCAACTGCAACAATGGAATGAGACCATAGTTTAGTAGGTGGTTTTAATGCAACCGGTTGTGTTTGTTTGTGGGGATATGAACTGCAACAGTGTGCAGAGAGGCAGAGGACATTTGCCATTGTCAGTTACATGAGGGTGCAGGGGGAGATACTGACAATTCTGACTGGTCTGTTTCCATCCCCACAGGATCCCCATTCACAAGGGGAAGTGGTGTCTTGTTTGGAAAGGGCTTTGGTGAATGACGAAGAAACGGTTGCTGAACCCTGCAAAAAGGCAATCCTGCGCGTGGCTGAACTCTCCTCAGATGATTTCCACCTGGACCGACATCTATACTTTGCCTGCAGAGATGATCGGGAACGCTTCTGTGAAGATGTAAGACATTGTTTCAAACATTTATTGCTGAATACGTTCAGGGCGAGAATAGAATCGTCTGGTATGGGGATGATATTTTAACGCATTCCTTCCTATTATGATTTAACTTTGACCTGATGAAATGGTGGGGGTCAATTGTCCGAAGTCTATAAACTGCTCTGCTTGAGGTTGCAGTGCAGTGCAAAGATCAGTTTGTTGATTGAAGCCTGTTTCTAGGAAGCATTCCTGGGTTTCCCGGCACTTGAGGCTGTTTTAATAGAATATGTAAGTGAAAGGATTGTGTTTAGCTGACAGCTCAGACTGTGTTCCTGAAGGCAAAGATGTAACTTATTGCCTCATTTTTCAGGAAGCAAACCTAACCCACTGTAAGATGGCTCGGGGGAGAGAAGCACTTGCAATAATAGCAACTTATTGCTGCAATGCTGAGTGGGGTGGGGGCTTGTGAAGATGGTCAGAAAGGGTTCATGTCAGAAGTTTGCAGATTTAAGTGATTTGGACATTTGATCTGAAGTTCTCTTGAGCTGATAACATTTAATTCTATAATAAAAAATATAATAATAATCCTTGCATTTGATGTAGCGCTTTTCACGTCTTCAAGACGTCTCAAAGCACTATACCCAATATATTGTAAAGTGAATTGACTGTATATTTTATGGGCGAAATGCGGCAGCCAATTGCGCACAGCAGCGTCCCACAAACAGTCGTGGATTGAAGTGACCAATTTTATTATTGTTTTTTTCTGGAGGGATTATTATCAGACATGTGCAGTAAGGAAACGTGCCCATGTTTTCGCTCTGCCCACCCGGAAATCAAACCCAGGTCTTTCACTTGCGAGGCAAATGCTCTCACCACTCAGCTACAGGACTCCACAAAGTTTAATTCTCTGCTGCAATTTGGAAGGCTTCTGTTAACGTCACAGATAAAGTGATTTGGTTCAAAGCTTGAAAATGTCTCCCATTGTAACACCATATATGAGGAAGCTTAACGGCTTTTGATTCTTTAGCTATATAGCTTAAATGTAAATGGTTGGGCATTGTTGCTCGAGTGGACAGAGAGAAGCCACAGAAGATTCTGAATGACCCTTTTGGAGCAGGTGACAAGTTCAGTTTGTACTTTACTAATAAATTGTCTCCTTCAATTAAAGGATACTCCCCATTAATGATCTCTCTTGTATTGGTTCTGCAGATCCAAGGAGGCGAGGGACGAGTGTACAAATGTCTTTTCAACCACAAGTTTGAGGATGCCATGAGTGAGAAAGTGAGTGAGTATTAGGGTCTTGAATGTCCTTTAGTTTGCCTCAATGCTGTTGAACATCTTGATCTCTCTCGTTTAAGGAAGTGAATTTGTTTCTCTTTTTTAGTTGATGTGCATCTTGAATTGCAGGGTCAGCATGTTCCTTGACCTGGCTCCCATTTGGCACACTTCACAATATGATCGCAATCACTTTCGACTCAATTATTTATACAAAGTTAAACATTTACATTTAATACTTAGCTGAATTATAGTATTGAGAGAATCCATTTTAGTGTTCCAAACTAACCTGGTGTAACTGCTGCACAATTCCTCCTCCAAGAACCTACTTGGCTGTGTGTGCAAGGCTATGTATTTTCGCTCTTAGTTCGTAAAGTAACGTCTTTCACGTTTGCTGATTAATGTGTGACTTTTTGAGAAATAGCTGTTATGGCTGGTTTCCAACTGAATCTTACGGCGTAAAGGCCCTTTCAAATGCAAATTGCTGCATATAAAACGCTTTGGGGAAAAATAGGTTGCTCCAGGCATTCTTCAACAAATTGTCTTTCAGTACAATACCTCCAATGCCAATCGAAAGGTATTGCCTTCATTCTGGCCTTTGCCAGGACGCTCCGGACAACTGTGCCAATCTGGTTGCTTATCATGTTTCTGACATTTTCTGTGCAGGTTTCATGGTTTCTGATTGAAGGGTTTTTCAAAGCTTTTCCTGAAATCCGCTTCTGTGAAACTTCCTGGCATTGAAGCATTACTCGTTCATTGATTGATAAGTGATTTTAGTTGTTGGATTTAAGAGAGAGATGTATAGAGATCCTGGGAGTAACATATTAAAGCTAATGGCAGAGAAGTGGGATTAGGGGATACTGCCGAATGTAGGCCATGGAACAGTTTATGTCAGAGTAGGCTCAATGGGCTTCTGTTCCTATAATTTTAAACTGAAAGGGTTAAAAAAGCTAATGCCATTACAGTGAACCTCAGTAAAGTCTGAAGGAATTCAGGGGAATTATTGTTGAGCTTCAGCTTCTCGTGGTGCAGCATATGATAATTCCACTTAGAATTATTATAAATTTAATGAATGATTTCCATTACTAAATTTCAAAAGTTGAAGCATCTACAGGCAGCAGACGGTGTGGGAATGAAGCTTCTGCAGCAAAGTTATGGTTAACAGCTGGTTGTGCACTGGACAGCAGCTTGGCCCGGTTGTAGGAGTTTGGACCATCAATGAAATGAAAAGCAGCTGGATTTAGTTTGCGATGGGTCTTTAAATGATGTGACTACTTCATGCAACTTTACGTGTGCCACGTTTCAGGTGCTGGAAATCATTAACTTTCCTCCACAGTGAATGTTCCTTCAGCACAGCCCCTCCAGAACTGTAATTTGAGTGCATGATTCAAACCAGCACAAGAGCTTCATCGACAAAATAGCAACAATTTAATCTGTAGGGTCCTTTATAAGTGAGGTTGATACAAATCTAAATGCTTTCATGTCAAAGCTAAATTTCTTAAATATTTCAATGTAGTTTCTTGATCTGAAATTCAATACAATTTTTTAAAAAATGTCTGGTAATCTTCATTTTTCAGTAGGATCCTATGAGTGACTCCACTGAGAGATGGCAGTAAAATGCAGATTGTAGCCAAGCAAAAAAAAACAAACATATAATTCTGTCACATTTTCCGACTTGATCGTAAATGACTATCGGCAGGTTTTTCTGTTGGTAAGAGCAGATTAACAGAGAGGATTTACAGCTGTGTGAAATTGAGTGCATGGAGTGCTGCACATCTCAGGGATGTGAATGACATTTGAATGTCCAACAATTACAGTTTTCTTGGAGTTTTAAGTTTTTAAAATGGAAGTGCATAATCTTTCCAGTGACGACTGATTGCATGGTTAAAATCTACAGGGAAAGAAAGAAAATGGTGTATTAAATTACAATAGTGTTTTGCTGGGTGAAACTTTTTTTAGCATAAGAAAAATAACACATCGAAGAGAATCGTAAGCTAGAAAGCGTTTCATAAGGATCTTTAGACTCGTCTATTTCCCCACCAATTAGCTGAAATCCACCATCCTCAGAAAGGATTAAAAATCAGTGTTTCACTTTAATGAACACTAATTATGTAAATATGGTTTGATGTCGTTAAATGATTCTTCTGTTAAGTTGCAAGCTCTCTTTACAGATGGTTAAAGTGATTCGCTACTACAGTCGATTTCCCTTTCAAAGCTAATCACTCTGGAATGATGTGGATTCATCGATTTTTTTTTTTTACCCAGAAATACCATACAAAAAATCTAACCCTACCTATTACTAGCACATCACTGGCAGGCAGTCTCCTGGAGATTCATCACATTGACTCAGACTGATTGATTTGGTGCTGGTACTAGGGGTTTCCAGTAATAATAAGCCAAAAAAGTCTCTTTCTGGATCCTTGTTTTTTCTATATCAATGAAATGAGCTGTGCTGGGATCTGTAGCCTTGTGTTTATTTGAAGGTATTACCACAGCACCAGCCTGAGGTGGCACCATTGGTGCTGTTGCTAGCAATGCTTGGTAAAGGTCAGTGTGTAACCCACAAACCTTGTCACAGATTGGTGCTGGATTAGAGACTTATTGCACTGCAGTGACTTTGTATTCTCTCCCCTAGTGTCGTGACGCACTCACAACGCGACAGAAGTTGATCGCCCAGGATTACAAAGTGAGTTACTCCCTGGCCAAAGCCTGCAAGAGTGACCTACGCAAGTATCGGTGCAACATGGAAAACCTGCCCCGTTCCCGGGAGGCTCGACTGTCCTACCTGCTGCTCTGTCTGGAGTCTTCTGTGCACAGAGGTGAGTGAGCAGTGCTCTAGGACGCTATCCTGTGTGGGGGGCGCTATGTAAATGTGTCTTTTGTTGCTGCTGAACAAACACTAGGCTGGTCCTCTCCTAGTAGTTTGTAATTTAAGCCTCAAGCGGTGACTGTTTCAGCTGGTATACAACTCTAGAGGCATTGTGGCAATGTTTCTGTCATCAAATTCCAATTTAGCAAGTGTTATTCTGTACACTATTTTGAGTGCGTGCTTCAAGATGTTGAAATACTATGCTCGTCGGGCATCGAGAGAATAGCATCATGGCTTATATAATAGCAGCTGGCTGAAGGGTTAAGATGTGTTGACAGGCAAAGAGTGGATCAATGAAGTAATGTGTTTCAAATATAACCCAGGTATCCTGCACGGTTGTAACATTCAGTACAGCCATGCTTGGGGAAATCGCTTTACATTTCCATGTTTCCCAGCCACAAAGCTATTCACACTTCCAGTGTGCCTTGGGCTCATCCTGCTGACTCTGAGCTTCCACTGGGACTGACTGCAGCAGTTATTGGCAACTAACTTAAATGCTGGTAATAGAGACCTGAGCACTGGTCTGCTTGACTTATCTGCTTGACTTGGCATTTCAAGGACGGCTTGAAAGCAACAAGAAAAAGGGACAAAACTGGACTCTGTTAAGCTTAAAAAGTGCCAGCAGTGATCTTTTCACTGGTGCTGAATTTCCCACAGCGAGGAGCTAACCTTACGTTTCCGAAGGCTGGCGGAGGAGGCTGGGACGGTTATGTAATTTGGTGCAGTGTTGCTCACTCACGTTTTGATCAATTCCATCTGTTGTATGGGACAGGCCGGCAGGTGAGTGGCGAGTGCCAGGGAGAGATGCTGGATTACCGCAGGATGCTGATGGAGGATTTCTCGCTGAATCCAGAGATTGTCCTGGACTGCCGCAGCGAGATCGAGGTGCAGTGTTCAGGCCTGCACCGGAAGGGCCGAACGTTGCACTGCCTGATGAGGTTGGCACGAGGAGATGAAGGCACCATTGGGCAGAAGTGCCAGCAGGCAGTGAGTACTTATAGATGGAAAACCAGACGGGCTATGAGTGGGACGGTGGGAACAGTGGGACGCTGTTCAATCTGTCGCCTCGTGTTTCTTTTGAGGTATTGTTACAACATGAGCCTGAAGTGGCCTGTTCTTAAAGGTCAGTGTGTAACGCACAAACCCTTTGTTACAGGTTGGTGCTGGAAGAGAGACTTTTGCACTGCAGTGACTTGGTTCATTCATACTTGCCATTGCCATCCTGGCTCATTTGGTAGCACTCTTGCCTCAGGGTCAGACTGTTCGGAGTTCAAGCCCCACATCAAGAGCTCATTGTCTCTAGGTTGGCACTCACTCAGTGCATTTCATAAACATCGTCAGAAGAGGTTATTCAATAAGATGTTAAACCAAGGTCCCATAGATGTAGTACACGTCCCATTCGTGCCTTGGCTTCTGCTCCTTAAGTAAATGGACAGGTTCCAGGCTCCAAGGCTCCAGTGCACATTTCCTTGAGAACTAATTTCTATCTAAACTGCTAGTTCTCAAGTTAACTTCAAACTAACTGCAGCATTACTGTACAGATGAAAATCAGCGGTAGGAATGGATTTTCACCCACAAAATATAAAGTCAACCCACTTTACAGTATATCCTGTGAAGCGCTTTGAGACGGCTTGATGGCGTGAAAAGGCGCTATATCAAATGCAAGGATTATTATTATTCTGGAGGAATAGCTATCAGACTGAGGATAAAACTAGTACTAAAAGCTGGTATGTAGTGACACAGAAAGTAAAATTGTTTGCAGTTTATTATCCTGGTACTAGTCCTAATCAAGTTTCTGATCAATTCATGCACAAACTAACTGTTTCCCCCCCCCCCCCTCCTCTTTTCCAGCTCCAGACCTTAATTCAAGAAACCGATCCTGGGGCTGATTACCGTATCGATAGAGCACTCAATGAAGCCTGTGAATCAGTCATCCAAACAGCTTGTAAACAGATTCGCAATGGTGATCCTATGTAAGTATTTATGTGCCTCGGGGCTCAGATGCTACCCTGCGTGAAGAGCACTATCTAAATGGAGGTAATTGTTGTTACTGTGGGGGGCGGGGAGAATTGATTTCAGCTCCTGTTTGTATAATAAGGATCGCTGCCTCCCTGGAAATTTGACTGTTGAGGCTCTTGGCTTGATTGCATCTGCAGTGTACAACATCTGACTCTGAATGATGATGTGAACGTTTTATAGTTTAACATGAGGTTTTTCAAAAAAAAAAGCTAGTAATGAGCTGCGTTTGGTGGATGAAACCAGACCTGTCTATTAGTTGAAGTGTTTAAGAAATTCAATCCACTTGTGTATTTTTGTGACCAATAGTGTTAAATACCAAGCTGTCACAGTGGGACATGAGCTCACAGCTCAGTACTGCGGATAAACTGCATTTGAGATACGCCATCCTTCAGATGAGACTTCTTAAGTAAAATCGTGTCTGTTTTTCAGCTGACTATTAAAGGTTCTGATGCTTGGAAAACAGCAGTTTGTCCCGGTTTGCTGGCCAGTTGATCCTCCAAATAAATGTATTAATCTCTTTAAAAGATCAGTGCCTTCACTGGTCAGCAATGACTCTTAAACGCTCTTTGACATGTTTTGATCTGATAAGGCTCTCTAAATGGAGCAAGTTCTTAAATTCGTTGTGTTTTTTCTCTCTGCTCAGGATTCTGTCGTGTCTAATGGAGCACCTGTACACTGAGAAGATGGTGGAGGAGTGTGAGCATCGCTTGCTGGAGCTGCAGTACTTCATCTCTCGCGACTGGAAGTAAGCACTCTTCTCCGCAGCCAAATCAGGAAACTGCCCACGTGTTTACCCTTCAACCAATCTGCAAATCATAATAATCCTTGCGTTTAGTAAAATGCCTTTCACGTCAGATGGACATCTCACAGGTTAACTAAAGTGTAGTGTCTATAATTTCTGGGCGAACCCGGCAGCAAATTTATACACACTAATGTCCCACAAACAGCAATGAAATGAATGACCAAAAGGTACACCTCTGCAAGATGCACATACTTGGGAGCGGTTACATTTTCCTTACTGAATAAATAGCTCTGTATGGGTGCACATCACTTTGAATTTGTGACCACGTTACAATTTCACACCACGGGTTAAAATGAGACGTGCTTTTTTTTTCTTTGGTCACTCATTCCACGGCAGTTTGTGGGACACTGATGTGTGCAATTGGCTGTCCACAAAATATACAGTCAATCCACTTTACAATGTGTTCTGTGAAGCACTTGAGCTGTTTCAACGACATGATGATGCACTATATCAAATGTAATTATTATATTGTTCTTTATATTGAGCTTTGAAGAATTAAAAAAAGCTCTGATCCGGTTTAGCTGGGTCCAGTGGTAAATTTCTTTGGAATCAGAAGGTTACAATTTCAAACCTTACACCAAGCTCAAAATTTCACACAATCCGAACTGACTGAGTCTATTACTGACAACACTGTAGTTGTCTTACTGAAGGTCAGTCTCTTTAAAAACATTAAAACTGAGTCCCATCTGCCTGTTCAGGTGGCAGTTGAAGATCCATAATATCATTTGAAAGGAGAGCATCTTAGCAACTAATCCTCCAGCTAAAATATTCATCTGATGACTGTGGGACCTTGCCGTGGCTGCCAAGTTTGCCTACACTTGTCAAATGTTTTGATGCGATAAGTATCAAATTCAGTTTTTCTAAAGAAGTTATATCTATTCATTCAACTGAGGGTTAGCTTGGATCTGTTGCGCATTTTGTTCCATTACGGGTCATAGCTTTAAGTTGAAGTCAATTGAAGATAGCTGCAGTGTGTGGGGAAGGGTGTTCGTAGCTGGATCCAGTCCCAAACAATGAGTTAGCAGAATATTCAGTCACCATTCTGAAGAAATGTGTAAACCTTGGATTTATTGCTGTGAAAGATGAGCTGTGGTTTACTCCCAATGGGCAATGGGTTCTCACCCAAATCTATTTAGGGCTTTGATTAAATTGTTTGGGACTAAATTCTGTTAAGTAGACTCTCTGTTTTTATCATTGAGTTCCCTTGCAGTTCAGGTGAAATGGTCATGCATCCATTGCAGAAAATTAGTCTTTTTTTTTCCAATTAAGAGTTGATGTTTGGATCCTCCTGTTGTTGGGATGTGAGATCTCCTGAGGACTTGCTTTATAAAATGTTCTGGATGTTCCCTAATGTTTTCATTGCTTTCCAGACTGGATCCCATTCTTTATCGAAAATGCCAGGGTGATGCCGCCAGGCTGTGCCATACCCACGGTTGGAATGAGACCAATGAGATGCTGCCCCCCGGAGCAGTGTTTTCTTGCCTGTATCGTCATGCCTACCGAACAGAGGCACAGGGCCGCAGGGTAAGCCGGGTAATGGTCCATTTGTAGATTTGGATAGATTTGCATTGACTGTACAGCTGGGAAACCCCCCCATTCGGCCCAAATAGCCCGTGCCAATGTTTATACTCCACACCAGTCTTCACCCACTCCTTACTCCCTTCCATTCCCTTCTCTTTCCTGTGAAGGTCTGGCTTCCTCTTGAATGGATCTATATTATCTTCTTCAACCACCGCTTTGGGCAGCGAGTCCCATATTCTCACTACGTTCTGGTGAAGTTATTTCTAAATTCTCTTTTAAATAATCGCTACCTTTTACTTGTTTCCCCAGGTTACAGACTCCCCAACAATTGGGAACAACCTATCTTATCGAACCTTTTATAATTTTAAATATCTCCAGTCAATCCAGTGACCTGCCTGTCCTGGTATCATCCTAGTAAACCTATGTTCTATTCAATCCATCGCTGCTATATCCAGTGCAATGTAAAGCAGCGTGATTTGGATTTCCACTAATTTAAATTTGTGCTTGATAGTTCATTCTTGTGTATGGCTTGTGACTGGGTCATTGGCCAAGTCCTTAGCTCGGTCAGTATAGGTCCTATACTATACTGTAGGATACTATATATGATTTGTGGATCGCAGTCAAAATCGAAGCGACCACACTGGTGATCATGGGTGAGTTGCCATGACAGATTGAACCTCAATAATAATATTTTAATGTACTGCTAGGAGTGTGGAGGAGATATTTCCACTCGATTTGCAAGCATTTTAATTGGAACCATTGAAATCTACAACACAGTAGGAGGGCATTCGATCCAATCGTGTCTGCACTTGTTCCTCCAATGAAGCCATCTATCCTAATCCCAATTCCTTGCATTTTCCTGTATTCTCCAATACACTTTCGCCACATGTGTCTGATTATAAGGTTTCTACAGGGGAGGGGGAAAGTCCAAATGTTTTGACTTAAGAAGAGGGGAGGAGAGGCTTTCTTAGTTCAGTTTGTACTGAGGCTTAATTTAGGCGCAGTGAGGTAGCAACAAGGACAAATGCTCCATGTCTGAGGAAGCTGTTAAAAATGTTTTGAATCTAAAAACCTTGATAGATACCGCCTTAAAAAAACAAGTAAGTAACAAAGAAAATGTATCTGGCTTTCTCCTGTTGATGCATATCTGATCTGCTGTCTCTGTCTTACCCTATAATTGTATCATATTTTACTGTGAGTTTGTGCTGCTGAATGGTTGATGTGGAGTGGATCTCTGAGATAAGTGCTATAATTGCACATCAGTGTGATGTTGTGATATTGCACAGCCTTAAAATTTGCATTACCTTACCAGGTCTGTGCTGGCTTGAGCAATTACCACTAAGTCACACAAGCAAACCTGTACCAAGTTTTGTGACAGTGTAAATCAAATCTTATTTTGTGGTGTTAATGCTCTGAAATTGTCTAGTTTGCAGTACAAATAACTTTCAGCAAAACCTTTGGGAAAAGGGCATTCTGAACACATAAGCATCGAATCTTCATTACTTCAAATGCTGTGACATTCCCCACTTACATTTGCTGCTTCGAGTAGCAGTAACTGTGTGGACCATTAAGTTTACTCCCACCTACAATTACAGAACATACCAATTAAAAGCAGGAGAGGGAAAGAATAAGGTGCCTTATTCTTATGTTACTGACTTAACCCTTTCACTTGGTATTCTAGACTAGCTCCCAATAATTCTTCCTGCACCTTGTCATTTCTCTAATTTCCTTGGATTTTCAATGTGTTATAGATCACAATATTGAATAATGGTGGGGGAGAGAGAGGTGTTTACACAGTGAGTTTTATATTCATTTAAACGACAACACAATTACATTTGTATAGCGTCTTTCACGTCGGGAGGACGTCCCAAGGCACTTAAAGTAAAGTAGTTGACTAACGGGTAGAAAATGCGTAGGATTGATATTTAATTGAGATCTTTTGTTTTCGTGAGAGATTGATCTACATTCCCTACTGTTAGGAATGTGTGGCGGAGATATTTCCACTCGATTCGCAGTCATTTTAATTGCAAGCATTTTAATTTAGTGTTGAGAGCTCTGCGTTTATTTTGTATATGTGTGTGTGGTGTTCTTGGCTGTAGTGTGTGGTAATCTGCAGTGACCTCTTGTGGCCTTGCCATATTAAAAACAATCTATACCGTGTAAAACTGTGCTTGGCTCAGTGCCTACTTAAACTATAGCTCCCATCAGAAAAATGTTGTAGTCCATACTTCATTGCGTATGGTACTTTTTAAATTAATATGTATTGCTTTAATGTTTGCAATGTGTTCTATGAGAATGGATAATTGAGTATTTTCCCTTAAGTATTCCTTTTGAATAGTTTTGGGACACTGACTCAGTATGTATTAAACAAGTGTTGCAATTGGATGCTGTGCCTAGTGTGTGATGGTGTAAGGAGCTAAATTAACGTGCATCAACCATTGATGGTAATTACTACCTTGATTGCTCTAAACTCGAATACTTGGTGATAAGCAGAATCGAGGGGTTAATTGATATCTCTTTTCTGCACAACACTGCTGGTTTGGCTACCAGGTAACTCAATGCAGATTAAAGGTCACACTTGGGACCTTTGTGTTCTTATACCACACTGCCTTCCACGTCATTGGGAGTAGAATGTTAGTTATAATAATCTTAACTGTTTGATTTTAAGAAGGCTGCTGCTGAGAATGTCCTTATCAGTGGCTGACTTTGTAAAGTTTCATTGACTTTTCTGATTGCTGTCGGTATAAAATGTTACCGATTACACCCAAGACACCGATGTATTAATTCAGAATACCAATGAGTGAAGGCAAATGAAACCAACTGGAATTCTTTCCTCTCCAGTTATCCCGGGACTGCAAAACCGAGATTCAACGTGTTCTTCATCAGCGAGCATTGGATGTGAAGCTGGAGCCGATGTTACAGGAACGCTGCATCATAGACCTGGGGAAATGGTGCAGTGAGAAGACCGAGGCAGGACAGGTAGAGGCCTCACATTCAGTTTAATGTTTTTCTTTGGGGGTGTTGGATGATGAGAAAAGGCCAAGAAATGTGCTCAGAGGAGGGAGAGGTACTTAACTTGCACAATAAAAAGGCACGATTGATATAGACTAAGCTCGCAGGTCCATTAGAAATCAGCTTTGCTCACTCACCGCAGTCAGAAGATTGTGGGTTCAAGGCCATGTCAGAACTTGTACATTTTAGGCCGACACTAGATTGAAGACCATCCTCTTCGACCGGGCTTAAGGTCACTTCCTCCCCCTGACTCGGCGTCAGGCTCCGCCACTGTTAAGTGTTCTGAGGCACTGCCTATAGGAGCTATAGAAATGCTGGGATGCACTGCTTTGTCGAAGGTACCGGTATCTTCGGATGAGACATTAAGCTGTGCCACTTCAGATGGGTGTTCAAGATCTTGTGGCAATATTCAGAAAGAGGGGAATTCTTCCCAGTGTCTTGGTCAGCAATATCCTAAATTGGTCATTCGCTCACTTCGTGGCTGTTTGTGGGACATTGCTGAGCGCAAATTTGCTGCCACATTCGCCCACAAACTAAACAGTCATTCATGCAACTCTACAGGATATCCTATAAAGTGCTTTGAGGTGATATGAGGTGCTATATCAAATGCAAGGATAATTATAAATCTATCCAAGTATAAGGAGAGTTGCTTTCCTCCCCTATGACTGATGGAAATCCTCTTTCCAGTTTTGCTGTGGAAGTGGCTTCTGAATGTGGGCTGGAGGCACAAGGCAGGCATTGTGCATCCAATAGAAAGTGATTGTTAGTGATCTGCAGGACTGGTTGCTGTATGTTTACACTGTTGTGTGGATTTCCTGGTGTCTGCAGGAGCTGGAATGTCTCCAGGACCATCTGGATGAGTTGGGGGTGGATTGCAGAGATACAGTGGGGAACCTGACGGAGCTGGAGTCAGAGGTAAGCATACCCAGATCAAGTAACCGCGTATAATGAAATCCAACAGATTGTTCCAATATTAGTAACCAGAGCTTATAGTATCTTCACACAAACCAGATAATATAAATGATGTTTAAAAACAAAGGAATTAGTGTAATGTGATTGTAGCTCCCCCACGTGGGTTCCTCACTCTCCATGCCTGTAGCGCTGTGAATTGTTTCCAATTTGTCTAGTATTGGATCTGTTCCTTCAGTCTCTTGGAAACCCACTGGCAATGTTGATTCAATTATCTGAGAAGAAGCTTTTCATCTATTCCGCTCGTTCATTTGAGAAGCTCTATGCTGGGAGTGTTACCTACAGACCTTTAGTGATGTTATTCAATAATCCTTCATGGCTAAATCTCTCTGGTATCTTGTGCAGTACCACTCTGTATCTCCCTCTTTCTCCACCCTCCTCCCCCTTAAGAGCAGAATCATCACTTACCCAGCACTGTGAATTCCAGGGTGTGTCTAGCATAAGAGCTGCATTTTTATGTAAATCCTATTCAGTTGTATTCCACAAGTAACTAAGTAACAGAAATCTGTATAGGAGTTGATTTGCATCTTAGCTAACTAAATCTCTTCCATAGATGTGCCCCCCTATGATGGAGTTAGCAAAGGGGGGGTTTCTAATCTGGCTGAGCTGATGCTTGATTTTTCTATTGGTCTCCTACAGTTCATTGACCTTCTTCAGTTAAAGCTACTTATGTCTAGATTTAAGATATTCATGATTTTAAGAATCGGATCATGCCCCCCTTTTGGATTGTTTCCAATTTGTTGATGTGAGTGAGAAATGACATTGTGGTTCTTTTTCCTTTTTCAGGATATTCAGATTGAGGCTTTACTAATGAGAGCTTGTGATCCTGTCATTCAAGGCTACTGCCATGTGAGTAGCCAAGTTCATCCCATCAGTTAGTTATCTGATCTCCCACTTCCTTGCACTGCCAAGAAGCCAAAGACTTAATGTTTGCAGATAAGTATCTGCGGTTTGTTTAGCTTTGTACTTGTAAGTCTTGCGATGAGAGAAGCAATTCAGTCCAGTTTTATCAACCGCTGTGGCCTCATGATGTTGCTTTTGGTTTGCAGGAGGTAGCGGATAATCAGATCGACACCGGAGACCTGATGGATTGCTTGGTTCAAAATAAACACCAGAAGGAGATGAACGAGAAGTGTGCTGTTGGAGTTACACATTTCCAATTGGTAAGAAAAGTCCTGTAGCTCAGTGGTTATAGCACTCGCCTTGCAAGCGAGAGGCCTGGGTTCGATTTCTGGACAGGGCGAAACATTAGGCAAGATTCCTTACCTTGAAGTAAGGAATTCCTTAAGGCTCAGTGTACCTAGCAATAAGTAGGAACCCAGTTGTTCGTCGATTGGCGGATCGCATTTCCGGGGGTAATAATTCCTTTAAAAAATAATTTGGTCACTAAGTCCACGATTGTTTGTGGGATTATTAAGCGCTATAACAAATGCAAGGATTATTATTTTATTATTATCCTCACTGCAGGTTTTACCGACTTCTTCAGGCATCAAATGTAAAAAAAGAAACACTGTTCAAATGGTTTGTTCCGAAGAGGATTAGTGTAGTAGAAAGTCATTCAGTGGCCCTATGAGTGGCAGCGTGAGCTACCATGCGTTCAGGAGATTGAGAGGTTGTCTGCCTGAAGTGTTTTTTTAAATAAAGTAAATGACATTGACATAATGAAGAAAAGGCTCTTCGTTCTATGAGATAGATAACACAGGAGAGGGTTTCTCTTGGTATCCTTGGCCAACAGACAAAATTGCTCATTCATTCATGGCTGTATGTGGGACATTGCTGGCCTTGGTGACGTCTCGGCCTTTATTGCTCTTCCCTGTCTTTATCTGGGAGATAGATTGATGGATAAAGTCCTTGATAAGCAAGGATATAAAGGGAATTAAAGGAGAGGAAATTGAATTTGATTTACCCTACATATTTTGATGAAGCAGGCTTGACTAGCCTATCGGTTCCTGTGAGGTGAATATAATAATAATCCTTGCATTTGATATAGCGCCTTATCACGTCTTCGAGATGTTTCAAAGCACTTCACAGGATATACTGTAAAGTGAATTGACTATTTTGTGGGCGAAACGTGGTAGCCATTGCGCACAGCAGTGTCCCACAAACGGTCGTGGACTGAGTGACCAAATTCTTATTTTTTATTTTGATACCATAGAGTGTAAAAACCATTAGTTTTATTAGAATTATTGACCTTCTTACCCTCTGAACTTTGACTGGTTTTGAAAAATGTCCTTGCATTGTATTGGGAAACCAGCTACTTCAATCATATCTATGATGGACTCTTTGAAAGACTATCACAGTAATGTAAAAGCCAAAATGATTTTGCTCAATTAAATGGATACAAGTGGGGGATGTGTTGCCTGTCTGATCCCTAGCAGTATGTTGAAATGTATGTGTGAGTTTCAGAGGAATTACTCATTTGCTCAGACATCCAATGGTTGCTGAGAGATCAGCATAGGGCACCTCAGTTGAGATATGTCCTCCGCCTCGCTTGCCCCACTATTGGCAGGTGGGCCTTCTGCCACTCTGCCCCCACCCTCTGGAACTCCATCCCGCTCACTTACCTCCTTCAAGACCCATCTCAAGCCCTTCCTCTTTGACTGTGCTTTTGATCACCCTGCTTCCCCCACCTGCCCTCCACCCTCCCCGACCCCTAGCTCGGGTCCGAAACTCTGACTATCCAGTGCCTTGGGATGTCCTCCCGACGTGAAAGGCATTGTACAAATGTGATGTTGTCGTTATGTAAGCGGGTTGATAATGTAGCAATACACCCCAATCCAGAGAGAGCTGGCTTTGGTCTGCGGCTGAACTTGATCTTCCTGTTAACCGTTACAGATTCAGATGAAAGATTTCCGCTTCTCGTACAAGTTTAAGATGGCGTGTAAGGAGGACGTGCTGAAACTGTGTCCGAACATCAAGAAAAAGTAAATTTTCTCATCTTTTCTCTTTTCTCAGTACATGCCAGGGCACTGACAGTTTTGTTCTGCGCGTGGCTATTCAGCGCTCCGCTTCTAGGTTTAAAAATACTCGCTTTTGTGACCCATTTTAGTGATTTAAGGCTCTTCCCTAAAAGCCTTTTTGACACAACTCCTATTGCTTCACAGGGTGGATGTGGTAATTTGTCTGAGTACCACTGTTCGGAATGACACACTTCAGGATAATAAAGAGCAGCGGGTCTCTGTGAAGTGTCGGAAACAGTTGCGTGTGGAGGAGCTGGAGATGGTGGGAATGGCTATGTTTTATTTGCAGTTACCTGGCATTGTTTTGTCACCGAAGTATAAATAGACTGTTAAATGAGCGATTGTAAAACCATGGCATCTCCCAATAGGATGTTTGCAAACTGGATTCATCGTGTTAATTGCTGCTTCTTGTGAAGTCCTGTAGCTCAGTGTTTAGAGCACTCGCTTTGCAAGCGAGAGGCCTGGGTTCGATTCCCGGCAGGGTGAAACCTTGGGCAAGTTTCCTTACTCCACACGCCTGATAATAATCCCTCAAGAAAAAAAAACAATAATAAAAGTCACTTCAATCCACGACTGTTTGTGGGATGCTACAGTACGCAATTGGCTACCACATTTTTCCCACAAATATACAGTCAACTCACTTTACAGTCTATTCTGTGAAGCGCTTTGAGACGTCGAGAAGACATGAAAAGCGCTATATCAAATGCAAAGATCATTATTATTCTTGGTTGCGAGATCTACAAATCTCCAGTTGGCAAAGTCCAAGCAAGCGACGACTGTTTCCTGGTAGCTTCGTTTCCACTTAGAAAGATTGAGATTTATCATTTGCTTAGCATGTGCAGCATAGCTTCTCTTGAACTTATCTTCTCTGTCCACAGACTGAAGACATTAGGCTGGAGCCTGATCTGTACGTATCTTGCAAAAGCGATATTGACAAGTACTGCCAGAATGTACCATTTGGAAATGCACAGGTGAGGTACTGGAGCATATCCAGTGGCTTAATCAGCAATAAGGGCCGAGTTTGAACGTCCTATATTCAAATTGAGTCAGGAGCACCATTTTGCCTCAAGGTGGCTGCTGAAGTGAAATCAATATCAAAATCAATTCCTCAGCATGTAGGGAGCATCAGGAATTTTATTGAAAAGTCTTTAACTACAACTAAAATGATTTGCCGTTTGGAAAATGTTGTACATTTACATCAGTGACAGGTGTAAATGTTTTACTTGCATCTTGTGATTTCAAAAGTTCAGTTTCACATTAAATTTAATGAAATCCGTATGAGCTCTGTTCCAATCAGTCCCAGGCCATTAATTCTCGCTTATATATGGGGGTGTTGAATCTGGAAACTTTTGCTGATGAGAGCTGTAATGGAATACATTTCCTAAAACAGATTTTTTGTTGTTTACCCATTATGTGATGAGTAGGGCTGTTTGTTTGAGGAGCAGACAATTTCTACCTGCTGTGAGAAAATTGGAAATTTCAAAAGTAGGATAAAGAGAAATTAATAAAAAAAATTGTCGTTGAACATGATGCTTCATTTCTATCCTTGCTGGGTTCAGACTATGGCTGCTTGTCCAAATTGCTTTTCTTCATTTATGATTGTGGAATCTATACCATTGGCTTTTTGGTTCTGGGAAGCATTTATAACGTCCAATCCTTTCCATATTAAAGTTTCCATTTATCTATGAACATTTATAAATACTCTCCAACAGCACTCACTGAAGATTTACCATCCTCTGTTGAGAGCTGTCTTAGCACAGACTAGCCTGCAATTTTTTCCTGCATGGGTTGCACCAGACAGTGTGTTTACTGTCAGCTTGGCTTAGTTGGTAGCACTCTCAATTCTTCACATCAGGATTTTAAGATCACAATCTTGGCTGACACTCTGGTGCTGGGAGAGATACCATCTTTCAGGTGAGACTTCAAATCGAGGTTCTGTCTTTACGTCCAGAGGCACTATATGAAAAGAGGGGAGTTTCTGACCGTGTCCTGGCCAAAAATTACATTTGAGTTGTAATTCATAGATCACTTAAAATCTATCTTCGCCTAATGGTGGTTTTTGGGACTTTGTAAGCAAAATAATTGGCATGTTTGCCTGCAAACAATTGCGTCACTTGATACTTATTACAATAAATGGATTTGAGTTGTTGCAATTTGATAAAGGGCTCTTAAAATGCTAGTTCTTTCTAAAGACACCTTGGAGTCGTGATTAGATGATTTCCAAGACTAAGCATTTAGGCATCTTATTTGACAAGCTTTCCATCATAGCACATTTTTCTCAGACAATGATGATAATGAGAAGGGAATGATTGGGGAGGGCAGGGATGGTGGATTGGGAGGGAGGTTAGCGGCTCATATGGCTCCAGCAGGTTTTTGTAAAATTGTCTTTTTTTTAAAAAAATCTTGAGCTTTCCAAGATAATATTAAGCCTGTCTCCATTTATTTATAAACACTGGCACGGACTAGACCCGTTTTTAGCGTTGTGGGTCGCATGTAATCGCATAATCCAATGCTGTGATTGAGCCTGAAGACTTTTCAGATTATTTCCAATTTTGTTATAATTCCATCTCACCAAACCTCTTGCCAACCATAAAATACATTGTATTAAAGTTGAATTCAATGAAGCTATGAGCAGGGATTCTTGAGTTTCCTGGTTTCCCTGTATGCCTCTCACTGCAGTGGCACAGAGGGAATATGAAAAGCTTCTGTTACTAAACAGCTAGTTTGCAGGTCTGTTTTGTGGCCTCCAGAGATTCGGTTAACCTGTTACACTGACGGCTGAGCCTTGGGCAGAATTGAAAGAGGCTCCAGTAGATTTTTGTAAAATAGAGTGTGAAGTCTGATTATTTTTTTTTGTCTGAGCATTTCAAGCTAATTTTAGTTCCGTCTCCATTTTGCTTCCTCAGAGGATGGAATCCAGTTAACGTTCAACTGGATTTTTGAACTCGTTGTTGATTTCAGCACAGAAATCCTGTTAAACGGTTGAGACATTTATATAGATTTCATGTAGCTTTATTCCCCAAATACGACTATGAAAACCCTGTTGACCTTTAGAAATGTTTAGTTGGTGCTTGTTTGACATTTATATAACAATAGGTTGAACTGGTTTCAAGGTATAATTTGTACAAATTAGTTATCCTTGATTTCTGCTCTCCCATGACTGAGAATTTCAGGTAAAGGTTACTAGAATGGAATAAGTGCCCATGAAATGGCCATTGAAGCAGTGTGTTAATAATCCCTGCAAAAACAGAAGTCACTGGGACATTCAGCAGGTCAGGCAACATTTATGGGGAAAGGAAAGTGAGTCAACATTTCGGGTCCGTGACCCTTCGTCAGAACTGGGGCATGTTGGGAGGAAGAGGCTTTTAAGGACTAACCGGGGGTGGGGAGGCAGGGCAAGGAAGACAAAGGAGAAAATGGGGTAGAGGTCAGGGGATGATGGGTTAATAATGCAAAACAAAGGGGATAGGGGGTGGAATTGCAACAAAACAGGCAGACCAGAGAGAAAAAAGGTGCGATTGGGCCCCAGATTGTGGTAATAGTCACAGAAGAGGGGGAGGGGAAATGTGAGCAGTCATGGTCTGAAATTATTGAAATCAATATTGAGGCCAGAGGGCTGTAAGGTCGCTAGCAGATAAATGAGGTGCTTGCGCTGTGGCTCATTGGAACAGCGTAGGAGACCATGGATGGAGAGGTCAGAATGCGAGTGGGAGGGAGAGCTGAATTGGCAAGAAACCGGAAGCTCAGGGTCGTGTTTGTGGACAGAATGGAGGTGTTCGGCAAATCAGTCGCCTAATCTGCGTTCAGTCTCCCCAATGTAGAGGATACCACATTGTGAGCAGCGAATGCAGTAAACTACATTGGTGGCAGTACATGTAAATTGCTGTTTTACTGGAAAATCCTTCCATTTGATACAGCGCCTTATCATGAGAAGTCTCAAAGTACTTCACAGAATATACTATAGTGAATTGACTATGTTGAAATGGACTCAAAAGGCTACAGAGGATCTGTGAAGGAATGAGACTAATTGGGAGAAGTGTTCTAAGGAAAAAAAATTGGTTGAGATCCATCAAAAAGGGAGTTTGTTAGATCTTAGTCTTAACTCCCAGTGGGATTTTTGGTTTAACAACTCAATTTGTTCAAGATCATCTGGAGTTCTCAATAGAGTTGTTGAGTGCAGCGATTCAAATAATATTTAGAATTATTTAGAAAGAGAGGGAATAATTCTAAGAGGTAATAATCCCTCTTAAAAAAAAATTATTGGTCACTCAATCCACGACTGTTTGTGGGATACCGCTGTGCGCAATTGGCTGCTGCGTTTCGCCCATGGTCACTCCACTTTAAGGTATATTCTGTGAAGCGCTTTGAGACGTCTCGAAAACGTGATAAGGGTGTATATCAATGCAAGGATTATTATTATTCTTAAAGCTCCTGTCTAACTGTGCCTTTCCTCTGAGCAGGTGATCGAATGTCTGAAAGATGTGAAGAAATTACTGGTTAATCGTTGTCATGACAAAGTCTTCAAATTGCAAGAGAATGAGATGAGTGACCTCGAGTTGGATTATACCTTCATGAGGGTCTGTAAGCAGATGATTAAGGTAAGGCACCAAACTCGAGTTAAAAGCAAGTTGTGGGCTAACTGCAGTTGCACAAGAAGCAACTGTTGTAGCGACAACATCCAGTTTCTGTGTACTATATCCTTAATACTCCCACCACTCCATAATTCCTGGGGTTGCCTCAGTGAAAGGGAAGGAGACAAAAAACAGCACAGGATTCTTTTATTATGTATTTGAGGAATCCGGCGTTCATCTGGACTTCTGTAGCTCAGTGGTTAGAGCACTCGCTTTGCAAGCGAGAGACCCGAGTTCAATTCCAGGCCGAGGGCGAAACCTTGGGCAAGTTTCCTTACTCCACACAGAGCCTAATAGTAATTCCTCCAAAACAAAACAATAATAAATTGGTCATTTTCAATCTACGACTGTTTGTGGCACATTGCTGTGTGCAATTGGCTGCCGAGTTCGCCCACAAATATACAGTCAATTCACTTTACAGTGTGTTCTGTGAAGCGCTTTGGGACGTCCTCCCAACGTAAAAAGCGCTATATCAAATGCAAGGATTATTATTATTATATTTTCTGAAAATGTCTCCCTGCAATCCAATTTGTTGCTTATTTTCCTGAATTGACCAAAGCAAATCGCACTGGAATGCATAGACCAGTGGTAGCCAACCTCCTTGGTTGACCAACAAAATAAATGTTTCTTGGTTTTTGGCATAAATCTGTGCTCTTTTGTTGTGTGTATGATCATTTTGTTGGCCATCACTTCTGCAGACGTTTAGCTCTATTAGGAGGTTGTGGCGTCCACTTAGAACAGACTAACCACTACATTCTTTCCTTCACTGCTGTACTCGTGTAACCTCTGTTTACGGTTTGAAAGAAGGTCACTACCAGGAAGAATAAACCTCGTTAGGAGGAAAAGTCTGCACAGCGATACGTTCCAGATTGAAAAATTAAAATTGTAGCTTGCCCTGCTGTTCTGAAGAATTCCTGCAGTCCCTATTGCCCACTCTTGGCCCTCCCTTTCTGGCCATTATACCCTTGCTAAAGCTTATTTCCTTTTTATGTTAACCACATAAAATGACTGAGCAAAGTACCCTGATTTCAGTCCTGAGGCTGTGCTCACTGTTGTAGCAAGTACAGGTTTTGTTCAAAGTACTCTCCTGTGGTTCCAGAAATCGAAAGAGATTGATGCAGATTCGCCATGACTGATGTATCAGTTTGTACAATACAATTGGAATATGTTGCCAAGATTTTTTTTTGTCAGAATACATTTAACAAACTTCCAAAGAATTGGAATTTCAACGCAAAGCTTTGTGATGGTAAAGGTTGAATTGATCTGCTGAGCATGGTTGGTAAACTGTGCTGATTTGTGCTTCATGTGCGGATATTTGATAAGTTTACCTGATCAGGTGTCGCTTGCATATCAGGGGGTCTTTCTGTCACTCATTTGTTTGGTGGTTTCAAACTACGGCCAAGCAATCTGTGTGTCGATTAATTAGATTTCTAAAAGACTTCCTACAGAACACTCCCTGCTTCCAGCCTGAATGTTTGCACCGAAGGATGTTTCTGTGGACTGCATCGACCGTAAAATGCTGTGCGTCTTGTGTTAACAGCGTTTCTGTTCTGAAGCTGACTCGAAAAACATGCTGCAGTGTCTGAAACAGAATAAGAACAATGAGGCGATGGACCCCAAGTGCAAGCAGATGATCACCAAGCGACAGATCACGCAGAACACGGGTAAGTGTTGCTGACGACACCTAAATTCGCCCAGGAGGGGCACAGAGAAATCCTGGTGTGGAGATTATGGCCCTGTTTCTGGGGAATGGAGGAACGATATGCTTTGCACAGTGGCAGCTGCTGCCTTCCACAAAGGCACAGGAGCTTTGTGCAGCACCCATGGAGAGACGATGAGCATTCAGACAGGAATTCCTTCGAAGGGGAATAGTGGTGTCCAGCTGCTGTGTGCTTTCACAACAATTTCTTTATACGTTTACAGGAATTTCTTTATAAGTTTCTTTATAAATGATCTTGTTCTGGTTTGGTAGCTCTTGACACCATATTTGAGTATTCGCACCACTTTATTAAGTGAGTTGGGATGTTTTAAACCAGTTTCACCCACAGAAACTGAGTTGGTGGAAAGTGACAATTCTGAGTGGAAAGAAACTCCTTGAATGGGGCCTTTCATTGAGCTGCAGTTTCCCAATTTTAGAAGCAGCAGCAACAGCTTATGTCTGTGTAGTGTCAGATCTGCTCCTTGGCCTTGACACTGCTCAAAAAACTGGCAAATTGATGTGCATAGATGTTGACATAGGGAAACTGTGCTGAAGATCAGTCACATGTAATATAGTACATATTCTGTGAAGTGCTTTGAGATGTCGTAACGATTTGATGATGCGATTCTGATTTTCACCTACAAAATATACAATCAATTCACTTTACAGTATATTCAGTGAAGCGCTTTGAGACATCGCGAAGATGTGATAAGGCGCTTGTTCAAATGCAAGGATTATTACTTATTAAAATGCACTATTCAAGTATTACTATTATTGTTATTGTGATCGAATGCACATTATTCAGAGTTTGTTGCTTTTCCATTCAGTCACTTGACCTGATCTCACTGTATTCCAGACTACCGTTTGAACCCAGTCCTGAGGAAAGCCTGCAAGGCTGACATCCCCAAGTTCTGCCAAAGTGTTTTGAATAATGTTAAAGATGGCAAAGAGTTGGAGGGTCAAGTTGTCTCCTGTCTAAAGCTCAAATATGCTGACCAGGTAAAGAAGGAGCAGATCTGATATGAAAGAAACCTCTTCCTCTGATTGTATATGAGCCACTTTCATTCCACTTCTTTTTCTATCACCATTGTGTGGTACGATTTACAATCAATTTTTCTCAACTTTTAACAGCTAACGTTTTTTGATTTTCCTTCAGACCACATTAAACCTCACATAAGTCGTATCAGTTAGGAACCATTCATTTAATATGACTTATGCAAAGTATGCGTTGTGACAAACATGGATGGAACATAAACTTTTGAACGGGACCTGGTCAGATTTATGACTTGGGCGATTATACAATTTATACAGTTCAAACTTCTGCTTATAACGTATTATTATAATAATAACAATTCCTTTAAAGCAGGAAATTGTTGTTTAATGGACTTTGTAAGTAGGTTACCTCCATTTTTATTCCCAATGTATCTGCTGGGAGGACAGGTATACGATTAAATACCAGTGTCACCAGAGCAATCTGAAGCTACGAGAGACACTTAGCAGGTCTACTCCATCCCTTCCCCTGCTGGGCAATGCCAACGATATTCTTTGAAAGCAAGTCTTTCATCTGAGACAGTGCATCTACATGATGTCAGTGTGATGTTGAACTCAGCCTGTGCTGTATAATGCACTTGTGTATAACGTTATATAGCTGTATAACGTACTTGCTGGTCACCCAGCTCCCCCTCCTCTGCCCACTACTGGCTGACATCATCAACCAGTCTCTCTCCTCCTGATCAGTCCCTGCCCCCCTCAAAACTGTTGTTATCACCCTCCTCAAAAAACCTTCATTAGATCCCTCAAACCCCAGCAACTTCCGCCCTATTTCTAACCTGCCCTTCCTCGCAAAAGTCCTGGAACGCGTTGTTGCCAATCAACTCCCCGCACACCTCTCCTCCCTCTTCTAACCCTTCCAGTCCGGTTTCCGCCCTGCCCACAGTACAGAGACTGGCTTGTGAAAGTCATAAACGATATTCTCTATCTGTGGCCAGGGCTCCCTCTGCCTCCTTGTCCTCCTGGACTTCTCCGTGGCGTTCGACACAGTCGATCACGCCATCCTCCTCCACCGCCTTTCCTCCGTCATTACCTCAGTGGGACCGCACTCGCCTGGTTTGAGTCCTACCTCACAAATCGCCAGCAGTAAATCTGCACCAACGGCTTCTCCTCCCATTCTCATCCAGTTACCTGCGGGGTAAGGATCCATCCTTGGCCCCCTCCTCTTTCTGATCTACATACTCCCTCTTGTGGATGTCATCCGCAGACATGAGGTACACTTCCACATGTATGCGGATGATACCTAACTCTATTTTTCCACCTCTCTTTGCGACCCCCAGTCCCCTGATGTTGTCAGCTGCCTGTCAGACCTCAGGGGCTGGATGAGCGCAAATTTCCTTCAGTTGAACGTTGACAAGACGGAAGCCATACTCTTTGGCTCTCGTCAACGTCTAAAATCTCATGGCTCTCACCTCCTCCACCTACCCAACCTTCCCTTAAAACTCTACGCAACCTAGGCATCAGGTTCGACCCCAATTATCCTTCCTCCCCCACATCCAGTGCCTCACCAGCACCGCTTTCTTCCACCTCCGACGCATCGCCCGTCTCCGCCAATACCTCTCTCCGAAAGCCGCTGAAACACTGGTCCATGCCTGTGTCACCTCTCGGCTGGACTATTCTAACGCCCTCCTGGTTTCCCCTCCACTTCCATCCACAAAATCCAGATTATTCAAAACTCTGCAGCCCGCATTCTCACCCGCACCAAACTTCGCTCCCCGATTACCCCAGTCCTTGCCAGACTGCACTGGCTGCCTGTCCCAGAGAGGATCGACTTCAAGATCCTCACCTTTGTCTTCAAATCCCTGCACTCCTCTGCACCTCCCTACCTCTCTGACCTCCTCTCCTCAAAACTGCCCGTTGCCTTCGTGACTCTGGGTCTTGCCTCCTCCTTGTCCCCCTGAGTCCTCCGCTCCACCCTTGGTAGCCGTGCCTTCAGCCACTATGCCCCAAGGCTGTGGAACTCCTTTCCTTACTCCCTTCACCTCGCCTCCTCTCTTCCTATTTTCAGGTCTCTGCTGAAGTCCTTTCTTTTCGACCACACCTTCGGTCACCTTCCTTCCCCTGGCTTGGCCCTGGGATCCGTTACTATTACTGTCCGTTACTATCCGGCTGGAGGGCGCTATATACATCCAAGTTGTTGGTGTGGGAAGGTTAAATTGTGCTTAGAGAATAAGGAAAACTAAAATATTATATAAACCTAGTTTTTTAGCAATGATTAAGCGGTGTATTTTACAAGTATGATTCACTCGTGAGAGAAATGATCATAAATACTGGGGAGCTCCCAGATTTGTGAGGACATGTAGCCAGCAGTTTATCAGCTTGTGATCTGGTGTCAGAAGGCTGCTCACAAAGGCTACAGTGATCAGTTGTTACTCTTAGTACATAGAAGACATCTACAATAAAAACAACTTTGTGGTGGATAAAATGAGTTCTGTGTATTCAATTGTTGGGAGCCAAACAAATTAGTGATACAGCCTGATCCTTTTCCAGCTTATTATACTGATGACCTTCAGAGTTACAAAGCCCAGTTATATTCCCACTGGAGCCCACTTTGTATTTTCTTTGTTGATGGAAATACTGTATCCTGACCTCTTCAGAATATCTACTGACTCTATGATTCCTTGGCAGCGCTTATCACCTGACTGTGAGGATCAGATCCGTGTGATTATCCAGGAATCTGCCCTGGACTACAGGCTCGACCCACAGCTGCAGCTTCACTGTTCCAAAGAGGTGAATAGGACTTGGATAGCTTGAGGTTTGGGGCAGGAGGAATGTGATGCAGAGTACGATGTGGGTAGAGTGTATCAATGTGGTTTTTGGCAGGAGGAATGCACCATACGGTAGGACTTGTGTAAAGTATAACAATATGGTTTGAGGTTGGGAATGCAATATCGGGTTGGATGTGGGTAAACTATTATCAGTGTGGATTTGGCCAGGGGAAATAACCTGTAGGATAGAACTCGTGTAGAATATATCACTGATTTGGGGCAGGGTGTTTGTAGTGTGGATGATAGCTTGAGTAGAATATCGATATGGTTTAAATCAGGGTGAAGGAGCAGAGTCAGCAATGTAAGTGAGTTGGATTGAAGTTGTTTTTCCCGTTTCCTAGATTAACAATTTGTGTGCTGAGGAGGCGGCAGCACAGGAGCAGACAGGGCAGGTGGAGGAGTGTCTGAAAATCAACTTGCTGAAGATCACAGGGGAGGGCTGCAAAAAGGTGAGATTGGGTTTTTATTATCGAGGATTATAACAACCTTTCACTTGCCCTTACCTAATGATGATGTTTTGCCCACAAAATATACAGTCAATTCACTTTACAGTGAATCCTGCGAAGTTCTTTTGAGACGTCTCAAGAATGTGATAAGGCACTATATCAAATGCAAGGATTATTATTATTAACTCTGGGAGGGCGATAGATTAGATCTCCAAGGTTGGCCATAGCGTTTGTTCTCTATTCCTCTTGCACTCGTAACGGTTTACGAGCCAGAGTTGTCTGGTTTCCAAACCACTTTGCATTGGTTACTATTGTGGTCCAACCTATAATTATTAATATTGGTCGTATCTAATCAATTTAAAAGTCCGATCCTCTGGTGAAGCTTACACAGATGTAAAGTTTTACTGATATTTTGCTTCATCACTGGTGTTGGCTGGATCTCTGAAAGGCCATGTAATAACCAAATGGAATAAAGGAGTTTTTATTCCCCAATATCCTGCCCAACAATCCTCCAGATGCATTTTTTTTTCACTTGGCTGTTTTTGTGAAGTTTGCTGTGTGCAAATGTACGTCTGAAGTGAATCGATTTGCTACAGCTGCATTTGTTGGCAGTTCTCTGTGAAGCACTTTGAGGCCTTTCGGTGTGGTATCAGGTGCAAAAATGATCAAGTTAGGAGCAGTATTGAGTGTGTTTCAGTGGTGCTCTTCCTGTTTAAAGAACAAACTAGCTGATTATGATCCCCCTCTTTTCGGGGGATCCTGCTGTTGTGTTGGCTGAAAGTATCCCTAACACTACCTCATCCCAAGTGGTCATCCTTGGTGAGTGAGTCTCAGCAGCCAGTGTTGGTGCAACTTAATAACCAGCAATTCTGCTGGAAAGGGGGCACGACAAAATGGACCTGGCACTCTATCTTTTTCAGCCAGGAGATATTATATTAATAATAATAATCCTTGTATTTCATATAACGCCTTATCACATCATTGAGATGTCTCAAAGCACTTAACAGCATATACTGGGTTGAGTGTATATTTTGTGGGTGATTACTGGGTTGAGTGTATATTTTGTGGGTGATTTGAAACTGAGGTCAGCTAAATTCATACAAACTAGGGAATCAAACCTATGACCTTCTGATTGTTTAATTTACCCACTGAGCCAACAGAAAGGCGCTCTAAACATGTTAAAGAGTTTGCTGCTGGGGGTCAGAAGGCTTCAGCTACATTCAGTCTAATCGCTGATTTATTTCTTCTGTAGGAGGTGTTGAACATGCTTCAGGAGAGTAAAGCTGATATCTTTGTGGACCCGGTACTTCACACAGCCTGTGCTCTCGATCTCAAACACCAGTGTGCCTCCATCCTACCTGGAAAGGGACGCCGTAAGTGTATATACTGTCGCTGGTTCCAGAGGATGGAGGCTTTGTTCTTGTTTTTTATTCCAACAATTAACCTGAGCAGCTTCCTCACACATCGCATCAATACACTGAACCCTCACATAATAATCCTTACATTTTTATCCTTGCGTTTTTTTTACATAACCTTCTACTCCAATGCGGCGCTGTTCTTTGGATGAGATGTTATACCGAGGCTCTGTGTCTGCCTATTCAGGTGAATACTAAAAATCCCACGCAACTATTCAAAAAGAGAAGGGAGTTTCTCCTGGTGTCCTGGCCAACAACTCCCTCAGATAAATTGGTCTTGGCTGTGGGATATTGCTGTGTGCAAATTGACTGCCCACAAAATAGTCTCTGTACTTTACAGTAAACCCTGTGAAGCACTTGGAGACATCCTCGCAACATGAAAGGAGCTCTTAACTAATGCAAGGATTATTACATTCTACACTGCCCAAATATCTAGAAGCCTGAGTCATTTTTAAATTTTAAACAAAACCGCATTCCCTGGAGAAGTTTTATTTGAACATCTGAAGACAGAGACAAAAAAATTATTTGTATACATCGAAAGGGCTTCCTCGCTCGTTCGCTCCCAGGCACCGAATGGCACGTCCGACAAACAAACATCTGACGAACAAGAGACCATCCATCGCTCCTGGTTGAGGAGACGGTAGTTTTACCAAATTTACAGAGCTTGACAAGCGTTTTTTTCTTTCACAGAAATGTCCTGCTTGCTGGAGGCGTTAGATGACAAGACAGTGAGGTTGCAGCCAGAGTGTAAGAGGAGATTACAAGATCGCCTGGAAATGTGGAGTTATGCTGCAAAGGTACAAATGGGGTAACGGGAGGCGGCAGATACAGGGAGGGGGTAGTGGTACAATGACACTCTCGCTCTCCGATTTCTGCCACCAGTTGTATTTGGTAAAGGATTTATTTGGTGGTCCAACCTTTGGGCTGCTGAGAGCTGGATGGCCCATATTGCTTAGGCAGGCTGGTAAACAATATGGACCACAGTGTTATAAAAGCTCACAGCTCATCTAAGCAGATCAAGTCTCCGATGATCTTGGACTGTGCCCTTTCTCCATGACACGATTCTCATCAGTAAAGCCTTTACCCAGCGTAACACCATGAGCTTTAAAATTCATACGGTATCTCTTTTGGGAAGCAGCAAGAATTGTCGAGAGTTTCTTCCAGTGTCCTGGCCTATTATCCCTAGCTAAAATTTGGTCATTCTCGTCATGACATTTGTTGGACTTTGCAGCAGCAAATTGGTTGCTAAGTTTGCCTACGCAATGGTCGCTACACATTATAGTAAATCCTGTGAAGTACTTTTGAGACATCATTCTGATGAGAAAGGACCTAATTCAAGTGCAAGGAAGACGGAGGATAAAAAGATTCTACAATATAGACTTCAGTCCCAATTGATAATAATAATTATCCTGGCATTTCATATAACGCCTTATCACGTTGTTGAGACACCTCAAAGCGCTTCACAAAATAAACTGAAGTGAATTGACTATGTTTTTTGGGAGAAATACAGCAGTCTATTGGCACAGCAGTATCCCACAAACAACAACAAAAATACATTTAACAGTTGTGGGTTGAGTGACTCATTTTTATTTAAGGGATTACCAAAGGAAATGCCAGACCTCATCTGTTTGTGAGCTGTTAGTTGTGTCTAATCTAAAGTAAAATGGTGTAAAGCAATGCTGGAATCTTTATCTGAAGCTTTCAGTTGACACAAACTCCTGTTTCTTTTTCCCTGCAGGTCGCCCCAGCTGAAGGATTTGCAGATTTAGCCTATCAAGTGATGACATCTCCATCCAAAAACTATCTAATGGCCTTGTTGGCGCTGGGAGTGTGTGTGTTATTTCTGCTGGGGCTGACTTGTGGTAGGATCACCAAACGAGTTACACGGGAGCTGAAGGATAGGTAGAGCAAGGCAGGGTCATGCCTTTGTACAGCCTCTGTGTATAGTCTCCTTAAGTAAGAGCAGCAGACCCAATCCGATCCTTAAACTCTCTCACGATTTGTTCTTCACAGATTTCAACTACAAAAACAAATGTGTGAGCAAACAGCTGCTGCATCTGCTTCAGCAGGACTCCTCTCTTTAGTTTCCTGTAGACTTGGTTCCCATTGTGTATCTGAATCATGTTCACCCTGATCAAACGTCTTACTGGTAGCAGTCTCATCCAACAGAGATTCTCACCAATGGAAAAGGTAACTCTGCCATAAACAGACCTCCAAAGATTTGTACCCGTTCAAACAAGATTGTAGGATGTCTGCTTCAGCTTTGTTTGCGTTCTGTTTTGTTATAAAGCTAACTGTACAAAACCCTACTTTCTTTCGCCGGTTAGATTAATCTCTTTGAGTTTTCTTTTGTGTGGGAGAGGGGTGATGGGTGGTGAGCATTGTCCTGCATTATAAGTCATTGTCCGTCATGTTTCCAGATGTTATGCGATGTTGAGCCGTAATGGTTAGAAGAATGTTTCTGTGTGGCAGTCCCTGAGCTTGCAGGCATTAAGGTTAAAATTAACATACTTACTAAAAAAATTTTTAGCATAAGGTCAATTCCTAATCTCTGTCGTCTTCATCTTGTGCTTTGACAGTTCAGTCACATAGTTGGCACCAGTTCACTTGTGCTACCTGGCAACAGGTTTCACATTTCGTCTTTCTCAATTGAATGAAAAGGGATCTTAAGGGACCATCCGCTAGACTGGGCTCTGACTGTACAAACGGGTTTATTTTTTTCCTCCTGTGAGCAAATGAAGGTCATGATACGTTTCTTCCTCTGACAAGATAGTGTATCCCTTGTGAACCTATAATTTCTGTGTAATCTGTATTGGTGTGCGATTTCTCACTTGCATTCTGGCCACCATGGTGTTGTGGGATGAAAGCCCAACTGGCAGAAAGCTAGGCATGAAATTGTCAAGTTTAAGGTTAGTAGAACGAGTGAATATAAAAGTTACACACACACAGTGATCCATAACGAGGTCACGGACAAATTCAGCGTTAAAACTTCCATTCTGTACACTGAATGCTAATATCTGAGAAGAAGCAACACTGATTAAAATAAAAACACACACACACAGGAACAAATCCCGTGGCTGCGTTTTTTCATTTTTGAAAGAATTATTTTTTTTGAACAATTTCCAAACTTGCTCGTTGCCAGGAGCCCTTTTTCCGTAAACAAATCTACACGATCAGAAATACATAGTTAATTTACACAAAAAGGAACTGGTGCTTGTCCCTTTCAGTTGGTCATTGAGGGAATCTCTTTTGGATGCTAAAGCAGTGACCAGCACCATTCCACTCTGTTGTAAATCTACCCATCGTCCTCAACACACGCTTCTGAACAGCATTCACAATATGTACATTTTTAATACCGATCTACTGCTAACAGAAGTCTCATGCACATTTTTTAAAAATTAAATCATAGCCTTATTTATTGTTTACTAATAATCTCTAGCAGGGTCATGGCCTGTAATCATGGACTCTTTCTGTTGCCTTCGATTTAGTTCTGGTGTGGATTTCCCTGGTCACGGCTTGGTGACTGTCATTGTGCGGAGGGGCTGGCCTGCATGTTGCAGACTTGGGATTATGCGTCTTTTTTTGTTTTCTTTTCATTTCCTTTGTGTTAGGGGTGTTTAAATTTTTTTAATACAGAATATCTGTAGTGAAATTGTGTACAGTGAGACTCCAAGCCATTGGCGCCCTGTGTGTTGTACAGACAAACACAAAAAAAATCGTGCGTTGTACTGCTATAGGTGTCAATGTCACTTTGAAGTAAAAAATTTACAAACTTGACAATTTTCGAACTGTCCAGTTTTGTAAAAAGAAAAAAAAATTCTGTGTATAAAATCTGCTTCACGATCGTACAAGATACTTATTTCAGATCATGCTGTGTAATTTGAGATGTTAATGAAATCCTAACATACAAGCTTTTTTTGTTCTGTACAGATGAAATGGGAGAATTTATTAATAAAAGGTCTGCAGGTTTTTAAAATTTGTTCTTTCCGTTTGAGTCCTTTTAATTTTTTTAACAAAAATCTTGGATTAAATGGTGAAGTGTTTCGAAAGGTCATCTGGGTGAGTATTCCAGGGATTTGAAGAATATATATGTCTTACAATGGGCATTATTCACAAAGAGGTGAATGAGGCACCTATTTGATCTTCTACTTTCAGAACGTTTACCCTGGAAGGCAAATCAGCCCTCGTCTATCTAATCATTCCTCAGAGCAGCACTGAGCTCCCTTAAAAAAATAGCCTTAGTTTACCTAGAGTTGTTCGTAGATTGGCGGATCGCTTTTCTGGGGATAATCATTGGAGAATGATAAATGCAGAAGTCGTTTGGAATCAGCTTGTATTTGAAATATTTAATTTTAAAAAACTATTTGAGGGGTTTTCTTTTTTGTGAATGAACCAAATTTATAGAAATTTGAAATTCTATTTCAACTCAAAACCCGGTTCAGGCTGTTTCCAGTAAAGTCTGCTGGGGATTAGGATATCAAACCTCTGTCAGATTCTTGATTGCTCGCCTCTTTGGATGCCACAACATAATTTCAAAGGCAGTGTGATTGGATGCATGTTTGCATTCCTGTACGGCGAGCCGCTATTGTTCCTTTATGCTGTGTAAAATAAAATACACTGATTGTTCATTGGGACATTGCCCCTCTCAGGAGTTGGGTAAGTATGTTGTGATCTTACAATCCCCGTCTGTAACGATTTTACTACTGGGTGTCGGAAGAGCCTTTCTGAAAATTGTCAACCAACACCAACTGGGTAATGACACTTGGTATTTTGGAACTGAGCTCTGTTCACCAGATCTTTGTAGTGGTACAAAACCTTAACTGATGAAATGTGACGACTTATTAACTAAAAATTTTTTTCTTAAGTGCTAAGACCAAAAATATCGGGGGAGAATTATGAGAAATTCACATAACCCAATCACATCAAATCTATCATTAATCTCTTGCACGATTGAAGATTAAAGCTGTTGGTTAATTAAGTACATGAGAAGGAGAGCTGTTCTGACAAAAAGGTGCTTGAAGTTTCATGAATAATTCAGGACATTTTTTGATTCATTACAAGCTAAAAGGCTTCATCGTGCTGTGTTAAATGTCCTCTTCTAAACTTCTCCCTGCGCCCACCCCCTATTTGCATCTGAGGGATAGAACTACAGCAGAGAGAGATGTGGATTTTCTAATTTAATACAGTTTACTATTATATAGCACAGTTGGGAGGATGTCTCAAAGCACTGGTTACTTTGCATTACAAGGATTTAAGTGATTGAAGAGCAGGAACAACTGATCCAAAATATGTCACTTCAGATGCGAGCTTGGCATGGCCTGGGCCGATAGAGAAGTGAGAGCATTTTGCAAAAAAAAATTGCGGAGGTCTTTGCTAAATTTTGCAGGGGTTGTTGGCTGCTATTGAGGTAGATTTTACTGCTATTTTTTCACTATTGGTTAAAAACTAAACAAGGAAATAACAGATTGTTGCAAAAAAAATTAATTGCTTTAACAAAAACTGGGTGGCCTTTTTTTTGGGGGGGGGTGGGAGGAGGGAGAGTGATACAAACTCAGACACGGAGACACACATACGCTCATAGATATAGACAAACACGCAGGTAGACACACACGCAGTGTCACTCTCAGAGTGAAACTCAGTGTGTCACTCACAGTGATACTCACAGTATGTCACTCACACACACAGACAATCACAACAGCAGGGCTTCTGCGTGTAGCCCATTTGCTGCCTGCGCCGCACTGCACATACGTGTCCGCCCCACAATGACGTCATGTAAACAGCGTGAGCCTCCCGCGGGCCAGAAACTACACTTATGTGGGGTTTGTAGCTGGGGGAATGCGGAAAAGGTGCAGTCGCACTTTTCTATCATAAAACAGTCACACCACTTCACAATCTATTCTGTGAAGTCCTTTGAGATGTCCTCCCGACCTGAAAGGCGCTATACCAAATATTTCCACCTGGGGGAGGGAAGGAGAGGCAAGGGGGGGGAAATAAATTGAGAGCTTTTATTTTCACGCCATTATATGAAATTTTATATTTGCAGTGCTGCATATGTTATTAAATTGGTCTATAATAATTTGCAACATTTCAAGGGCGCAATACTGTTCAAATAATGCAAATATCTCGGTGCAGTTGTTAGTGTAATCTATTAATGCAATGTGGGTGCAAATCTCTTATACTACTTAAGAATGAAGAAAACCCTTTTTTGTGCTTATGCAGTTGAAATATCTCACAGGGAATCACTGTAAGTGTGGGATATGTATTTAGGTAAAATGCAGAAGCTGTAAAATGACCACTTTCTCTGGAGGATTGTTGGCTCAGACATTGGGGCATCTTTAATCTCCACCTGAACCTTGATATAACATCTCATCTGGAGGATGCCACCTCTGACAAGGCAACGCTCCCAGTACTGCACTGTCCGGCTGCTTGTCAGACTCCGCCCGCCACTGTGAATCACTCCGGGACGCTACCCCGCATGAAGGGTGCTATATAAGCACAAGTCGTTGTATTCTATAAATGCAAGTTGTAGTTTCATTCATAATAATAATTCAAAGCTCTGCCGCCCGCATACTGGACTCAGCGGTGAGAGCGCTCGCTTTGCAAGTGAGAGACCTGAGTTCAATTCCAGGCAGAGGGCAAAACCTTGGACAAGTTTCCTTACTCCACACAGAGCCTAATAATAATCCCTCCAAAACCAAAAACAATAATAAATTGGTCATTTTCAATCTACGACTGTTTGTGGGACATTGCTGTGCGCAATTGGCTGCCGCGTTCGCCCACAAATATACAGTCACTTCACTTTACAGTGTGTTCTGTGAAGCGCTTTGGGACGTCCTCCCGACGTGAAAAGCGCTATATCAAATGCGAGGATTATTATTATTATTATTGCTGACCCGGACCTCACCGGTGCTGACCCGGGAGCCCCGTCACTGACCCCACACCCGGACAACACAACAGCAAATCACTGTCAACCACTGGGACAGTGAGCCCAGCAGTGACGTCACTGCCCGTCTCGGGAACGGCGACAGTGTTGTGGGTGAACAGGTGAACCGGCACTGTGCGCATGCGTACACGCAGACCCCGCCCCCACGCGGCCCCCGTTGACGCCGTGGAACGCGCTGACGCTGAGGGACGTGATGACGCAGAGCGGAGCGCGAGGCGGTGACGGAGCCGACGCCGGTGCTGAGGGCGGCGCCGGGACACTGCGCGGGGCGGCGGCCCCCGTCACCCACACACACACAGCCACAAACCCGGGGAGGGAGGGGCAGCGCCAGGACCCGGGGCAGAGGGGGAGGGCGAGGCCTGTGAGGAGCGGCAGCAGGTAAATGGGCCGCACTCCCCTCCCCCCACCGTAGGCCTCAGCCCGGGGCCGGCGGTGACCCGGTGGCCGGGGCGGGGCTGCACTGCTCTGGGCAGAGCTGGAGGTCAGAGAGGGTCAGGGCTCGGCCCCCACCGGCCCCAAGACACCCAGTGCTGCTGCTGCTGCTGCTCAGGATTCTCTGTTTAAACTACTCTCCTCAACACCACAACACGTCCTCCTGAGGCGCTGTGTGTAACAACATAATTAATAATAATAATAATAATATCATAATAATAACCCTAACAATCTGCCGATGATAATCGCGGCGCCGCTCATCGCGTCTTCTCGACGCGTTCCCAAGCGCTTCGCGGAATAGACTGTAAAGCGAATTGACTGTGTATTTTTGTGGGCGAAACGCGGCAGCCGATTGCGCACAGCGGCGTCCGCCCCACACGCAGTCGCGGAATGAGCGACTCCGTTTTTTTTTGTGTGTAAATGCAATTATTTGTTGTTGTGCTTAACTCTTCCCTCTCTCCCCCCATCTCCCTCTCCCTTCCTCAGTCCCCAATAATGTTCACCTACAGTACTCTATAAAAGTTCCGCTTGTTGTTCTGCAGTCCGGCATATGGAGAGCGCTACATAAATCCAAGTTGTTGTTGTCCGCCACTGTACCGACAATTTTCAAGAGCAGCTGCAAAATGTTGCGTACGTCCCTCCTTTCAAGGTTATCAGAAGGGGAGGGTGGGGGCTGAGCACTTAATGAATCGAGGCACTGCATGTTTTGACTGCTCGCAGTCGTAGGTCGAAAGGTTATGTGATTGAGTCAGATAGTACACCTCGTGTGTCTGATACTCCTAAGTGAGGGTGCGCCTCAATGCTGGAAGTGACACCCTTTGGACGAGACAAACTAAAGTTCTATTTTATAATTCTTGCATTTGGTACAGCACATTTCATGTCAGGGGGATGTCTCAAAGCACTTTGCAGAATATATTGAAAAAAATGCAGTCACTATTTTCTGGGTGGATGCAGTAGCCTATTTGCATATGGCAGTGTTCTACAAACAACCACAGTACAACAACAACAAGATTACATTTGTATAGCGCCTTACACGTCGGGAGCATGTCCCACGGCGCTGGACAGTGACCAGCATTTCAGACCGAGCTGGGGTCAGGGAGCCAGAGGGGAGGGGAAGGGGGGTGACCGATGATATAATAATAATCCTTGCATTTGATAAAGCGCTTTTCACGTCTTCGCGACGTCTCAAAGCGCTTCACAGAATAGACTGTAAAGTGAATTGACTGTATATTTGTGGGTGAAATGCGGCAGTCAATTGCGCACAGCAGTGTCCCACAAACAGTCGTGGATTGAAATGACCAATTTATGGTCGACGAGGAGGGTTTTGAGGCGGCACTTGAAGGAGGCTAAGGAGGGGGCGAGGCAGAGTGACTGGGGGATGGAATTCCAGTGATTGGGGGCTAAGTGGCTGAAGGCTCTCCTGCCAATGGTGGGGTGGGTTGGTCGGGGGTGTGGAGCCGGCTGAGCGGAGGGAGCGGGCCGGTTGGTAGGGGGTTAGGAGATCACAGAGATAGGGTGGGGCGAGGCCATGAAGGGCTTTGTAAGTGAGGACCAGGATCTTGAACTGGATCCTCTGAAGGATAGGGAGCCAATGGAGTCGGGCGAGAAGAGGGGAGATGGGGTCAAGGAGTTTGGTGCGGGAGAGGACACGGGCTGCAGAGTTCTGGATTATCTGCAGCCTGTGGAGGGAGGAGTTGGGAAGGCCGACAAGCAGGGGGTTTGCATAGTCGAGCCCGGAAGTGAAGAAGGCATGAACAAGAGTTTCAGCGGCCTGAGGGGTGAGGTAGTGGCGGAATTGGGCGATTTTACGATGTAAAGTGAGTGAGCAATTTTATTTGGGAGATTGTTGACCAGGTCACCGGGAGAAGCTCCCTTCACTTTCCAAATAGTCCCTGGGGTATTTAACATCCTCTTGAACGGGCAGTTGTGCCCTCAGTTTAACATCTCATCCGGAGTGTGGTGTCCTGTCGTGTATTGGTTAGAGCGCTCGCCTCGCAAGTTGGGTTTGATTCCCGGCAAACTGTCCACACGCCTCTGTTTGCCTATCAGTAAGTAGGAACCCAGTTGTTATTCGATTGGTGGATCGCTTTCTGGGGATTATATACAAATACAAACAAACAAAAAATAATAATTTGGTCTCTCAATCCACGGCCCACAATCTTCTCAAACTCCATCCCAGCGTTCCTCCGATTCGATCCAGGCTCTTGTTCAAGTAGTGCCTTATTTAACTATTTTTGGTCATCTTTTTCCTCCCAAGTCCCTTTGGCTCCCACGCCCAGCTCAGGTGCCCAGTCAGCAGTGTCGAGCGCGTGGGACATCCATTATATAAATGTAAACTATTGGATATTGGAAGTTGAAGGAAATGTCAATAGATTAACTAGATAACAAACATCATAATCGCCATCAAGATTCTCTTTAATTGTACCTGACGCCCATGTATCTAACCTGTACATCTTTGCAGTTTCAGGAAGCCTTGTTGGGCTGCCCCGGTTCTAGTGTGAGCAATGAGGAGCTGCTGTGTGCTGGGATGGAGTTGTTTGCAGCCTGATATGTTTCCCCGGCTCTTGTCCAAGGGCAGCTGCCTCAGGCAGCACCATCTATCTATATGCTGCTGGAGAAGAAGCAGCTCCACAGTATCGGAGTCGAATATCAGGCCCCTGCCTGGACAGGCCAGGGTTGTGATCTGTGGAGGGGGGATGATTGGCACCTCAGTGGCTTACCACCTGGCCAAACTGGGCTGGAGCGACATTGTTTTGCTGGAACAGGGACGGTAAGAAATTGAAGCGAGGGACCTGTCAAAATGTTGAGAAAAATGATTTGTTGCAGTCAAATCAAACCCACCTCAGTGAAGGGCTGGTAAGCACTACACAGGATGTTCATAAAGTCCTGTTTAATCCCCTTCACCCCCCCCCCTCACCCAACCACCAACAGCTGAAAGACATGGAAGAATGATGATAATTATATCTGGAAGTACTTAATTGTATTCAGTACAAGTGTTTAACTGTATTTAGACGTCTAGAGGATTGGTGTGTGTGAGTGAGCTCCATCATTTTCATGGCAGATAATGATCTGTCGCCATGTTCGGTGCAACATCTTCCATAACATGGATGGAGTGAGTGAGGAGGAAGTTACTGGTGTCAGACATTATTACACTCGACTCATCTGCAACAGAAAATAAATAATCATTGTAAGGAAAAATCAGGGGGTAACGGGACTTTGTGAACACCCTGTAGATAGTGCTGTACTATTTTGAGGAAGGTAAAGGGATTTGGCTAATTTGTCATCTCCATAAGACAGCAGCTGAGGACAGTATGGCCCCCCTACCGGCTGCTGGTTGAGATCAGTGCAGGCTGGGAATGTGGCTTTGCACTACATCAAGTGATTGTTTACTTGCCCATTGGAGGAGCCCCTTGTATATTTTTGTGACTTTTTTAAAAAAAAAATTATATTTATATTTTTGTGGAGTAGCACTCAGCTCGGAAGTGAGAGGATCCTAATTTGATTCCTGGACGGGGCAAAATCTTAGTCAAGTTTTCTTTACTTCACACGCCTCTGTTTACCTTGCAATAAATAGTAACCTGGTTGTCAGTCGATTGCTGGATCACTTTCCGAGGGGTAAAAATCTCTTAAAATAAACAATTGATCACTCAATCCACAACTGATTGTGGGACAGTGCTGTGCGCAATTGGCTGCTGTGTTTCGCCCACAAAATACCAAGTCAATTCACTTTATTAACAACAACTTACACTTATATAACGCCCTCCACACACTGTTACATGATATAATGTATATATAATGCAACCCAACAACGTGATAAGGCGCTATATCAAATGCAAAGATGACTATTATCCACTATGTGAGCGAGAGATTGTGTGTGAGTGAAAGGAAAGGCCCTCCCGCTTGTCCCTGTGTTGAATTGGTTGTGTTGGTTTGGACAGGTTAGCAGCTGGAACCACACGGCTCTGTGCCGGCATTCTGAGCACCGTCAAGCACATCTCAATAGAAACCAAGATGGCCGACTACTCAAACAAACTTTACCAGCAACTGGAGAAAGAGACTGGCGTCAAGATAGGTATTGGCCTTTGGTGTTTTTATAGCCAGTACTGTGTTTCCCAAGGGGTTAAGAATTGAGTTAAGAATTGACGATAAATGATTTCTATGTTATTGTGAAGTTGGTGGATTGACAGCATGCTGGAGCTTGGTGTATTGAGCAGATATAGGATTATTGTGCATTTGGGGTCGATTTTAATTAAGGTGTCTGTACACCTACTTGGGTTTGGGGGGATGTCCACAGTGTAACTATTAACAGAACTGGTCAGCTATTCCTTTTGCCAGGTTACAGCAGGACTGGTTCGATCTCACTGGCTCAGACTCACGACAGACTTATCTCCCTGCGTCGTCTGGTCTCACGATTACAGTAAGTAGGAAAACGGGTAGTCTTTCAGTGGTAAAGCGGCCAAATGATTCTGCAAGTGTGCAGGTTGACCGGGGGGGGTGGGTGGCAGAGGGCTTGTTGTATGGAAGCATCTGAATGCCTTATGTTTTTGAGTTGGAGGGTTGGGTGAAGCCTCCTGCTGCTTCTAAACAGAACGAGCTTCGGATTCTGATTTCTGTGCCAAGGACACTGACATTTGTGTAGCATTCAGAACACTCAGAGTAGTTTGTGTCTGAACAGTGCATCCCAATCCCTAGTAATGAATGTCAGTAACCTACCCAATGACAGGATAGAGAAGCACATTTCCATCTCCACACATTCCATCTCGCTACGCACACTTTCTGTATCTTTACTGCAGGCGTACATTAATAGGGCCTGAAATCTGGTATTGGTGATAGAAAGCCAGAAATGGCATCCTCAATCGGTAATCATTTCTGCACTCTGATGCTGTTGTCTGGTTAGTGTAAGCTGAGTGGAGTTTCCTCAGGTTGGCGCAGCAAGCATCTAGCAGTGATTGGCTGCGACATTTCACCCATAAAATACAGTCACTTCACTTTACAATACATTCTGTGAAGCGCTTTGAGACATCTCGACGATGTGATAAGGTGCTATTTTACATGCAAGGATTATTATTATTTACCACATTTTGTGTTTTCCCCTAAAGTCAGTAGTGCACCCCCCAAACTTTCTTTTCAGACGTAAATTCCCTACTTATCCTATGAAACTGGTTCTGCCAGGTTACAAAAACAATTAGTTTTTTTCCACTGCACATGTGCTGGAAGCTTCACCCGACGATCCAGCTCCCTGAGCCTCCTGGTCTCTCTGGAGAGGATGGTTGAGGCCAGGACACTGGACTCATTTAAGAAGCAACTTATCAAAAAATAGGATAGGCATTATTGGGAGGATGAGATCAAATGGCTTGAAGGTCTTCTTATTTCTCCAGACTGATGGAATAAGCGCACAGTCATAATGGTTTGTGTTTTTTGCTCTCCGGTCAGTGTGCAGTGAATGACTGAAAATGTTTTGTACGTCATGTATTGCCAGGGTGATGGGGGTACCCTGTGACATCATCAGCCCCAAAGAGGTAGCGAAGTTGCACCCCCTGGTGAACATCCACGACCTGGTGGGAGCCATGCACGTTCCCGGGGATGCTGTGGTCTCGACCCCCGACGTGGCCCAGGCTCTAGCCACTGCCGCTGTGCTGAACGGTGAGTCCTCAGTCCGTCTCCACCACATCATTCTGCAGTTATACACGTCAGCTGTGAGGTTATGGACAGCTCATCTTTATTCCATGTCACACATCACGATTGGAGCAAAGGAACGTAAGAAAGTGTCTGGAATGGGGAAAAGGCCATTCACCCCATCAAGCTGCTGCTCCTACAGCCTCAACCACTGTATATCAGGGACCTCAGCTCACCATCCTATCTCCTGGGGAATATATTACTCAGACACTCCCTGACCCTTATTTATCCACTACTCAAACTGCAGCAGAGGAATCATTGCCTTCCCCATCCTGGCAGTCGCTTGCACATGTCATGTCCCAAACTGTATACTGTATCCTGAGATACTGTTACAAAGCTGTAAAGGTCTGACTGTAAGATGCCAATGAAACATGTTGTCATCCACGGTAGGTGTGCAGATACACGAGAGGACCAGTGTCAGTCATGTGACGGTGCAGCAAGGTCAAGTAACCGGAGTTGAAACTGACCGAGGGCAGATGGAGTGTGAATACTTTGTGAACTGTGCAGGGCAGGTAAGCAGCCGTGGGCAGCACTGTATATATGTTGAATAAATGGGAGTGAGGGTGGAGGAGAATAGTGTATGAATGCTCCTTTTCTGTTAGGAATGAACTGCAATAGAAAATGTTCCACCATGGTAACCACTAGGCAATGTTCGCTATAAATGTTAGCCCTTGTCTGGTCTCCTCTGCGTATGTATCTGTAGCCTTTTTACCATTCAAAAGTAAACGCCATTACTTTTTACCATTCCCTTCACGCTGTGCAGTGGAACAGTGCACTGTATTGTTTGAGATATTGTCCTTCAGATGAGATGTTAAACCAAGGTTCTGTCTGCTTGTTCAAGCAGGCATTACAGATGTCATGGCACTATTTGAAAAGAGAAGGTTTTACCCGATGTCCTGGCCAACAAACCCCCAATGAAATTAGTCACTCATTTCACTGCTGTTTGTGGCACATTGTTATGCGCAAAATTGGCTGCTGCATTTGCCCACAAGAACCCAGTGAATATCCTGTGAAGCTCTTTGGGACGTCCTCCTGGAAAGGCACTGTACAAAGCAAGCCTTATTATGATTATTTGGATCCGAGCAACTCCGGATTTGCTGACACTTGTCCTCTCCTCTCTCTGGTCAGTGGGCCTATGAACTGGGGCTGGTGAGCGAAGCGCCTGTAACTGTCCCATTACACCCGTGTGAACATTTTTACCTGGTGACGCGACCCCTGAAGGAAGCACTCAGCCCTGAGACGCCAGGTAAGAACGACGGCCTGAGACCGTGCTGTGTGCTGCCGGCTTTTCCTAAGGATCGTTTTGTATTTAGAAATTCCCTACATCATTTTCAGGAGTGCAATAGCCCTTTGCGAAAGGGCGAGTTTGCTATTCTGATTGCAGAGGAAAGTTTCATTAAGCAAAACATTGAGATCTGAAGGGTTTAAAGCATGTCTGGTCAATGAACTGGAAAAAAAAAACTTGTGGAGAAAGGGATTGAAGTTTTGAGGCTTCCCTTTCTGTCTGCACTTGTCTGTACTTTGGCATTTTTCCCAGTCTGGGATGAGAGATTTATTGAATGTTCTGCCAAACTAGTTCACTTACAACTCCTGGAATCATTAGAATTATACAGCACAGAAGTAGGCCATTTGGCCATTGTGTTTGTGTCGACTCTTTGAAAAGAGCTATCCAAATCAATCCCACTCCCCCGCTCTCTCTCCATAGCCCTGCAATTTTGTCCTCCCCAAATAATTATCTATTTCTCTCTTAAAAGTTGCTATTGAATTGGCTTCCTACCCTTTCAGGCAATGCATTCCAGATCCGAACAACTCAATGTGTGGAAAAAAAAATTCTCCTCACCTCCCCTTTTTTGTTAACAATTATTTTAAATCGGTGTCCTCAGGTTATCGACCAGTGGAAATAGTTTCTCCTTGTTCACCCTATTGAATCCCCTCATAATTTTGAAAACTTCTAATAAGTCTCCTCTTAACCTTCTCTGCTCCAAGGAGAATAATCCCAGCTTCTCTAGTTGCTTCTGATAACTGAAGTCCCTCAATCCTGGTACCATCCTGGTAAATCTCCTTTGCACCCTCTCCAATGCCTTGACATCCTTTCTAAAGTGTGGGGCCCAGAACTGAACACAGTAATCTAGCTGAGGCCTAACCAGTGTTTTATAAAGGTTCGTCATAACTTCCTGACTTTTGTATTCTATGCGCCTGTTTATAAAGCCTCGTATCCTATATGCTTTTTTAGCTTTATCTACCTGTTCTGCCACTTTCATAGATTTACTTATATGAACCTCCAGGTCTCTCTGTTCCTTCATTCCCTTTAAGATTCTACCATCAGCTTATATTGCCTCTCCATTCTTCTTCTCAAAATGCATCACTTCGCATTTCTCCACATTAAACTTTATCTGCCACGTGTCTGCCCATTTTACCAGTCTGTCTATGTCCTCTTACAGTCTGCTACTATCCTCCTCACTCTTTACTACTTTTCCTAGAGGCCTAAAAACTGTGTGTCAATAGCCCAACCATCTTATATGGACATTTAACGTAGTGTATAAAGTCCTATTGCTCTTTGAAATTATCTCTTTCTCTCACCCCTTATTCTGAACTGGCTTGAATGCCAATCATCCTTCAGTTCCCACACACAATCTCTCCTTACCCTGAACGTGCTGTGTGTAGCTGTGCTGTGCTTCTTTCTCAGTCATAGTAGATCTGGATGGGAGAATCTACATCCGCAGCTGGCAGGGCGGCGTGCTGTCTGGAGGCTTTGAGAAGAATCCCAAACCCATCTTCACAGAGGGCAGGAATCAACTGGAATTCCAGAGCCTCCAGGAGGACTGGGATCACTATGGTATATGGAGGAGGGGAACCGGAGGCAGGGAGGGAGAGTGATTAAAGCAAAGAGTTTTGTGTGTGTGTGTGAGATTCAGTCAGGGTTTCTGCTCTTATTTGCTATGAGTCACTCCATGTTGAAACACCACGATAGTGTAGTGGTTACAGCATTCGCCTTGCAAGCAAGAGGATCTGGGTTTGATTCCCGGGCAATGCGAAACCTTAGACACGTTTCCTTACTCCACACGGCTGTTTACCTAGGTTACATCGGAACCCGGTTGTTAGTTGATTGGCGGATCACTTTCCAGGGGTAATAATCCCTCTAAAAAAATTGGCCATTCAATGCACAACTGTTTGTGCACAATTGGCTGCTAGCCACAAAATACACAGTCAATCCACTTTGCAACATATTCTGTGAAGTGCTTTGAGACGTCTCAATGACATAATAAGGTGCTGTATCAAAAAAGCAAGGATTATGACCAATTATGAGAGTGCAGGATTGGGCTCCCACATTCCACGCTGACGATCAAGCGTGAGCAATGGCCACTTGGCTGAGGTACCAAAGGCGAGGTTACTCGCTGAAGCTGTCCCCGGCACGAGATAGTGCCCACTGCGGGTAGAGGAGACAGGCAGATAAGGAAGGAAGGATGATTTCAGCGAAAACACCTGTGGTGTGAAGCCTGTGCAGGGGGTGTGAGGGAGGGAGGGAGGGAGGTGAGGAACGCTGTGTCTGGTTCCTCACACTGTTTCCCTGTGGCAGAGCCCCTGCTCAGTGCGTTGCTGCGGCGAATGCCAGGGCTGGTGACCACTGAGATCCTACAGCTGGTCAACTGCCCAGAATCTTTCACTGCCGACATGAGGTGCATCATGGGAGAATCCCCGGCCGTCCGCAACTACTATGTCTTGGCAGGAATGAACTCGTCCGGTTTGTCCTTCGCAGGAGGAGCTGGGAGGTGAGCGGCTGCTGTGTCAGGACATCGCACCAGTCCTTGTCGGGCTCCACTGGCTCCCTATTGCTGAACAGATCACTCTCCTCTTCAAATCTCTTCGTGCCCTGGCACCTCCCGACCTGCCAACCCGCTACCCACTGCCTCCGCTCGACTGGCTCCGACTTCCTGCTTGTCCCTCGTGCCCTCTTTTCCACCATCGGCGGCTGCACGTTCAGCCATTACGCCCCAAAACTCTGGAACACCCTTCCTCTATTCCTCCACCTTGCCAACTCCTTCCTGATCTTCAGTTGCGTCTGAAGACCTTCCTCTTCGACTGTGCCTACGGTCACCTCACCTCACCCCTCCTCCTGGCTCAGTGTCATGCTCTGCCACTGTCAAGCGCTCTGGGACGCTACCCTGTGTGAGGGGTGCTATATAAAAGCAAGTTGTTATTGTTGGGGCAGGAGAAACATGGAAATGTTTTCACACGCAGAGTTGTGTCCCGACCTCTCAATGTGATAGCCACTATACCAAATAGAAGGATTATTATAATTAAAATAGAGAACGGCTTAATTTATCAGTCTGGCTCAGCTGCCAATGGATGGCCTTAAACCAAGACTTGAGCTCATAGTCCCGGTTAACACTTCAGTGCAGTCCTCAGCAAGTGCCTGTGAGTCCTGCAGATGTTGATGCACGCACTTCTAGTGTATCCAACATCCAGCTTTTCACCATTCGAGACTTTCTGCCTTGGACTACACTGAACTCTCAACCTGGACACTGCTTTCTCTTTCCTGCTGCAGGTACTTGGCTGAGTGGATGGTCCACGGCTACTCCTCAGAGAATGTTTGGCCGCTGGACATCAAACGCTTTGGTGCCCTGCAGAGCAGCCGCACGTTTCTCCGCCACCGTGTCATGGAGGTGATGCGTAAGTTACAACAAATTGTGTTTATATAACGCCGTTCACGTGGGGCAGCGTCTTGCAGTGCTTAACAGTGGCGGGGCCTGACACCGAGCCAGGGGGAGAGAGGTGACCGTAAGTACAGTCAAAGACGAAGGTCTTCAGTCATGATCTAAAAGAGGGGAAGGAGGGGGCAAGGCAGAGGGATTGGGGAGAGAATTCCAAAGCTTTGGGGGGTTGTGACTGAAAGCACACCCGCCAATGGTGGAGCGGAAGGAACGAGGGACAAGCAGGAGGCTAAAGCCAGCCGAACGGAGACAGCGGGTGGTGGAGTGGGGACAAAGCAGATTAGGGAGGTGCCAGGTTACAGGGAAACTGACACGTGAACGCGATTCCTCGAAGCAGATTCAGGGCCAGACTCGATGTTGGATGTTCTCTTGTGAGGTGCATTGTGAGCAGCAAATGTGAAGCTGTGAGGGAGGTAAGGAAGCAAAAGAGGTTGCTGTTGCTGCTCAATTTACGCTGTGTTCTAAGGGCACGTGTTTAAGCAAACTGTTGCTTTTGGCGTCATCTGTGATTTTGGCTACGTTTGGGATGCTACAATTAGCCTCAGATCCCCTGAAAATCAGCCAGTGTTCGTGCTCCTGATCACTGTCCAGGAGCCGCTGCTGGCAGCTTGTTGTGTGTGTGTCTGTGTGGTGGGGAAGGACGGGATCAGCCTCACCTTGCAGTTAACCAGCCTGCAAACACTGCATCGAGGCTCATATCTGAATAGCGGCTATTTTGCTGAAGAACTGGAGGTAGCCAGTGGAAGAAAAAATAAGTTGTACACGTTTAGCAGAGGCCACGAGGAAGGGAGTGAGATTGACAGAAATATATTACCAATGATAATCTTAGTGAGGAGCTGTGGTTATTGGGCTCAAACCCTTGGGTAGAGCCTCATTTTGGCTTGTTTCAATGTCCAGCGGCTGATTTGGGCCTGTGCATGGGTTGACTTCCAGAGATAGGTAGGTGACGAATGTTTGAAGAGAAAGTGGGCCGACCGACTGATTGTTAATGCTGCTCCTCTCTGTCCTGCTCCCACCACAGCTCTGATCTATGAGCTGAAGGTTCCTCGTTGGGATTTTCAAACGGGCCGACAGCTGAGGACCTCCCCGCTGTATGACCGACTGGACGCGCAGGGCGCTCGCTGGATGGAAAAACACGGATTCGAGAGAGTCAAGCACTTCGTCCCACCGGGGAAAGGCAAGTGGGGGTCACGGACCCCAAAAGTAAATGGGACCTCTGTTTAGATTTAGACCTGTTCGGGTAGCAAACGGTTAGCTCGGAACCTTACCGTTGATGGAGAGGTTCCTGGCTGGACGAGGTGTGACCTTGCCCAGCAATGGTGGGTCCTCGCCCAATGTGACCAGCTATCAGTCTGCAATTGTTTCCATTCCTTGCTGTGCAACTGGCTGTTGCCATATTAGAAAATAGAACAAAAGTGTACATTGTTTCTTTAAAAATAACTACAGCACATGGGAATTTGTTGGTCTGTGCCAACGTGTCTAACGGTGAGGTCTGATGCTGGGCGCTCACAAGCGTTACAACTCAATCTGTCAGTCGCTGAGGTCGCTTCTTATGTCTCGTCTCAGATCTACTGGAGTTGGAACAGAGTAAAACCTTCCACAAACCCGACTGGTTTGACATCGTAGGGTCGGAGGTCAAGTGCTGCAAGGAGGCCGTTTGTGTCATTGACATGTCGTCTTTCACCAAGTATGAGCTGAGCGTAAGTGTCTGTCTGAGCGTAAGTGTCTGTCTGAGCGGCCAAAAGATAATGTGTTTTGAAAAACATGGTGATGTGCGACTGAGGGATGTGAAATACCCAATATAAATGCCTTATTAAGCTAATTCTCTTGTTTGGAATTACAAAGTGCTGTTCAGCTCTGTGATAATAACAATAATCCTGGCATTTTATATAGCACCTTGTTACGTCGTTGAGATGTCTCAAAGAGCTTCATAGAATATAATGTAGAGTGGATTGACTGTATTTTGTGGGCGAAACAGGACAGCCAATTGCGCACAGCAATGTCCCACAAACCATCGTGAAGGGTTGAGTGACCAAATTTATTTCATTTTTCATAATTTTTAATTAACAACTGGGTTCCATGCCCCAAACCTGGGGACCACTCCTTTCCCTACCCCCCCACCTGCGAGTCTCTGAAAAAGTCTTGAATGTTTCAAATTCTGAGATTCAGAGAAATTGTGCAGATTGATATACCTAATAATAATAATAATCCTTACATTTGATATAGCGCTTTTCACGTCTTCTAGACGTCCCAAAGCGCTTCACAGAATATACTGTAAAGTGAATTGACTGTATACTTGTGGGCGAACACGGCAGCCAATTGCGCACAGCAGTCCCACAAACAGTCGTGGATTGAAAATATCTGCCAGTTTTCAAGAGAAATGCTTGTTTTAATGTGATGGCAATGGTATTAAAATTGGTGAATTTGAGGGTAGGAATGCAACCTTAATGGAGGTTGTGAGCGAGGGAGGGAGGGTTGGAGCTGGGAATGATTGACGCTGTCTGTCCGCTCCAGTCCTCCGCTGACCAGGCTCTGGAGATGCTGCAGCATCTGTGCTCCAATGACCTGGATGTTCCTGTGGGACACATCGTGCACACAGGGATGCTGAACGAACACGGTGGCTATCAGAACGACTGCAGTGTTGTGAGAATCAACAAACGCAGGTACTTGTGTACATGTCTGGCAGTCCATGGGGTGAGCAGAGCAACAGACACCAGGAGAGGGATAGACTTAAAACCTAGTGTTGGAGCTATATCTTCACCGCTTCCTCTAACTACAGTACAAGGATTGTCACTGCAGTTTGTTCTTAAATGTTCAGCAGGAGACAAGAGAGTTTGTTGACTTGTGTGGGTAATTTACCTTACCATGTGCTGTGTGCATTAACAATGCAGTCATTTACTGTGAATCAACATCTTGTCTGAACCAAACAAGGGAGGCCCAGAGTGTTAAAGGAAAGACTAACTGCTTACACAGTGTTGGTGGAAAGTCAATTGAAATGATTAAGACCTGCAATAAAGCGGCTGTGAAGCCCAAAGCGGAGCAGATACGTAAAGACCTGGTTAATGTCTTTGAGGAAATGAAGCTAGAATCTGCCCACTGTTCGCTCTGCGGTCAGATGGAGTGAGCACTGTGATGTGCTATGCTATAATGTGGAGCGCTGTGTAGTGCGTTTCTGATGCCTCGACCGAATCGTGCAGGGCATCTGGACACAACATCACTCTGTAAATGTGACGCTTTGTTTTTCTTGTCAGTTTCTTTATCGTCTCCCCCACAGACCAGCAGGTGCACTGTTGGTCCTGGCTCAACCAGCACATGCCCAAAGACAGCCAGCTACAGCTGGAGGACGTGACCTGGAAATACACAGGTACTGCACAGTTAAAGCGAGTGTGTGTGTCTGTGTGTGGGGAGGGGATTATATATATACTGCACACTTATGGGTGGGGATATACATGTACGGCATGCTTACAGTGGGGGCAATAATAATCTTTGCATTTGATACAGTGCCTTATCATGTCTTCGAGACGTCTCAAAGCGCTTCACAGAATATACTGTAAAGTGAATTGACTATATTTGTGGGCGAACGCGGCAGCCAATTGCGCACAACAGTGTCCCACAAACAGTCATGGATTGAAAATGACCAATTTATTATTGTTTTGGGTTTTGGAGGGATTATTATTAGGCTCTGTGTGGAGTAAGGAAACTTGCCCAAGGTTTCGCCCTCTGCCTGGAATTGAACTCAGGTCTCTCGCTTGCAAAGCGAGTGCTCTAACCTCTGAGCTACAGGAGCTACATTGTTGGGATAGCTTCAATTTATTGTCAATCAGAGCCCCCTGGTCCTTTTCCATACATATAATTTTCCTTTCAAACAATAGTCCCTCCAGGATTTTTTGTCCCCATGTGAAGTACTTTACATTTATCCACATTGAATTTCATCTGCCACTGATCTGCCCAGTTCCCAAGTATGTTCAAATCCTCCTGTAACCTATCTTGTTCAGCCTTGCAATCTACCACCTTCATTAGTTTGGTGTCATCTGCAAACTTAGCCACTGTGCTTACGACTCCTAGTTCCAGATCATTTATAAAAATATAAAACAAGAGGTCTCAAAACAGACCCTTGTGGAACTCCACTGGTAACATTTTCCCAGTCTGATGACATTCCCTATACCACGACCCTCTGGGTTTTTCTGGTCAACAAGTTCAGGTTTTCTGGTCAACAAGTGGAGTCCTGCAGCTCAGTGGTTAGAGCACTCGCTTTGCAAGTGAGAGACCTGAGTTCAATTCCAGGCAGAGGGCGAAACCTTGGGCAAGTTTCCTTACTCCACACAGAGCCTAATAATAATCCCTCCAAAACCACAAACAATAATAAATTGGTCATTTTCAAATCCATGACTGTCTGGGACATTGCTGTGCGCAATTGGCTGCCGCGTTCGCCCACAAATATACAGTCAATTCACTTTACAGTATATTCCGTGAAGCGCTTTGGGACGTCCTCCCGACGTGAAAAGCGCTATATCAAATGCAAGGATTATTATTATTATATATCCATTGTAATATATGCACGTACAAGGAGTGACACAGTGAGGCTCTCGCTCAGTGTTGGTGTTACTGTGAGGCTCTCACTCAGTGCTGCTGTTATTGTGAGGCTTCACTGGGTGCTATGATGTGTAACCAGGTATTTTCTGTTTGTATTTTCTAGCACTGAACCTGATCGGTCCCCGTGCAATGGATGTTCTCTCTGAGCTGTCCTATGTACCCATGACTCCAGACCACTTTCCCTCGCTCTTTTGTAAGGTGCGTAAATAGAAATTCTCAATAAGTTTGGAGGAGGTGGAACAGACAGACCTGAGGCTGAGTAGCTCTGAGCTCCGTAGTTCTTCTCCCATTGTGACAATTGCAGATTACTGTTAATGAAAAGGGTTTGTGTCACTGTCCTGTATCTTGCTCTAGGCTTCTATTTTGCACATTCAGTCCAGTCCAGTGGAGTCCTGTAGCTCAGTGGTTAGAGCACTCGCTTTGCAAGTGAGAGACCTGAGTTCAATTCCAGGCAGAGGGCGAAACCTTGGGCAAGTTTCCTTACTCCACACAGAGCCTAATAATAATCCCTTCAAAAACCAAAAAAACAATAATTAATTGGTCATTTTCAATCTACGACTGTTTGTGGGACATTGCTGTGCGCAATTGGCTGCCGCGTTCGCCCACAAATATACAGTCAATTCACTTTGCAGTATGTTCTGTGAAGCGCTTTGGGACGTCCTCCCGACGTGAAAAGCGCTATATCAAATGCAAGGATTATTATTATTATTATTATTACCTTCCTGTTTTCCTGTACACAATTACCATGTAAGAAAGAAGCATTTTAATTGTCATTTATGAAGTTCTTGCCTCCATGCTACTGGAACAGCCTGACTTAGCCCTTGGCTCAGTCCCTGCTGATTACTATGGAGCATTGCTTTTTTGGTGGCATTGTATTGTTCTCATCACATGGTCAGACCTTTGCTGTCAGGTTTCTATCAGCCTCATCACTCCACGTGCAGTTCTATCACACGCATTCCTGTAGGTGGGACAGCTCATGTCCCCACCCTGTAATAATGTACAACGGTTGAAGGAGCCAATACAATAGTGGGTGGCCACAGGCGGGAATAGTATGGGGGGAGCCTTCTCCCAACTGTCTGCGTTCCGTCACTCGTACTATATAAGTGCTTCTGTTTAGAGCTTCAGAACTGTGTCCTCCTCTTCGGCAATCTCCAGCAAGGAAAGCAAGCCAGTGTATAGCCCACTTAGCAATGCACTGAACCTCATCCACACATTAATTAATAATTGATCTCCAGGGTGAGGTGTGTGTTGTGTGTAAGACTACTAAGGGTGACGTGTGAATCTACAATCACATGGCAGAGGTGATTGGGAAGTTTATTTGTGTATAGTGTGTTTAATGTGTCCATTTCCTCTGCCTCACTGTTTTAACAGGAGATGAGTGTGGGATATGCTAACGGGATCCGGGTGATGAGTATGACACACACTGGAGAGCCTGGCTTCATGCTTTACATCCCCATTGAGGTGAGCACTGCTGCAAGTCTGGAGTCTGACTGCGCAAGGGGTTTTGTTGTGACATTTTATTCTAATAACTGCTTCAGTGTGGATTACTTTCTATGGCCTAAGCGCCTGGAGATGCTGCCCCATGAAGGCGCTATATAAATGCATGTTGTTGTCGGCCTAATGTTTGTGCAAATCCAATTTACAAAATGTGTGCGATAATCAGTTGAATGTTAACCTCTTGGGTAAGGGTTTATAGAACAGGTGTAGTGGTTGACAGTTGTCTGTGTTTGTGTGTTTCAGTATGCTCTGCACGTGTACAATGAACTGATGAGTGTTGGGCAGAAGTACGGGATCCGGAATGCTGGGTATTATGCCCTCCGCAGCCTGCGGATCGAGAAGTTTTTTGCCTTTTGGGGTCAGGACCTCGACACATTTTCAACTCCGTTGGAGTGTGGCCGTGAATTCAGAGTCAAGTTTGACAAGGTACGTTTCTTTTCCTATAGGTTAACTGAGCAGAAGCTACAAAATTTCACAATAATTTAAGTCAATACCGCCCTTTCTCCAATCTACACCGCCCTCCCCTCAGCTAACTCAGGCTTGCTGTGTGTTCCCTGCCTGTCATACTTGCCAATTCTACTAATCTCTGGAACTCCCTCCGTGTCGCCCCTTCTGTATCAGTCTTAAGACCCATCTTAAAACGTGCCTCTTTGACTGCACAGATGGTCACTTCTCCCTCCCCGGCTTCTATCTCTCCACTGTAAGACTCTCCCAAGACATTATTCTACATGAATGGTGCTATATAAATGCAAGGGGTTGTTTTGCTCTGATGGCGAGTATGTGAAATTTACATACCACAGTACACAGAAAAAACTATGAAATGACACACAGCTGTGCAGTAGGTTTAGAAAGAACTTATATTTTTATGGCATTTCCCAGGTAATTATTGCTAAGTATTATGACTGTATTTGTAAACTTACTTTTTCAGACAGATCTGGAGAGAATGTTTTGAGATGTTCAGCACCAGGCTCATGTGCTGGTAGTTTCTGGTTTGCCACGAGAGTGCTGTATATGAAGGTGGTTAGAGGTGATCTTTCACTACTAAAATCTAGAGCCAAGTGGCTGAACAGTGAGAAACCAAGCCTGACTGACTTCATTTTGGCATCTCAGATAGAATAGAGTTGATGTAAGAGTTTCTGAGTAATGGAGAGCCCCCTTTGATGTCTTTTAGCTTTGGATACTCTCTGCCCAGAGTCGATAGTCACTAACCATGCTGCTTTGGTTTTCACCGTTCTGTCTTTGTGGGGTCAACGTGCTTTTGTTTCAGGGGACAGATTTTATTGGCCGTCAGCGCTGTTGAAGCAGAGACAGGAGGGGGTTTGCCGTCGATTCACAATGTTTATCCTGGAAGATCATGATGTTGACCTGGACCTTTGGCCGTGGTGGGGTGAACCTATCTACAGGAACGGCAAGTACGTGGGCATGACGACCAGCAGTGCCTACAGCTACACACTGGCCCGTCACGTCTGCCTGGGCTTCGTGCACAACTACGGCGAGGGCACCGGGGACAAACTCGTGGTCACAGCCGAGTTCATCAATCGCGGTGATTACGAAATTGATATTGCCGGCCAGCGCTTCCGGGCCAAGGCCAAACTCTACCCATTCAGCTCCCTCTTTGCACAGAAACTGAGGAAGGACGAGATGGAACTGAGCAGCTTTCAGGGTAAATAAGAGACGAGACACCTTGGCCAGGTTCTAGGGGATGGTGGTCTGCACTGTCAGTGCACGGTAGGTGTAGTTGCTGTGCATTGTATTGGTACATTGCTACCTCTCACATTTATACCTTCATTGTACAGAGAGAAGCATCAGGTGTGCCGAGTCGTGCTCGAGGGCAGGTTTTGTTGGTGAAAACAGGTGAAATGTATCATCATTGGCATGGACACTGCACTCTACCTGGAGGCTTGCCATGTTTAATGTTATGAATAGAATTTGAATCATCACTGTTTGATGGTACATCCTGTGTTTTAAATGCACCCAGATGAGCACAGGCCTGTCCTTGTACTGAAAGCATTTTACCTTCATTCTACCCACTCCCCTGTTGCAGCAAATCAGTCACTTCTGGTGCTTGTTAACCACCTCTTCCAATTTACATTGTTTCATTGCTTAACCTTTGAAATAAGGCAATGAATTCAGGATTGACAACCTATGTATTTGCTGATGATTCTGCTGTTAAAAAAGGTACAAAACTAGAGCCAGGTGTAATGTGGAGAATACATTGCAGGACCTCCTGTGTGGGAAGAATGTAAACTTTTAAGGGAGCCATGCCCATGATTTCTGCCTTTTGGACATTGTTCAATTTATCCATGTGTAGCCATCAAACACACTTGTTGTAGATGGTCTGACTTTAATTGTGTATAATTGTTACCTGATCCTGACTGCAACATGACTTTGATTTGGTTGCTGGTTATCACAATGCTGCTTTGTATCCTAAGCAGGACATCAGATTTGACTACCTAATGGAAGAGGAGATATGAAAGGGAATCCCACCAAATAACTGGGTTCTTACAATTTATAACTGAGCTAGATTAAGATCTTGGGTTTATGATAGATGCATGTGATGCCTGAGCACACAGCCCAGCACTGGGCATGTTGTAGTAGCTCACAGTATATGCATTGGGAAGATTAATTAGCAGGGACAGAATTGTTTAAAATCACTGTGTGTTTAATATAAAATTTGGAAATATTACAAGCATTTTTTGCTGCTTGTGTGCTACTTCTCATTGAATAGCCCAAATTATGTTACACCTCTACCCATCACTTGTTCACCCTCCTGTGATGTGGACATTAGCTTTGAAAGTCAGTCTCAATGGTCCTCCTGAGTCTTATTCAGAAGTGGACATAGGACAAAACAATTATTTTCTGCAATCCTCGTGACAGGGCTGATATCAATTAATTTTAACAACACCCCAATGCCCCACTGCGCTCCCCATTACTGGGGCTCTCCTTATGCCACATAAAGAACTGTCTGTCCTGTGACACAGGGCTACAGGTACTTGTGAGCCTGCCCACTGAAAGTGGTTGAATCGTGAATGGGGTTCAGCTGAAGCACAGCAATTGGAAACCAGGGAAAACATAAGGTACGTCTTACAGAAGCATTTTGAGGTCAGCAGAGGAGGGGGGCAAACAGCCACACAAAATGTTTTTCAGCCAGAATACTGCAATTACTAAGTATTCAGAGCTGTTATTTTATTGTATCTAACTAGTGAATGTACTGTACATAAACTATTTAATGTTTCTGTTGCTTTTAATCTGTAAAATAGAGGATTATTTCCAAAGTACTGTTTGTTTCTTTTAGTTTTTTTTCCTATATTTGATCTCAGCCTGGTTCAGTTGGTAGCTCTCACCTCGTGAGTCTAAGGTTGTGTGAAGAACTCAGATTAGGCATTAGTATGCAATAGGTATGTGCATTGTTGGAGGTGCAGTCTTTCAGATGAAACGATACACCAAGGTCCTGTCTACCTGTTCAGGTAGATCTTAAAAGATCCCATGGCACTATTTGAAAAGAGAAGGAGTTTCTCCCGGTGTCCTGGCCAACAATTCCCAAATAAAATTAATTATTCACTTTGTGGCTTTGTGGGACATTAATAAACCCAGTTTGGCTGCCTACCAATTCATAGTCACTCCACTTTACAGTAAAACCTGTGAAGTGTTTTGACGAGGTGCTATATCAAATGCAAAGATTATTATAATGGATATGGGAGGGAAAGGGTGAAGACAGAGTTAAGTGGAAGGAGGGAGAGAACGAATGGAAGCATCAAGGGAGCAGAGCATGAGGGGCTGAATCAAAATTATGCATTTAATAAAGGTTTAGGTAATTCCAGGATCAAAAATACTGCTAGTACAGAACCTGCCCCCTGTGGAGGTCAGTGAAATGGGAGAAAAGATCAGCTTTGTAATATATGCATCCAGATATCCCATATCCAGATATAGGAAGAAAGGCTCACACATTCTCACAATCTCCTGCTGTGGCCCTGTTTACTCCAAAATAGCCAGATAGGCTGAATAAATTAATATTTGACCAGGAAATCTAAAGCCAACAATTGAAATTCTTAGCCAGTGCGATAAACACTTAACTGTACAACTTAGCGTATCCTCAGTAGAGGTATGTTTAATGCCTTGACTGCCTTCCATTTTCTTGAGAAAGTCGAAAAGGTTTAACATGTACAGAGAAGGAACGTAGCACAAACTCTTGTCCTCCTGCTTCTCATTTCCTCCTCAAACTGCAGGTGCTCTGCAAGTGAAAAATACATCCAGTGTCACTGATGAGCCAGTCAGGCTGTTAACATTGTCTCCTCAGAGTCAGATCAACTCCAGGGGAGTCATTAACTCTTCAACTCCCTCCCAGATCTTTTTTTAGATTCATTAACCTTGGAAAGAAGAGGGGATCCACTGGGATTTCAATCGATTCAATCCGGGTCCAAAACCAAACTGTACATTTAGTAAATGAATGTTCTGCTGTGCTAAATGTGTGTGTGTTCTCAGGTAGTCAGACTGCAGATCAGGGATACATGGGTTTCCTGATAACTGACCCAGTTTATTTTAGCAGAGGATCCTATGATCCAGCCAGTTTGAAACGTATCAGCTCACCCTCTCTCCCTGCGCCTGGTCTGGTTTCTGTGAAGGAATGGGAAACACAATGTGAAGAATGAGGCTTGTCCAGTCTCTGGCTGTTCATCTCTCCGAGCCGATTCCAGTTCTTTTTGCCTGAGATAGAAATGAACATGTTTGAGATACTGTCTTTATGAAGCTCTCTCCTGGATTGGATTTAAACTTGAACAGAGAAGATTGAGAAGAGATGTGATAATGTTCACAATATTGAGGAGTTTTGATAAATTAAGTATTTCTACTGGCTGGTGAACAGGTAACTAGAGGGCATAAATCAAGATTACCAAAAATATAAAGAAAGAGAGAGATAAGTGGAGTGTTTTAAACTGAGTGTGATTAGGACCATTGAATACCCTACCCAAACAGTGGTTGACGTAGAATCCATAATATGCTTTGAAAAGGGAATTAAACAAACATGGAATCCTGTAGCTCAGTGGTTAGAGCACTCGCTTTGCAAGTGAGAGACCTGAGTTCAATTCCAGGCAGGAGCGAAACCTTGGGCAAGTTTCCTTACTCCACACAGAGCCTAATAATAATCCCTCCAAAACCAAAAACAATAATAAATTGGTCATTTTCAATCCACGACTGTTTGTGGGACATTGCTGTGCGCAATTGTCTGCCGCGTTCGCCCACAAATATACAGTCAATTCACTTTACAGTCTATTCTGTGAAGCGCTTTGGGACGTCCTCCCGACGTGAAAAGCGCTATATCAAATGCAGCGATTATTATTATTATTATGGGGGAAAAAGCAGAGGAATTAGACTAAACAAATAGTTTTCTAGAGAGTACAGCATTAGCTTAGTGAATCAGAAGCACATGCATCTCTGCATACTGTGGAAATCTTTACTAACCTCCTACGACTGAGATTCTTTTTTATGTTGATGTGTTTGATGATTTGGAAGAGTGGGTCTGAAAAATGTACAGGTCATTCAACAGGACTTGAAATCGGAGGGGTCATAAATACATCAATGGGACTTTGGGAAACAATTAAGTGTATAAAGGTCTGGATACCAACTATACTGCCTACACAGCCTACAGGTCTGTGCTCTGTTGCCTACAAGTGTGCCTACAATAACAGATACTTTTATATCACATACAGTACTTACTGTCTCATTTCCAAGCTGTTCCTCAGTGCTTCCTCGAAGTGAGTAATTTCATCTTTTAAGCTCTATGGAAAAGAATCATTGGTTTGTAACAGAGCTGTGGGGCAAGGAAGGGTGCAGTAGATCTGAAGTTGTATAAGGCAAAAATAAGCTGATGTACATCAGCAACAACCTGCTGTTTACTTGGACGAGGTAATGTCTGTGGATGAGACTCCAGCTCATCTGGTTTAACATAATTCTTCAGTGAGGAATCCTCTGCCTATTCACAGCTACTTCTTGAACCTAGACTTTTGCATTAACCATGAGCTGATTGCAAACAAGATTGACCCATCTGTGTCCCTCCCCAAGCAACCAACCATTGCACAATGTCAAATAACTGCCTCAAGCTATTTCAGCCATTACACTCACATGCACATCAGCCTTGTCATTCCTTGACACTACTTTACACTCAAGCCCTAGGGAAACCAGCATTGCACTGTGTACAGAGGCTCACTGGTGTAGGAAGGTGATGTGAGCTTTTCTGCCTTATTCCTGTGTCTCACTATGTCCGCGTGCTTTCCTTCCACTCGGCTTACTTCAGTCAATCATCGTGGGACACTTATGTATAATACAGTCTTGCGCTCTTGATCAGTTTGTACAGATTTAGATTTTGTCATTGGAAAAATGCAATTTCCACAACCATGGAGTTACAGTTCCCTGTTCCCCTGCTGCTCTGAAGGTGCTGACTGCTTGCTGGGGGCAGTGCCTGTTGCCCTCTAACTGTAGAGAAGAGGCAGTGAGTGTTGACAGGCTGTGCTGTTATGGGGACATCAGAGCTGAAAGAACCATGTGGAGATGTGGAGATGGCTTTGCAGTTCTCTAGCTCCCTCTCTCTCTCTGGTTAACGGTGAGTTACAGTATTGACTTACAATGTTCGTCTGCAGCATCAGCTCCAGACTGTTCACAAACTGATCAATGTACAGATTTTTCTGAAACAAATGAGAAATATCAATGTTGGCTGCACTTTGAGAGCTGGAGGAAGTGACTGGAAACAGCTAATGGTTTTACAATGTATTTGTGAAATATGAGGCAGGAGTTTATTACTGGTGCAAGGTTCCTGCTCAAAGGTTTCATGGGTCCCTGAAAGGTGGATAGATTTTCTCTTGGGAAGGGTATCGAGAGATTTGGGGCAAAGACAGGTAATTGGAGTTGAGGTACAGATCAGCCACGATCTAATAGAATGGCAGAACAGGCTTGAGGGACTGAATGCCCTACTCCTGTTCCTATGTCCCATCGCAATCTAATGGTGTTGGTCCTGTTTACCAGGGGCTTGGGTTTGACTTTTTTTTGTAACTATATATGGATTGAAAGTTTCCTCTCTCTGCATCTTTGGAGCAGTTTCAACCCAGTTCCACACATGTTGAAACTCAACTGGTACTCTTCCTGGGTGTAATGGAGAATGGGAATGTTCTGGTGGAGGGTGCTTTTCTGAAGCTATCGAATAGCTGGAGTTTTACTCCAGCTTTAATTATTTATCAGATTGATCTGGGTGGGGATGCTTCATGTGGCAGAATAGTGAGAGCTATATACCCATTTAATCAACTATTCCTATACCTGACCTGGCAGTGTGGTAGGACCTATCTCGTCTCACCCAACCTATTTTGTGCTTTAGCTGGAAGCGCTCGACAGTGTTTGAGAGCTTGCCATGAACCAAGCTCTATGAATGAAATGTACCATGTGCTTTCTTCATCTGATACTCTTTCTCCCCCAAATCAATCTCAGCTTCACTACCAGTGAGGCTCACCCACCCTCCTATAATCACAAGAGATTCTAAAACAGCCATTTTACTGCAATACTTGTACATCAGTGGGGAAAATCACATTTACCACAGTTATAATGTGATCTCGGGTTTCCGATACCATTCTGGCCTCATCCAGCATCTCCTGTACAGAAAGTGATTAGTGTGTCAGACGCCAAAGACATTTCTGAAAATAAATTTCCAGGATGGCTGAACTATTTCTGGTAAGAGTAAAGCAAGACTTGCATGAAGGTTCTTTGCTTTGATGATCATGTTCTGGACTGTATACTCTTGGTAGCGTCTTTCATTCTCCAATTTCTCAATCTGGAGAGAGAAAAATGTCACTGGCTCCGCTTGGACTGCTATCTCCTGAGGCAATCGTTACTGTGAGAAGTAGCTCTTTAGATAATCTCACCACTGTTCCCTTAAGGGAGCTAAATAGAAGCTACATTATCCGTGATATGTGCCAAATACGGTGTTATATAGAATGCTAGATATAGATCAAACGCTCTGGGACCCTACTCTGTGTGAGAGGTGCTATATAAATTCAAGTTGTTGTTATAGTGCTACACTGTAAACGGTATGAGAGGCTCTGAAACGATAAAAAAGTGATTTGTAGTGCTGGTTTATCACCGAGGCTTGCTGACCTGATGTCTTTGTGGTGGATGTTGGTGGCACAATTAGTTTCGTTTGCCACTATAACACAATTTGTAAGTTAACCTTGTTCTGTAAAACGCTTTAAGATGTTTCTTTTACACAAAAGGCTGTATGAAAATGCAGTGAAACAGGCTAGCAGTATTCTGCATGAAGGCAGAAATGGTAGTTTTGCAAATGTCAATGGACACAAAACCTCAAAGCATTATCCAGCTGTTTGTATTCATCCCCCCTGCTTTGGTGAAGTGCTCCTTCGCCTCACTCCCTCACTTGCCTCCTTCAAGGCAAGTCTCAAGACCCTCCTCTTTGACTGCGCCTTTGGCCACTCTCCACCCCTCCTGATTCCAACCCCCGACTGTCCAGCGCCTTGGGACGATCTCCCGACGTGAAGGGCGTTATTCAAATGTAATATGTTGTTGAAGTGTGGTGAACAATCTGGGGGAGGATAAGATAATGTGGCCAGAAACACAGACTTACCTCCCCCTCATAGGAATTCATCTGGCTGTGTAAATTCTCTCTCTGCTGCTCCTACGATAACATTCAAAATAGAGCAAATTCTCAGCTATTCTATCATACACACAGACTGAAGACTGGCGCTGACTGAAGTCTTGGTATTCTTGATAACAGTTTAAGCTATTTAGTAACTCTCACAGTACTTTACACACAGATTAAACACCATGAATAATTTCCCCCTGTTTTCTGTGCAAACTGAACACCATCTTATTGCTCTGCACATATGAAGCACAATCGGTAAATCTTTGTGATTTTGTGAACAGTATTTAAAAGTGAGCTTTCCCTTAGATACTTAATGAATTTATATCCCATGCGTAAAAACCTCTTAGCTCGCCACCCTACAATACCTTATGCAAGTGACAATAAGTCCTTAAGAGTAAGTATTAACAGGCAACATTAACACGTCCTCCCGACGTGAAAAGCGCTATATCAAATGCAAGGATTATTATTATTATTCAACTGTGGGCTGTATCATAGCCGAGTCCAATCTTGCACTCCCAACAACAATATATTGTCACCTTCCAGCATTATTCCTGTTGAGCAGGGACTGTAAACTCAACACAGACTGCAATTTAAAATGATGGTCTTCCTCTTTATATGATATAGTCGCGTCTAGTTGATAGTCTATTGGGGGAATCTATGTATATAGTTCACTTGCTCTAGATCACTCGACGTTCAGGACTCACCAACTGGATGTTTTTTTTCTTCAGTTGCCTGTACAGTTCCTCTGCATTGTTGTGGTCTTTCAGCATTGCCTGGCATCTGCCACCGAGCGCTTCTTGGAATCTGTAATAAACATCATCAGCTCAAACACGGCCACGTCACTGCTAGCTTGAGATGCAAACCTCAGCTCAGTGCTAAAATAATAATAATCCTTGCACTTGATACAGCGCCTTATCACGTCGTTGAGCACTCGAAGCACTTCACAGGATATATTGTGAAGTGGATTGAGTCTTTATGGGTGAAACGCAGCAGCCATTCGCGCACAGCAGTGTCCCATAAACAGTTGTGGATTGAGTGATCACATTGTTTTTTTTAGTACTGAATTTAAATACTGAATTTGATACTCAGCATGTTTTATATTATAAATCTAATGATACACAATAGTTGCTACATTTTTAGCCCCAAGGGGAATTTCACCCTTTCAATTGAGGAAATTCTGTGTACATTTTTGCTTCAGTGTTTTAGTGATCTGTGTTATTAGAGGTATGACTTACACAGTGTTTGGTGTTGAATGCAAGTTCAGTGGGAAAGCAGTTACAGCCTTAAATGAATTGGATGCAGACTAAAGCTTCTTCAGTACTGGCCCAACAATGTGCTTTAAAGTCCAACCTCAGCAGAGCATTTTATTGCTGTAGAGTGTGTTTGAACTTCCCACACCACTTTAGTGCCAACTTGAACATAATGATTATATACATTTAATTTTGAGTCAAAGCCTTAAATTGAAATGTCCCATTGTGCTTCATCCAATGAGTCACACTGAAGTGTAATGACTGTTGTGTAGGCAAACACAGCAGTTCAGTGTGCGCCAGCAACGTCCCAAATATAGCAATGAGAGAAATGTTTTTTTGGTGAATTTTGAAAGAGAGGGAGGAACATTGACCAAGAAACTATAACGTCAGTCATACCAATGACGTCTTGAACAACCGTAAGAAGCTGATGGGACCTCTAATGTCTCATGCAACAGAGCCTCAGTAATCCAATGGATTATCAATTCATTGATGTTCTCAAGACCTGAAATAGGGATTCACCCTACAAGAGTGTTACCAAGTGAGTGCTGTACACACATGTACAATGTAATTATCCAGACCCTTATCATGGAGCCGTACATCTTTATCTGCATTTTTGGTGTAGCGTCTTAATCACGTTGGAAGGATGTCTCAAAGCGCTTCACAGGATTTACTGTGAAATGGAGTGATTGTATATTTGTAGGCAAATATGGCAGCACAATTGCGTACAGCAGTGTCCCACAAATAGCCATGAAACGAGTGACCAATTTTATTTGGGAGATTATTGGTTAGGACTCTGTGAGACACTCCCTCGTCTTTTCGAATAGTGCCATGGGATTTTTAATGTCCACCCAAACAGGCAGACAGAATCTTGGTTTAACGTCTTATCCAAAGGATGGTAGCTCTGATAACCCCCTCCCCCCCCAGCACTGCTGGAATGTCAGCTAGACTATGTGAGTTTGCGTCCTGACATGGGATTTGAACCCACAATCTTCTGACTCAGAGGTGAGAGTGCTACCACTCAGCCAAGCTGACACTACCTGAAAGAAAAAGATTTTCATTCTACAAACAGGGCAGAATTGAAGAAAATTGTACAATGTACACATTTGTCAAAGAGATAGTCCACTAGGGATAACAAGCTTTCATTCCTTTTTTAGTTATTGTATAACTAAAGTGAGTTGCTTCTCTAAGCATATTCATGAACGTCCTCTTACTTACAGCATCTCCTTAGCAGGTTTGCATCCAGATGTTTTAAGCTTTCCAAGGTAGACATGATCTACTAAAAATGGATAAACAGGATTACTTTAGTCTTGATCTTTTCTCAATAATTTACATAATAATTATCATAATAATTATCAGGAGCAGATGATTTGGTTGAATTAACTCCCCCAAGTCAGGAGCTGATAGGCCAGTTGTAACACAGTCTCTGGTCAAAATAACTCACCACCCACCAGGCTGCCACCACACTGATCCATGTCTGTCAGAGGCCTAGATACAGGATGATGTGGATGAAATTGGTATTCAAAAACCATCGACAATCCCGCACAAATTACAATTGCTGAGGGATCGGTGACAATCTGGTGCAGAGTCGTTTTTTCTAACAAATCATTTTGGGATCTGCAGTATTAGGGTTCACAGTAAGGATACTGTTCGGGTTTGTAATAGGCTCAGCATGAGATTGCAGTAAGTCACAAGATGCTTTTAGGGCCGAGTATGTAACAAGAAATACTTGCATTTATATAATGCCCTTCACCCTGGGTAGAGTTCCGGAGCACGCAATGCAGTGAGGATGTTGTGTTAAACGTGAGCTGTTGGTAGAAGCCAATTACCCCAATCGACAGCTCATTTTTATTGTTTTATATTAAACTCTGGTTGCACATTTCTGCAGTGTGGAAGAGAGAAAGCTCTTACCCTCTGACCATGTCTCAGCAGTATTGGCACTGTTTGGCTCCAGTCTGACTGATATTTCTAAATCTTCTCTGTTACATGCACATGCGATTTCTGGTTGAAGAGCTGCAGAAAAATAGATTTAGCAGTGGTTAAAATACTACTCACATTTATAAATTTGAAGTTCAGTTAATTTAATTGATTTAGCCTAACGTGGATTACAGGTTAAAAAGTTGCTAGACATTGAGGCTATCGTTACTCTGCACCAATATCCTGACCATTTCAATGGTTCATTTAATATATTATTTTAATAGTCAGAAACTATCATGGTTAGTATCATTTGGAAATTTAAAACATTTCTTGTTCAATAGTTCCCAAATCTTTGTATCTGCACTGCCAAGGGTTTGTGTCTCGTTTATAGTAGATGACTAGTTACCACAATGGTGAGTTATTTAGGTTATTAGTCTTGGATTCCACAATTCCTGAAGTTTTCCATAATTTTAACCATATTATATTCCCCCAAATGGCCTCAGTTATTTTGGATTTTCTGTTTTTTTTCCTTTCAATAGGAGGGGACTGAGCTAGCTGACAACAGGACAGAAGTGTTGTTGAGGGAATTCTCCCAGAGGTGGACTTAGGATTCTTTTCTGCTCTCCTTTCTATGAATCTATAAGTGGTATAACCTATGGCACCCTGTAAAATATTCTATTGTCTCTGAACTAACAATCACAACCAGGTGAAAGGACAACTTGTGTGTTTCTAAGTCCTTTGGTAATCTTACAAAGCATTTTGCCCTCGATTCAGGCATCTCTTTCCTCATGTCACTCCATAAATTGGTCTCCATTGGATTCACACTTCCTATAATTCTTTAATTCAAACCTTTTGGTTCATTTATCAACAGAGATGCACTCTTTACCAGATTATAAATTCTAACATTTGAGTTTGAAAAATGGATCTAGTGACCCATGAAACTCGTCTGAAACAAATAAAAGTTAAAATGCTTCCAACTTAATTATAAGTGAACTTGAGCTGGTTAGGTGACATGCATTAACCTAAAGCCCAGGTTCATCAGCCTGTCTGGCACAATCAAGACTTGAAACTATCAAAGATGGGTCTCCAACCCTGCAAGTGAATGCCCAAATTCACTCCTAAGGCAATCCTAGCTGGAATAGGTACTGTGGTGCAAGATTACTATTGCAGAGGTAGTCTGATTAACATAGTCAGAGTGACTATCCTCTTACAATCCCAAAACGGGCACCTCATTCTAAAAATGAAATCAAGCTTACTGTACCATGATATAATTATCAATTGTTGGCAGTTTCTTCAGTCAGACCTCTGCTAATCGTTCTAGAATTTAACAGTGAGCTCAAGTATCTCGAAAACATCCTTCAATGCTCAGACTATATGCAACTCAGTGTGAAGTCACAGTGCTGAGATTATGATGCTAAAGGGCTGCAGGCATTCAGCTTGTCAAGCTTCTATTCCAACACTGCAGCACATTGTGACATTTTCCCATGACATATTGCCGATCACCGATGTGTGAACCAGGCAGTGGAGTAATCCCTGACTCACTGCTGAATCCAGTATCCTTTATAAGTAATAATCCAGTTCTAGTGCAATTTCACCTGATGGCTTGAACCAAGGCCACGTGATCTGATTATTTCTAGAATACCAACCCTCATTTACAGCAGAACCCAAGTCTCTTAACTAAATGTAGTGCCTTGGTCTTAAAACTTCTCTTCCTGGTAATTAACCTGTTCCAGCTGAAGAAATATTTTCTGGTATGTGTGTGTCCTTCACAACTCTGACCTTATTCACTAAATTTACAAACTTTGCTGCACCATTTTTGGCTTAATTCCTTCCAGTGCCTTTGAGCTTAAAGTCCATTATCTGCACACATCCACCTTTCAGTAAAGGAACTAATTTGATAATGATCATGAACCAGAAGCCAGGCAGCTCTATCCTTCCCATGGAGAGACCAATTGTAACCACATCAACTGAGATCAGATAACTCACTGAGTAGTATCTTCAGCAAACTTCTTGTGGTCTTAGGCTTAAGACCATTGCGCTTACAGATCCAGAATTTCAAAAGCTGGATTTCTGTAATTCTTTAAAAAATGGCTTACAAATTCAAAGTGAATTTATGAAATCTTACAAAAATGTGCACAAATTTTAATTTTAAGACAACGGTTTTTAGGTTAGCTCCATGAGAAATTAATATATGAATCATGACATGAAAGGTGCTATATAAATGCAATATTATTATTAATTAGTTGTTGAATGGAACACACACACCACATCGTGGAAACACATTTATAGAAGAGTCATAAAAATAAACCACTCACCACTATCAGCTATAGTGATTGTTCATCAAACAAAGTGAGCAGCTTCAGCAATCGGGGAAAATCCATGACTTTGCAATAGAAAGCTGGCAAATTGGATGTGGACCTTGACAATGGAGATCTTCTGTGTTGTGGGGTTCATCTCAATTGAAAGGCCAAATAACACAGTCTTGTTAAATGGGGATAGTGAAGGAGAAAGAGCAAGCAAATATAGTTGCTTTGTTTGTACACATGACTTGAACTCATTCTTTCACAGGACCTAAGGACTGTGGAATTCTCACATCCTCATTTTTTTCTTCCTTTGAAACCCAACCTTGATGATGCCTCCTTATTTATTTCCTAATTTGTTTTCTCTTCATCCTTGGTGGGGAGCTGTATGCTGGACTGTGGCACTAAACCTGGATTTCTCAATAATAAAAATATTTCCAGTAATCACAGATTGAGCTTGAAGGAATTTAGGAGAGGGGGAATAACAGAAGCAGGAGATAGATGAAGGAGATATACGTGAGAAGATTAATACTGAAGAAGAGTTTAAGCACACCATATCAGCTAAGCACATACACTTGAAATCCTTGTACTCTGTCCTTCTCCATGTCTGTGAAATTATACATTGATAGAATATAAATCTGCCCCTTATCTTACATTAATAATCCTTACATCCTTGATATATCAAGTCTTCAAAGCGCTTCACAGAATATACTGTTAAGTATATTTTGTGAGTGAACATTAAATTAATAAAACCCAAACATCTCTGGCTGGGAGGTTTCAGTAGTATAGAGAGAAGCAGTATTGTGGAGGTTTTATTTTCTGGAGCATAAGACACTTCTAGATGCTACAGTACTTCACTGTTGTTTTGTCTGATAGGAAGAGGAGGACTTAATTTCTGACCAAACCCCGTGTCATATCATCAGCTGCCATCTGGAAGATGATTCAGAGCTGATCATGCCAGGTCTTACAGAGGGATTTTTGTCTGAACTCTGAGGCTGTCAGCTGTCAGGAAACCTTTGAAACTTTAGACATTATTTGCTTCCCTGAAGTCAGCCACACCATCACACTGGGTGAAGCAAATAAACAGGAAAAAGTTCAACGGCATCCAGTTAGTCTGAGAAAACAAAGGTAGTCAATGCGAAACATTAAACTTGGAACTCACAAACACTGGATTTTCAGAAACCCAGAGATAAAAAGTCAAATTTGCAGCTAACACCTGATGTGGCAGCAAACTGGACATAAAGCCTCTCACAGATTTCTCCCCAGTAAAACAGTTTAGAATTAGCAGACAGTGGAAATGCACAGTACAAGTCTGTGAGGTTTGTGATAGAAAGGAGCAGACCCTTCAGATTCTCCTAGTTGCCCAGGTTACTTCATCAATGTAGAATAGCACGTGAGAAATGACAATCATCCCCTGACCTGATATTTAACATGATAATACAGCAGCAGTAACCAGATCACCAGCTTCNAAAAAACCTCCGGAAACTGTTGGCAATAACAACTTATATACTTTACTGAGTTCTTTTATACTACAGGCAACGTATCATTCGGTGAACAAGCAATTTAAATATATAAAATAGAAAAACAGCATTATTTAGAGGTATATCTGCAAAAATATACATTTAGAATCGTACACAAGAATGGTCAGGCCGAGTGAAGAACTTAGTGATCTGCAGGAGTGTGCTCAGGATCTGGTGCTTCTGTATTTCAGCAAACCCACGGGAAGGGCCTGCAAGCAAAACAGGGGGTGATCAGCACACAGACATCTGCACTGTCCTCCAAAACCCATCACAAATTGCCCTAACTCTCATACACTATCTAACAAAGGGGAACTTTTCCTTCTCACTCTGTCCTCTTTCATGCTATTTACACTGCAGGAAACCAAGCCATTTCTCACTCTATATCGCTTTGAACACACCCCTGGTGCATACACAGAACCACCAATTCTGGTGTTTGTTTTTAATGTTATCAAAGGACTGTTTGTACAATCGAGTCCTCTTCCAATTTGGGCGGATAGCAATTCAAGGCGATGAATGAAGAGTATCGCTCAAGAAGAGTATTTGCACACATCACAACAAGATTTCATTTATAGAGCGCCTTTCACGTCGGGAGGACGTCCCAAGGCGCTGGACAGTTGGGTTGGGACTCGAGCAGGGGGAAAATGGTCAGGGGGAGGGAAGGGAAGGCGCGAGGAGGGGGTAGAGAGTCGAGCTGAAGGCACGGTCAAAGAGAAAGGTCTTGAGACCGCCCTTGAAGGAGGAAAGGGAGGAAGCAAGGAGAAGGCACTGGGGGATAGAGTTCCAAAGCCTAGGTGCTAAGAGGCTGAAGGCCCGGCCACCGATGTTAGGGCGGTTAGGGCAGGGGATGTGGAGCAGACCGGAGCCAGAGGAATGGAGGGTACGGGCAGGTAAGTAGGGGGATAGTAGGTTGGAGAGGTAGGAAGGAGTAAGGCCGTAAATGGCCTTGTAGGTGAGGATGAGGCTCTTGAATTCGATCCTCTGGGGATGGGAAGCTAGTGGAGGCGAGTGAGGGTGGGAGTGATCTGGTCGCGAACAACAACAACAACAAGATTCCATTTATAGAGCGCCTTTCACGTCAGGAGGACGTCCCAAGGCGTTGTACAGTTGGGTCAGGACCGAGCAGGGGAGAGATGGTCAGGGTGAGGGAAGGGAGGGAGCGAGGAGGGGGTAGAGAGTCGAGAGGGGAGCCGAAGGCTCGGTCAAAGAGAACGGTCTTGAGACCGGCCTTGAAGAAGGAAAGGGAGGAAGCGGCGAAGGCACTGGGGGATGGAGTTCTAAAGTCTAGGGGCTGAGAGGCTGAAGGGTAGGGCGATTGGGGCCAGGTATGTGGAGCAGACCGGAGCCAGAGGAACGGAGGGTACGGGCAGGTAGGTAGGGGGATAGTAGGTCAGAGAGGTAGGAGGGAGCAAGGCCGTGAATGGCCTTGTAGGTGAGGATGAGGATCTTGAATTCGATCCTCTGGGGGATGGGGAGCCAGTGGAGGCGAGCGAGGGTGAGAGTGATGTGGTTGCGGTGTCTGGTGCGGGACAGTACACGAGCTGCAGAGTTCTGAATGACCTGCAGCTTGTGGAGGGAGGTGCCGGGAAGGCCGGCGAGGAGAGAGTTCCCATAGTCCAGCCTTGAGGTGATAATGGCGTGGACCAGAGTTTCAGCAGCGTGAGGGGTGAGGTAGTGCCGTAGTCTGGGATGTTTCGGAGGTGATGGAAGGCGGTGCCAGTTGTGGCGCGGATATGAAGGAGAAAGGACAGCTCAGGGTCGAACAGAACGCCGAGGTTCCTGACTGGCTTTGAGAGGTGGAGAGTGCAGCCTTGGATGCTGATGCTGTCAGCGCCTGAGGTGCGGAGGCGCTAACGCGAGCCAATCAGGAGGGCCTCAGTTTGGCGCACGTTGAGCTGAAGAAAGTTGTCTCTCGTCCAGGACTCGATGTCGGACAGGCAGCTGACAGGAGATCAGGGGTCGAGGAGTTGAGGGTAGAGGAGGAAAGGTAGAGTTGAGTGTCATCCGCATACATGTGGAAGTTAACCCCGTGTCTGCGGATGATGTCACCGAGGGGGAGCATATAGAGGGTGAAGAGGAGGGGACCGAGGACAGAGCCCTGAGGGACACCACACGGGACAGTGCGGGGACTGGAGGAAAAGCCGTTTGTGGAAACAAAGTGAAGACGGTGGGAAAGGTACGACCTAAACCACTCAAGGACAGGGCCTTGAAGGTTGAGGTGGGAGGACATGCGGTGGAGGAGGATACCGTGGTCGACCGTATTGAATGCGGCCGATAGGTCGAGAGGACGAGGAGGCATTAAAGCTTAGGTACACAATTTGCAATACTATTGGTACCATTACACTGCAGACAAGTAGCTACAACAGAGCAGTCTCTGGGAACCTCTATCAGTGAATATTTCCAACCTTCAGTGCTCACCTGCAATTGGTTGAAGATAACATACTCCTGTGTTCGATCTGAACCACATGAAATCCCTGCATCACAAAGACGTCCAGGCACCTGACAACAACAGAACTAGTATTATTTCAGCGGCAGGAAATTGATGTGCCTTGAATACACCTGGACAGGAATACATAAAGAGTTATGAAGAGCTGCTGCATTGGAAACACTGTAGAAAGCAGGAAGTGACAAATGCTCATCAACTTGTTAGGGCAGAAGCACCATTCAGCAACAGTAATAACAACAACGTTTATATGTGATCCAGTGCCTTTCACAGTGGGAGAATGCCCCCAAACACTTCATGGTATATTCTGTGAAATGCAGTGACTGTTTCATGGGAGAACCCAGCAGCCAATCTGCACGCAGCAGCGTCCCACAAATAGTCATGAAGTGAATTTTATTTGAGGGACTGCTGGCCAGCACACCGGGAGAAACTCCTTTCTCTTTTTAACTAAAGAGTTGCTCAACTTTGTTTTAAACTTCTCAACGTTTTGATATTTGGGTTGGAACACCAATTACTATGACAAATCACTGAGCTAAATAGAAAAATGATCATGTCAGCTGGCTCATTTGGTAGCACTCTTGCCCAAGTCGAAACATTGCGGGATTAGACCCCAGATTGGGACTTTGACTTCATATGCCTAAAATGACACTGGGGGGTTCCTGCATTGCTGGAGGTGCAGTGCATTTTCTGATGAGATGTTAAATCAAGGTCCTGTTTACCTCCTGATCACTTGGCATTATTCGAAAAGAGAAGGGAGTTACTCCTTGTGTCTTGGCCAACAATCCCCCAGATAAAATTGGTCACTTGTTAGTGGACATTGCTACATGCAAATTGGCTGTCACAAAATATAGTCACCACACTTTACAGTATCTCCTGTGAAGTGCTTTTCCAAACATGAAAGATGATATTAATAATAATAATAATCCTTGCATTTGATATAGCGCTTTTCACGTCTTACAGACGTCCCAAAGCGCTTCACAGAATATACTGTAAAGTGAATTGACTGTATATTTGTGGGCGAACGTGGCAGCCAATTGCGCACAGCAGCGTCCCACAAAGTCATGGATTGAAAATGACCAATTTATTATTGTTTATTTATATTACCAGATTTATTTATTTATATTACCAGATAGAAGGATATTTATTATTGCTGTTATGATGATGGGGTGAGGGTAGACTGTAAACCGCCCAGTACCACCTTGTGCTGGTGAAACGCTACCTGCGTGGAGACTACAGTGGCTTCCCATCACACAGGAGATACAGTTCAAGATCCTGGTCCTCACCATCAAAGCCCTCCATGGTCTTGCTCCACCCTACCTCTGTGACCTCCTAACACCCTACCATCCTGCCCGCTCCATCTGCTCAGCAGGCTCCGGCCTGCTTCACATCCCCCGTCTCGCTCGCCCCACCATTTGCCTCCCCCATCTAGGTGCCCTACATCACACATGTAGTATATTAGTTGGCTGTATTTTTTGATAATTACTGAAAATCTGATTTGATTGAGATAGTTAAACTGCAGATAAAATCAGGAGGAAGGTTTAGAGCTCACATTTATCACAGAATTTCTAATTTCCTGCAGTTTGCTGGTTATGCCAGAAATAAACACACAGAATATTAACTACACTAGACATAGGGAATAATAGTTAACTTTTCATTATATACCCTCCCGTAATGTCTGAATCATCAAGCACTTACCAGAATAGAGTCAAAGCCTTTGGATGGAGAGTTTCTGAAACACAAGAGACACTTTATTGAGAACAACGCACCCGAGCAATGATTTCATTCAGCTGCAGGCGACAAAGTGAAAAGCACGTTTATGAATTTATGGCTGGAATCTGACAACTTTAAAATAAACCAGTGAAAGTGAGTCAAAAACAACAACCACTACACATTGCATCTATACAGCATGTTTCATGTCAGGACAATGTCTCAAGGTACTGGACAGTCAAGGGTTTGCACCTGAAGTGGGTTTGGAGTCGAGGGATTAGGAGGATAACTGAAGGCACGATCAAAGAGGAAGCTCTTGAGACGGGCCTTCAAGGAGACAAGGGAGGGGGCGAGGCGAAGGGATTCCGGGATGGAATTCCAGAGGATGAGAGCAGGAAGATTGAAGGCCTGACTGCTGATGGTGGGACATGCAGCAGGCCTGTGCCCATCAAGTGGAGGGAGCTGGGAGGTTGGTAAGGTGTTAGTAGGTCACAGAGTTAAAGAAGAGCAAGACCATGGAGGGCTTTCAAAACAAGAACGAGAATATTAGAATGCATACCCCCAGAAGCCCGTAGATCCAGAATCCTACTGTTTACAAGAAGATAGATCAGAAAGGCAGGCTCATATAGCCTTTATTAAATGGTGGTAACTTCCATTAGACCTCCTTCCAGAGCTATGAATAAGTCATACCTGCCATTGCACCCTCGTGGATGGGATGCGTGGAGGAGGGGGAACAGAACCAATACTATATTGTCAATCCACGGGAGGAGTCACCCTTTGCACCACATTGCAGGGTCAAGACAACCTCCAGAAGCATTGCAATTGAATGCAAATAAACAGTACTCTCACAACCTTAAAAACCTCCCTACATTTTAGAGAATTTCCAGAACATACCTTTCTCTGTTCTTGGTCATCACAGTCTCTGTATTCCCAATGCAAACATTCGCCACAAGGATGGAGCCGGGCTGAGGACAAAAACAAACCTCTGCAGTATAATCTCTTGACACTGAAATCCAACCACATGGTTAACCAGAGTATCACTATGCACGGCAGCTCTTTCCTGGCCTATCACACATCGCACATCACAACGTTTACCTAAGAGCAGGGAAGAGAACCAGAGGTCTCTGCACATAGGCACATGGAGGTGAGAAAGCCCTTCCTACATTACTGCCTCGATAAGAAAACAACTTCACTGCATCACCTGCAGCAGAGTGAAATTGTTGCTCATTACAGCTGTATTGTTTTCTTGAACACTTTTCCCATGTTATCTTTGATAAGAAGTCACCATCTGCGATCATGACTTCAGCTACTTAATAATAATAATAATACTTGCATTTGATATAGCGCTTTTCACGTCGGGAGGACGTCCCAAAGCGCTTCACAGAACACACTGTAAAGTGAATTGACTGTATATTTGTGGGCGAACACGGCAGCCAATTGCGCACAGCAATGTCCCACAAACAGTCGTAGATTGAAAATGACCAATTTATTATTGTTTTTGGTTTTGGAGGGATTATTATTATTAGTGTGTGGAGTAAGGAAACTTGCCCAAGGTTTCGCCCTCTGCCTGGAATTGAACTCAGGTCTCTTGCTTGCAAAGCGAGTGCTCTAACCACTGAGCTACAGGACTCTCACCTCTGGAACTCCCTGCCTTAATTCCCCCGCCTTGTGCTCCTCCCCCACCTTATCTATCTTTAAATCACGCCATAAGACTACTTCTCCAATTGTGCATGTAGTCACCACCCCCTCCCCCTTCTCCCTTGCTCAGTGCAGTGTTCCGAGAAGCAATCCTGCATGATTATTGCAATTGTTGTTTTCATCAAGAGGACAATGTTCTCAAAATGAAAATATGTTGAACTTAATATTTTATATTATGGTTCAGTGAATGGAATGCTTTGAATGAGCATCATTTCACAAAGGGTCGTGGACCCGAAACGTTGACTCACTTTCCTTTCTCCGTAGATGCTGCCTGACCTGCTGAGTGTTCCCAGCGATCTGTTTTTTTTCATCGTATCAGCAGGGTTTAACTCAAGAGTGTATAATGTAGAATTATTATTTCTCTCACACCTTCTCTGCTGTCCCATGTACAATTTATTATTATTTATTTCTCCCAGTGCAAGAATCGTATTTAGTTTTTCCTTAAAGGTTGATTCAACCTTTCAACCTTAAAGGTTGATTTTGATTCAGCCCTTCAGGTTGAATCAAAATGTTCTATTAACTACATAGAAAATATTGCTTTATTAATTAAAATGCTCTTTTTTAAAGAGAAAAATAAAGTTGTAAAATAAGGTGGGAGATGCTCCAATAGAGCTAACAATCAGATTCATCACTTGTGTCAGGGAAAAAAGCCGCCGATCCCATTCCAGTGATTCCCCTGAAGTGCAATGTTTCCTGGTTTAAAGAAGATAAGTCTGGTGCAGGGATGGCTTGACAAGAATTTAATCAGATTGGAATCTTTCCCGGTCCTAGATTGATAATGTGCACAAAAGCATCCGTACTATTGAAATTCTGTCATGACCTGTACAGGGTTAAACATGTATGTGTTCAGTAAAATACCCAGGGTTTGTAATGTTAATATGAATAGTGTTAGACTTTAGAGCTTGAGAGGCTGTGGTGGGGGGGCGGCTAAAAAATAAGATTTTTATAAAATATAACCAATGCAAAGTGACTGCTGAACATCCAGGGTTTAACTCCAATATAATTTCATCCCAAATGGAATTAGTACAGAAACATTGATAAACAGTGGAACTAAATACAATCACTGTGATTTTTATTTCTCTCTCCAATGCATTTCACTCTTTTATCAGATTAAATAGCAGACCAAATCACGCACACTCGTATAGAAAGCATTAAATCTCTTTTTTTAATCCAGTTACTCACCACTGAGAACAAAGAGGCAGTGAAGCCATTGGGGGAGAAGTACAGCCCTTGTCCATATATCCCATCAGTGAAATCTACAGACAAAAAAAAGTAAAATCAGTTGCTGTTGTATCAGAAATCACCAGGGACTAGAGACAAATCTTCCTAGGAGGAGAGTACCCTCTTTGTGTAGTTATCTGGAGTAGAATCACAGATTTTGTAATTTGCAATTTGGCAAATAAGTCACAATATTCAATTTTAATAAGAGTTGCACATCAGTTGCAATCCCAGGGCACTCTCACTGAATGTGATCAGGCTGAGCAGATAGTGTACTCACTGATAATAACATGCCAGGCACAGTTCCTCACCAACACATTCACACAAAACATTTCAGTTAAAATGTGCACACAGATACCCCAGTGACACATGAACACAATTTCACCATTAAGTAAACTCCTGATGCATACAGCTTAGGGTAGTTATAGTTCTCCTTCTCAGTTGTTAAACTCATCAACAAAGCTTTTGCAAGAGAACACTAACAAACTCCTAACATAAGAGCCAACTGGCGTTCTATAGGTGTATAAAATAGACTAATGTGACGTTATGATGTCCTACTGTTAAGATAAAGTTAAGATACAACCCCATCTGCCCATATTATAATAAATAATAATAATCCTTGCATTTGATACAGCGCTTTTCACGTCTTCTCGACGTCTCAAAGCGCTTCACTGAATATGCTGTAAAGTGAATTGACCGTATATTTGTGGGCGAACGCGGCAGCCAATTGCGCAGTATCTCACAAACAGTCGTGGATTGAAAATGACCAATTTATTATTGTTTTTGGTTTTGGAGGGATTATTATTAGGCTCTGTGTGGAGTAAGGAAACTTGCCCAAGGTTTCGCCCTCTGCCTGGAATTGAACCCAGGTGTCTCGCTTGCAAGGCGAGTGCTCTAACCACTGAGCTACAGGAATATTAGTGGTTGAGGCAGATGTTAAAGATCCTAAGACACTAATTTGAAGAGTAGGTAGTTCTCCCAGTGTCGTAAAAATCCCTCCCTTATCCAAATTCACTAGAATGGTTCTGTTGGTCATTTGTGTCATTACTGTTTGTGGGACGTTCCTGGTACATTCAGCTTCATATCAATTGCCATCACAATCACAATTGGAGGGAATGAGAATGACTACGGTAATCGTAAAGTGTTTTGCAATGTTTCAAGGTGATAAACATTATAAACATGTAAGTATCTTATTATTGCCTTTACTGCACATGATGTTGATATCCTTCTCACCTTCCTCAGAGAAACCTTCTTCCATTATTAGCTGGATTCGCTTCGGACACTCCAGTCCCCCACAGTAATACAATGTGGTTCTGTACATGGGCTCTACCATGTTGGTCATGCAGCTTTCTATCAAACACCGAGTTTCCTTGCGGAGATTTGCCTAAAAATAAAAGGGAAATTGTTGTATATGTCGTTTTTTTAAATTACAAAAATTAAGCTTGGCTCCCCTGAATGTTCATATAGCATGCTTCATGTCAGGAGGATGTCCCAAGGCACTGGACAGTTAAGGGTTTGAACGGTAAATATGTTGTGGTGATGAATTACACACAAACCATGACTGTTTATCAATTCAATCACTTATCCATGTCAAATGAGCTCATCTCAGCCAGGGCAGACGTGGTTATTAGACTGGTCTCAGTCTCTTCTTACTAGGAAAGGAGGAAGAGGATACAGGATAGACAGATAGAAAGCATTGCTATTCCCCATCACTGTTCAATGATTCACTGTTCAATCATGAGCTGCCACTTTAGGCTTCAATAACAACTGCCATGACACTTAGAGGAGAAAAAAACAAAATTACATTTATATAGCGCCTTTCACGTCGGGAGGAAGTCCCAAGGCGCTGAACAGTGTACAGCATTTCAGACCTGAGCTGGGGTCAGGGAGGGGAGGGGAGGGCAAGGGGGTGACTGATGGCATGGTCGAAGAGGAGGGTCTTGAGGCAGGACTTGAAGGAGGCTAAGGAGGGGGTGAAGCGGAGTGATTGAGGGATGGATTTCCAGAGGTTGGGGGTAGAGTGGCTGAAGGCTCTTCCGCCAGAGTGGCTGAAGGCTCTCCCGGGTGGGTCGGGGAACGTGGAGCAGGCCGGAGCCGGCTGAGCGGAGGGAGTGGACAGGTTGGTAGGGGGTTAGGAAGTCGCAGAGGTAGGGTGGGGTGAGGCCATGCAGGGCTTTGTAGGTGAGGACCAGGATCTTGAACTGGATCCTCTGAAGGATAGGGAGTCAATGGAGTCAAGCGAGAATGGGGGAGATGGTATCACGGAGTTTGGTGCGGGAGAGGACATGGGCTGCAGAGTTCTGGATTATCTGCAGCCTGTGGAGGGAGGAGTTGGGAAGCCCGACAAGCAGGGGGTTTGCAAAGTATAGCCTGGAGGTGATGAAGGCATGAACAAGAGTTTCAGCGACCTGAGGTTAAACAATTAACTGTAAAGTTGGTTCAATGTGTTAATCAAATGTAAGTATTTTATTACTACCTCTCCGGTACAGTTTTGATACTTTTACCTTTCTCAGAGAAACCTTCTTCTATTAGCTGGATTTGTTTTGGACACTCCAGTCAGCTAACATAATCTTACAGTGTGTCTTGTCACCTCCCCCTCCCACCCCCCACTCCGAGCCACCACTAGCGACCGTGACTTCAGCCACGATGCCGCTAATCCCAGCAACTCTCTGCCTCAATTCCCCCGTCTTGCTCCCTCTTTATCTAGCTTAAAAATCTTCAATCACATCTATGGTCATTTCCTCAGCTTGGCAGCCAACCCACCAGCTACTGTGCAATGCTCTGAGATGCTAACCTGCGTGAAGAGGTTATATAAATACAAGTTGTTGTTGAGGTTGACTCCCTGTTGTAAAGTCTGTGTGTATGTGTGAATGCCAGGGGAGGACAGAAATGCCCTTGATTCTAATGCCTTCTATGGTTAAGCAGCTTGTTGGCTGAAACTCGCTGTCCAGTTTTATACTTGAAAAATGGCTACATGGATTAGGAAACAGTGGGCTTCTAGTGTTCATGAAACTGTATTCCAATGTGGACCAACTCCTTTAGACGAGAAGGGGAGAAAATAATATGCAGGGTAGGAGGGATTAAACATGGTCTAAGAATAAATGACTATAAGAAAAGGTTCATCATCACAAAAGTGGTAAACATATATATGGTAACTTATATGGGAATTACAGGAAAGTCAACCAAGAGCAGTATACCTATAGGGTATAATAGGGTTGATAGGGTTAATTCCTGGTAATAGACAATTGAATTTCAGTTAACAAATGGATCGGTCACACATAGAAGTGTTTACAAGGGTAAACTCTTATCTCAGAGATCAGCTGGTGATCTCCTCTTGTAAACTTCCTCTGAACCTCTTGATGCCCGTTGTATCTCGTCATGACTCTATGTTATTTGCCAGGGCTTCATTTATTAAAATGATTAGACAGTAACTAGTTCCAATGACACTGGGCAATGTTGCATTGCTGCTGAATGGCCTCATTTCCTTTGGGACAGTTTGTGCTACAGTTTGTATGTGGTGGACAGTGATATCACCTCAGTGAAGTGAAAAGTTTACAGAATCCGCCATTTGAGGTATTCGGTAATGAGGTATTCAGTAAAGTTCCATTCTGGGTTCTTTAATCACCATGCCTGCAATTTTGAAAAACAAACATTAATTACAGGTGCTTGTTCAATTCATGTCATGTAGCTTACCTTAAGGAGAGCTGCCACTTCAAACTGATTGTTTATCAGTCCTGATTCTTTCTTCATACTGTCAGCAAAACCTTGCTCAATCAGTTTGTACTCATCCACAGCTGAGCTCCACTTCACTAAGCTGTCATCCTCTGCACAATCAGAGACATGGACTTAGGACAGTTCACAGACATCTGCTATCCAAATATCAGGTGTTGCCCCAACAACAGAGAACATCAGTCTTCCTACGTAGAATACAATCCCGCTGATACGTTGTGGTAATGTCCCTGTCAGAGAAGCCTACAGATATATTGTTTGCTCTGTGCGTACAGCCATGGGAGGGCATTTAACTCATGGAAGCCCAACCAATAGGAATACTTGGAAATATCGTTTTTTTTCCCCCTCAGGAGGTCTGTAAGCCATCCCTCCCTCCCTCCGATTAATTGACCGTACAGGCAGAGTTCTCATTCCCAAGTCATTTATTCTTGAAAATATTCAGAAATAAAATTAAGTCAAGAATTTAATGGTTTATGTCCATTTTAATAAAAGCATAGCCATCTCAATTTTTCATGTACAAGTTAGAAGTTTGAATATAAACGAGGCGTCCTTACTATCTCACACTTCAGTGCTCAAAGAAGCGAGCTGCTTTCAGTGCAAAAACAATGGAGAAAATAGGCTAAGGAAAGCTGAAAATTACTCACTGTGGGAGCTCTGTATGTCACTGCTATCTATTGTGTGCTGCAGATGGTCTGTGTCAGTCAGACATTTACCGCCGAGACTCAAATCAAATTCTAATAAAGGTGGTGGGTATGAGAAAACAGAATTAGACAATAGCAGCTGTTAGTAAACGTTTTATCTGGATTATGTGATTCAGTTGCCTGCCTAGTGGCCGCCAATTCCTAGTTTGATGCTTGTTTTCATATATAATTTAGTTTACATAACCCAGTTCAGATTAAAGGTTCTGCACAGCATGTACAGCCAAATTATATACACAAATGGCTACAGTAAAAGGAAGATTTTGAACAAAAGGTAGCTGGACTATCCAACCCCTTCAAAGTAATCCCCCAGATTTTTACACTCATGTACAAATCATTTCAAGTCCTGGTACCTCCCTACCTCCCCAGCAGACTTATATCCCACTCTGCTCCACGTCCCGTTCGCTCAGCTGGCTTCGGTCTCCTGTGTGTCCCTTGTCCCCTGTGCTCCACCATTGGCGGCCATACTGTCACCCACTATGCCCTAAGATTTTGGAAGTTTCTCCCTCAATCCCTCCACCTTGCCTACCGTCAACTCCACTCTCTGACTCATATTAAGCTCCACTGCTGCTAAGCGCTCCAAGCACCCCACGTGAGGATGCTTGTTGTTGTAATAGAAAATAAATGCAAATTGTCGTAATAGAAAATAATACAAGCATTAATAAATGATGCTCAGCAGATCCCAGGACTGCTTCACTACTCAATAATATCATTGTTGTTGGGGAACTGTGCCATCTGGGAGTTTATCCAAAGCCGCACAACCCCAAATGTAATTTGTTGCTGTTGTGTTATTTCATGTTGCTGACCCCATGCTTCGCAGGTCAAGCAGCTCCCAGTTAAAGTAGCATTGCATGCTCAGAAGGTTCAGCCAGCAACCAGATTACAATATTTAAAAGATATTAAGAATAATGGCAGTATTATTATGGTGATGGTATCCCATACTGCAAGGCTGGGTTTTGTTTAAGTCAGTGTTGGTTACCTTGCTGGCAAGAATCAGCCTGGACCAACGCTTTTGTGTACCTGTGGTTATATTGCTCAATTGCAGTATTTCTCTGTTTTTTTTCACTTTGTAGTCCAGGAACTTCTTCTCTAGAATAGAAGGGAGAAAATTCAATAGTCGGCAACCTCACTAATTGATATTGATATGGAATTAAAATATAATCAATTCAGTTACATTACTGACAAACTACTTTGACAGATAATATTTCTATCAGGGGATGTACTGTATATAAAAGTAACCTATTGTGAGGCATATATTACATTCATAAATGCTGAAGTATTTGAGTTGCATCAGTGAATTACATTTTTTATGGGTTTCTAAATGTACTTCACTATAACAGTATTTTGGATGTTCCAGTGGTTCAGTTAGATAAAGTATGAAAAGGAACGATTAGATTAGGAAAATCCCAGGTTGAATTCCTAAACTATGCCAAGCCACATACTCAAAGTAAAAATGGTGGTGGGTGGGGTTTGCAGCACCCCTGGGCTAGGGAAGGGGGAAAAAAATAGCCATCCTGCTCATAATCAGTCTATTGACTCCTGCCACAAATCACATGTGTGACTGGGTGAATGCCAAAGGATGTGATGTAGTCCACAGACGAATAAAACAACAAGATTTCATTTATAGAGCGCCTTTCACGTTGGGAGGACGTCCCAAGGCGCTGGACAGTTGGGTCGGGACCCAAGCAGGGGGGAAATGGTCAGGGTGAGGGGAGGGAAGGGAAGGGGGTAGAGAGTCGAGAGGGGAGCTGAAGGCATGGTCAAAGAGAAAGGTCTTGAGACCGGCCTTGAAGGAGGAAAGGGAGGAGGCAGCGAAGGCACTGGGGGATAGAGTTCCAGAGCCTCGGTGCTGAGAGGCTGAAGGCCCGGCCACTGATGGTAGGGCGGTTGGGATGGGGGATGTGGAGCAGACCGGAGCCAGAGGAACGGAGGGTACGGGCAGGTAAGTAGGGGGATAGTAGGTCCCCCTAGCAGAATAGGCTGCTAGCACATCTTCTTCAATTTATAGTCCTCAAACATCTCTAGAATAGCAGGGGAGAAAATTCAATACTCAGCAGCCTCACTAATTGGTGTTGATGTGGGATTAAAGTATAATCAATTCAGTTATATTACTGACAACTATGTGTAATTAATTTGGCAGATAATATGTCTATAGGAGGATGCATATTCAAAAGTAATCTATTGTGAGGCACACATTGCATTCATAACTGCTTAAAGATTTGAGTTGCATCAGTGAAATTGCACTCAACAAAATTGGGTCATTCAGTCCCCAACTGTTTGTGCTCAATCGGCTGCTGTGTTTCACTCACAAAATACACAGTCAATATTCTTTACAGTGTATTCTGCAAAGCGCTTCAAGACATCTTGACATCCCACCAATCCAAAGGAAACACATAGGCTATAGACGTTTCCTTATCGTTGTAAACGAAAACCCTAACTGCCAGGGTGGTCCAAACATAACCAATACCACTGTGCAGATGCATAGATGGGAATAGAGCCAGAGACTCACCAATCTGCAAATTCATATCATGAGCCCTCTCCAGATCAGAGGTCAGTGAATCAATCAGCTCTTTCTGAGAGGCAATCTGTACACAAGAAGAAACACATCATCCACTGTTAAGTCACCAACAGTTCACCAGCTCATATTCCATTACCTTAATCTTTCAGTGTGTTGCAAACCCTTCAAGTACAAACAATTCTCTTCACACACAATACAATTTTTTGTTTCAAGATGAACCCAATCCAACCAAATAGTCTCTGGGCACAAACAGATGATTGGTTATTATGGTTAATACTTTTAGGAGCTCTTTTAAACTCAAAACCCCACATGGGTTGCTGAATACATAAAAAGTATAAGACAAGAGAGATTCTGCCAGGAATAATGTCAAAGTCATGAAAGCTCCAGCACCAAAACGGATTAAAGGGCTGCACCCTTTTTATTCTCCCCCGTTGGTTAACTAGGTTAATCTTGCAGTGCACAGAGGAAGCTGTGGAGGAGAATGAAAGATAGTTTGTACTGTGTTCTGGTGGAATGTACTAACCCCATTCCCAACCTAGTGTCAGTTCCACAGGATTTCTGCCTTGTGTTGGCTGGATAATATCACAATAATGTTGCTATAATATGAAACCTACCTGAGTTCTCAAGGCTGTGATTTCATTCAACATTTTAGTCATGCAAATAGCCTGCGCCTGATAGGCAGCGAGTGACTTCTCTCCCCTACAAAAAAAAGCACATGATTTGGTGTCTCAGAGAAACTAGTAATATCAGAGACCTGTACAGAGATAGGACAGGAAAAAGCTAACCTTCACAACCTTCAGTCAATTCATTCTCTTTGTAACTTTAAATGTTCTTTCATTAAAATGTTTTAGTCGCAAAACAGAATGTTTAATAGCACAGAAGGAGAAGGTTCAGCCCAATGTCTCTGTGCTGGTGCTAAGTCTTGGCTTCAGCAGTCACTTGTGGTAATTGCTCTTACAAGCCCTTTGTAAAAAAAATATTTTAACCCTTCTATTTTTCTTCTGTGATCATTCTCAATTGATGCTCTCACATTGCTGATTTGCCAGAGGAAAGATATTTTCTCGAATTAAGTTAATGAAAAACATTAATTGTTTAGAAAACTCCAATAGATTTCCCTTCTCCCCAACAAACCTTCTGTTCAGAAACAGTCCCAATGTTTCAAGCCTCCCAATTCTCCAACTTCAGCCTAATCAATATTTTGTCCAAATTTAACATTACCTCCGTTCCCTTCAATTCCTCTATATATGAAAACTAGAATTTCATTTGCTTTTTTTTAAGTGGTTTTGTCTAGTGTTTGCACTCCCACACTTAAACAATATTCCTTTAAAATATTCAATTTTGTATTGAATTATTTTGGAAAATAGAAAATTATTGGCGACTTTTCTGCACCGTTTGCTGAGCTTTTGGAATTTGTCATCACGAGCATATAAATAATGCAAATTTTACATTATAAATATAACATTAAATTACATTATAAATCTAAAATTAATTATAAATATAAAATGGCATTAGTAATTTATAAACGTAGAGTGACATATTCCCTAAGTTTAGAAAATGGAGCAGAATAGCTCTTAGCCTTCATCACTGGTCTCCAGCCCTTTTAGGAGGAGGATCTACTTTTGGATTTCCATAAGTCCAAAGATCTATCCAATTATTACAAACCTTACCTGCGAGCCTGGCAAGCGCCTGGTCTGTGTGTGCACTCCCATAATTGGCCTACATCTCCCATGATACCGTGGATTAGATCTTTTACTCCTGTGATACCCTGATCAGGGAAGCAGCTGTGTGCACTAGTGCCAGCTTCTCATGTTAATGTGGGAAAACTTAACAGGTCGACTTTCAAAGGTTCAGAGATTGAGAAGCTCGAGGCCCCTGGCCTACATCAACGATATAGGACATTGAGTGAACTTCAGGAGAACTGGCCGTAAATAACTAGCAGGTTACTGAACAAAAACCCCATTTTCACTGCCCATATCTTACACGTCACAATTGTTAGAAGAGTCTCTATTGTTCAATTCTGTATTTCTACAGATACAAATAAAAACACATATACTGACCAGAGCTGCAACTCCAGTTTTATCTGCTTCTCTTCCACAGGAAAGGCACAGAAAGTGGTATTATTGCCTGAAAGAGACAGACAAATGGAACGAAGTGATTCAAACCTTTTTTAGGAACCCGGTTGGTAGTCAATTGGCAGATCGCTTTTTTTGGAGGTAATAATCCCTTCAAAAAAAATGTGGTCACTCAATCCCCGACTGTTTGTGGGACACTGCTGTGCACATTTGGCTGCTTTGTTTTGCTCACAAAATGTGAGAGACCTGAGTTCAATTCCCGGCAGAGGGCGAAACCTTGGGCAATAATAATAATCCCTCCAAAACAAAAAACAATAATAAATTGGTCATTTTCAATCTACTACTGTTTGTGGGACATTGCTGTGCGCAATTGACTGCCGCGTTCGCCCACAAATATACAGTCAATTCACTTTACAGTGTGTTCTGTGAAGCGCTTTGGGACGTCCTCCAGACGTGAAAAGCGCTATATCAAATGCAAGGATTATTATTATTATTATATATGTGTAGAACTCTTTCTCCAGGAGCTGAATTGTCTGTACAACCTGGTCATGGAATTCTACATCAGGGAGGGGGTAGGATAATGACAAATGTGTTAAAATATATTGCTCATTTTGAAAGAAAGTATGCAATATGATAAACTAGTACTTACCCAGAGAAAATGGTGGGAAGTAGCTCATCATGGTGCTGTATGTCCAATCATCTTCAAATTCCCTGTGATTAAAGCAATCTTTTAGAATAGACAGGTCAGGCTCTGAATCTCTCACTGATATTGGTGGAACTGTATCCCAGCGAGAGTAAGAAGAGCAAGAAGAATTTGGGAAAACAAACAAAAAGAGATATAAAGGATGGATTATCAGTTCTGGGCACAGCACTCCCACATCAAACCAAGCCAAATCTAGGATGGCTGGTGCAAACAACACAACATAGCTTGAATTAGCAGCGTCCTTTACAGAAACACAGCTGCTTCCCATATGATCAACTCCTGTGTCAATGTGTTAATGTGCGCTGTGTTAATGCTGCCAACTCTCAGCCGCAGAAAGTTGTTCAAGATTGTTTACACACAAATAGGAGAGAAATTAAACAATGACCCCTCTAATTTAGGCTAAAGCCAGAATAGAGAGCTAAATCGCAGTTGAAAATAACATTTCATAAACCATTTTTTTTCATAGGTTTAGGATTTATATTTAAACCAATTGATAAGTTCTCACTTTACATTTTTCCTTCATTGTCACTTGGTTCTGCAGATCTTTCAGCTGGAACAATAAGAAAGAACAGCAGCAGCGCTTACTAGTTGCTAAGCTGAAAGTTCACAGAAAGAACAGAACTGACAATGAGGAAACGTGAAGAATGTTAGGACTGGTGAAGTGAAAGTTAACAGGTGTTGTTTGGAGGACAGCAGATACAGTTTCAAGGCTGCAAGTTGGTCCCTACTTGTTACTTAAAGTGAAGAGGCCGATAATTCGCAAGCTGGAGAAATTACATGAAAGATGTTGAGCAAAGAGGAGCAATCAATCAGCACGCAACTAACAGATGAGTTAACACAAAGATATTAGAAGGGTGCAGAAGAGAAGTATGACAAAAGAAGAATCTGCCCCTTGCATCAGAACCACTTGCATTTACTCATCACTACGTGGTATGAATGTTTGAAGACAGACACCGTACTTAAATTTTCTGTTTAACATGACATCATCGCTGAAGCCGCAGTGAGTGAAGAATTTTATCGCACTGCTGTCTGCGTGAGCCAACAAGGCATCGTACTTGCCAACAACTGCAGGATCCTTCAGTACCTATAGAAACAAAACAGCACCCACCCTGATTAGACAGGGTCATTTCAGTCATAGTTGTATTTTGCATACTACCCGCTACTCCCCAGAGTGGGGATGGGGAAAACTATTCATGCAAAGGAAATAGCAAAGTCAGAGAACTGAAGGTAGGGAAGGCACTCTGGAGGGATGAGATTAGTTGGACCCAAGTGCCTTCTTCATCCAAATCAATCTTGTGATTTCGCTATTCAACAGGAACCTAGAAGAGAAATCTCAATAGAGGGAGTGGACCTTCCCATTTCTTACATCAGACCATTTACAATCCATTAATAAATGTCTGTTCACCGAATAAGTTGTTCTGAGTAGATAGGCTCATTACTATGTGGCCAGTCAGCTAATAATAATAATGATAATCCTTGCATCTGATCTAGCGCCTTATCACGTCTTCGAGACGTCTCAAAGCGCTTCACAGAATATATTGTAAAGTGAATTGATTGTATATTTTGTGGGCGCAACCTAAAGCACCTTTATTCACCAGATGGAGCAATGAAGATTGGCATCACCAATTTAACATAACATAACATGTAGGAGCAGGAGTAGGCCATTCGGCCCTTCGAGCCTGCCCCGCCATTCAATCATGGCTGATCTTCTAATCTAACTCCAGCTAATAGCTGCATGCAAGACTTCAGAAATCGTGAGCAGAGCAAAGCAGAGCTTTGTCAATGAAGCCTCCAGATACAAACTGCAGTTCAGTCAGTGTGTGAAATGTGCATATGGGCCATTCCCAAAGAGCAGAAACGAAGATCAAAGAAACCACACATTCCTTTGAATAACGAAAAGGGTGGAAGTAGTGGGGGGGGGGGGGGGGGAGTCATCTTCTTTCAAACTACACATACACGTGTTAGATTTATTGCCTGACCCAAGAACCAATAAGTATCTGAAGAAGAGGCTCAAAGCACAATGGAGGTTGAAGGGATTATTTGTTCAGGAGTTAATAGAAAAGCTGATATCTGAAAATCTCCTCTGAAATGTGACTAACTATCACTGATCAGCATTCACACTGGCTCCTCAAACACAAGTTAGCCTGAAGACTGATGCATTTGCTTTTCAGCCAATACATTTCCACAAGCCACCCATTACTCTAGCAGACCAAGATAAAACAAGTTAAACATCTTTAGTTCACACTCTCTATCCTATATTTGAGCACATTTCTCCAAAACTGAACTTTGGAAATGTATTGAAAATCATGCTTTGCAGGAGATGTGCTGAATTAGTGAAACAGGAGCAATCATTCAATCATTCTCCAGTTTATTCTGATTTGTTTATCCGCTGTCAGAATGAGGATCCACCGAGCAGCACCCAGAGCAGTAACTGACCTTAGAACATATTCTTGTCCCCAGGACAGGCATGGAATTCATTTGAGAATAATGACTAAAGAAAGTTAATGTGATTTTACCGAGAACAAGACAGGATAGACAGCCTGCCAGCGTGGAAACAAACCCAATTACCGGATATATCCGGACCTGAAATCTAATCAATGTACAATTGTACCTATCTGGGCTTGTGGTGGAGGTTCTACGCTTAAGACTCAGTGAGAGTTTACTCACCTGTGTGTGACACAATGACACCCCCCTCCCACCCAAATTTATACACAGAATTAGTGTAACTTGTGCTGACAACAATTCTGCCGCTTCCCTTGATTCGCTCTGTAGACAGCTGCTTCCCATCAACCAGATATTTTAAGGGTATGGTCAATGGTCACACCCCATATTCCTTTTCAACAACGAAAACAACTTACATTTATATAGTGCCCTTCACACGGGGTAGAGTCCTGGAGCGCTCAACAGTGGCGGAGTCTGACAACGATTTAGGGGGAGAGGGAGGGGGGAGGTGACTGTAAGCACAATCAAAAAGGTCTTTGGGATTTGAAAACGGGGAGGGAGGGGGCAAGGTGGAGAGATTGAGGGTGGGAATTCCAGAGCTTCGGGGTATAGTAACTGAAAGCACGGCCGCTGATGGGGGCGAGGGACGAACAGGAGATTGGATTTGAAAACAAGAGAGGATCTTGAAGTCGATCCGTTCAGTAATTGGGAGCCAAGTGCAGCCTGGCAAGGACTGGTGTGATGGGGTCTGGGGTTCTGTGCGGGTTATTATCAGGGGCGGCGGAGCTCTGAATTAATTGAATTTTGTGTATGGGAGGCCAATGAGGAGGACATTTGAAAAGTCAAGTCGGGAACTAACAAACACATGCACAAGGATTTTGGCTGCATTTGGGGCAAGGGACGGTCGTGGTAAGGGACGGTCGGAGGCGGGCAATGTGGCGGAAGTGGAGGAAGCTGTGGATCGAACCTGACGCCTAAATTGCGCACAGTGAATCTGAGGGAGAACCCAGGAAGGTTGAAGTGTTCGGAACCCAGAGGAAAGATGTTGACGGGAGTCAAAGGGTATGGCTTCCGCCTTGCGGATGTACAACTGCAGGGAATTTGCGCTCATCCAGGCCTTGATGTACACGTGGAAGTTGTCTGCGAATGACATCACCGAGAGGGAGCATGTAAATGATGAAAAGAAGGTGGCCAAGGATGGAACTTGGGGTACCCCGCAGGTGACCGGGCAGGGATGGGAGAAGAAACCGTTGGCTGAGATATATTGTTGGCAGGTAGTCAAGTAAGACTCGAACCATGTGAGTGCGGTCCCATTAAAGTGGAGGAGTGCGGAGAGGCGGTGGAGGAGGATGGCGTGATCGACTGTGTCGAACGTGACAGAGAGGTTGAGCAGAACGAGGAGGCAGAGGGAGCCCTGATCACAGAGAAAGAGGACATCATTTGTTACTTTGACGAAAGCTGTCTTTGCTGTAGGTAGGAAGAAAACCAGACTGGAGGTGTTCAAGTAGGGAGTGCAGGGAGAGGTGTGAGCAAAGTTGGCAGGTTTGAAATGGGTCTGAAATTTGTGAGGTTGGAAAGATAGGGGATAGTTTTTTTTTGAAGAAAGGGCTGTTGTCAGCTGTTTTGAGGGGGAGTGGCATTCAGCATCTCTGGCCCCACACTCTGAAACTCTATTCCGCAATCTCTCTGCCTCTTGCCCTCTCTTGCCTGAGGAGAGTGAGTGGTTGATTGTATCAGCCAGTAGTGGGCAGAGAAGGGGGAGTTTGCTGACCAGAAGCTGGGTGGGGAGGGGGTCGAGGCAGCAGGTGGTGGGCTTCATCTTGGTGATGGCGGGGGAAAGGGAGGCGGGACAAATGGGGGGAAATGAGAGTAGCGTGTGTGCTGTACGTGGTAGGAGGAGGGTACTGAAGAAGGCACGGGTGGGGTGGTAGGTGAACATGTGGGGGGAAGGAGGCAGCCAGGTGGATGTTGTTGATCTTGGTGATGAACAAGTCCAGGACCTCTTCACACTTGGCGTCTGAAGTGAGTTGGAGCACGGAGAAAGGGATTTTAGGGTTGTCTTTGGCCTTGTGAATGATTTGTGAATACAAGGCGGTTTGGGCTTGAGAGGGGGAGCAGTAGTCGTGAGTTGGCGGTGAACCACGAGGCCGGTTTTCTGCCATCTGCACTCGAGCACCAGGTTTGGGATTTGAGGGAGCGGAGATGACTGTTGTACCGGGGGAGCAGGTAGGCTTGGAAATAGACCTGGTTTTAAGGGGACGAGGGAATTGAAAGTTGAGGAGAGGTGATCGTTTAGCAGCTTGATGGCTGCATCTGGACCACTGTGGGTGGAAGGCCAGAGGAAGAGAAGGTCAAAAGATGAGAGGGCGTTTGTGAGGATATTGGGGGGGAAGCTTTTACCATAGGCGGAAGAAGATATCACCTCTGCTAATGGACATAATTTTGTAACATATACATATCCTTCATCAATTTCGGTTCCAAATTGCATTACCTTAAATCTCTTTACATTCAAATCCATCTTCTGAATTTCCTCTCAATATTTCCTCCATCTTTTCTACTGAACACCTATATTTTAGGTTACCAGTAATTTTCTAAAAGTAGTGTTACGGTATTTATTTCCTTGTGTCCTTTCCCGCACCAGGCTCCGGGAACCTATGACCCCCGTTCTTGCCCGGATTCACTGGCACCCCATTCCTCAGAGAATCGAGTACAAAACCCTAGTTCTTACCTTAAGGCCCTCCACGGCCTTGCTCCCTCTACCTCTTCTACCTCATAATCCCACATCAGCCTGTTGGCTCCCTCCGCTCGGCAGACACCAGCCTGCTTCACGTCCCCCGCACTTCCCACCCCACCATTGGCGGTCAGGCATTCAGCATCTCTGTCCCCACTCTCTGAAACTCTATCCCGCAATCCCTCCGCCTCACATCCTCTCTTGCCTCCTTCAAGTCCCGTCTGAAGACCTTCCTCTTCGATCTTGCCTTCAGCCACCCTCCCACAACCCCTGCCCTCCTTCCCTTCTGACCCCAACTCCCAGCTCGGGTCCAAAACCCCCGATTGTCCAGCGATCTGGGACGTCTTTCTGACGTGAAGAGCGCTATACCATTTGTTTAGTGTCATTTGTTGTTTACCATTGTAGTATTCTCAAAGTGTCAATAATAATCTTTGCATGATATAGTGCCTTATCACGTTGTTGAGACATCTCAAAGAGCTTCGCAGAATATACTGTAAAGTGAATTGACTATTTTGCGGGTGAAATAAAATAAAAATCAATGAAACAGTCATATCGTACAGCCACATCTAACCACTAGATGGCCCCATAATCCATCATTAAGACCAACTATTTTATTAAGGATTAATGGGATTAATGCAAAAATCTTTATTTATATACATAATGTGTACATTGCCAAAATCTATCAATATACAAACCCATCTCTAACAGATCAAATTTTACTCAACAGTTTCAATTCTAAGTACCTAAAGGTTTAAAGTTTTTAATCTTCAGACCTATTTAATAACATCTGCAAAACAGACACCGAGTTTCAACAGTGAATATAATCAGGTAGAATTAGAAAAAGGTACAAAAGCAAAGAATATTTCCTAATTTATAGTATTCATTGAGTAAAATAGATAATCTTGCTGCCACCTCATGTTTCACTCTTCAAATTGTGATTCTTTGCAGATAACAACAGTTTACTGCAGTAATAACCCTGAAACACCAGGGTAATAATCGCTGGCCTTTCTATGTCTTTATCATGAATGTATTGAAGTGATCAGACTCTATTGGGCACAGGTCAAGCCAAGGAAGAATGTGGAAAAACCAAATACTCTGCCCAGGTTCCCCTAAATTCTTACCCTATGGAGTAATACATTATTGATCTCATCCTTCAGAAAGTACATGTCTGGCTCTATAAAGCACAACACACTCATTAACAAGAAGCTGTGGTGGAAGCTCATTGTCTTAGAGAGGAGCTACAAGGATCTATCGGGAACCCAAACACTTTATTGATGCGGATCACTGATGGCCTCTCTGCTGTGGTGTCAAACCTGTAATGAAAAGGGAACGCAGACAGGAGCCAGGTCTGAAAAGCTAACGTCTGCCTGGAGAGGTACTTTTCTGGGTTCTTCCACAGACAGCAACACCATCACCAGGTTCCGAGATTCAAACAAAATGGCATTCTGTTTCAGAGTGTCTTTCCTTGACCAGTAGATGGCGGTGCTAAACTTTGTAAATTAATTCCTTTCCAGGCGTTTGATGGAGGGTGTGTAATGCCCATTTATTGCTCCCCAAAGAGCACTGGTGTGATGAGCTTTGAAAGGAGTGGGGCAGGTTCATTGGCCTCAGTATTTGGATTTCTGCTAGCCATAGGTAAATTCTCACTATGCACATGCCAATTTGCATTCATTACATGTCGTAACACACAGGATACCAAATCATGGCGGGAGAAGGGCATTTCAGCCATCAAACCTGTTCTTTCAAGACAATGGAAGATGATTTAATCAATCATGGCCTCTTTCTCGTTTGTGCCCAAAGTTAATTGAAATAAACCCCTGAATACATCTATTAATGTCTCCATTCCAGTTTGCAGAGCTCCTTGCTCAGTCCAAGCAGCACAGTATTTGATCACCTATACTTATCCAAATAACCATGCAAAATAAATATTGAATTAAGCTTTTTTTTTGAATGAGATAGGCCTAGATAAATCCAGAGCTGAACTATTTGATTCTCATCTACAGAGTAACCCAGGCTACCATGCAGTACAGTCACTATTTCCATAACCAGGAGGCTACCATAAACTGCACTGACCCAATTTATAAAACATAAGGTAGTAAATCAACATCATTTTAAATGACATTAAATAGCATTTGCAGAGACAACAAGTGTGTGTTTACATGTGCAGTCACCTGCAGAATAGCAGGCACATGCACAGAGGCCTCCAGTCTGCATTCAGGTACCTACTACTGAGCAAAGAGACCCCTAAGTAACAACTAAGTGGCCTCCAACCTGCAACAGCAATTTACATTGATGCAGTCACCTTTCACATCAATACGTCCCAAACAGCTTCACACGGGTGACTGGGTGCCTGAGCTCGGTGTCGGATCTGGGCAAGCGGGGGTGGAGGTGAAGAAGAAAGGTGGGTCAAAGTGAAATGAAAAGATAGGCCATAAAGCAGATTCTGAAGACTGGGATGGAGGAGGCAAGTTGGAGGGACTCCAGGAGAGAGTTCCAGAGAACCGGGCGCAGAATGCCTGAAACCTTGCCCACTGGCAGATTGGGTGGGGCAACATGAAGGTGAGTGTAACTTCAGAAGTAGAGTGGTCCCTGGCCTGGAAACTCAAGTGGCTCCTAGCATTTACCCAGCCAATAGCAAACTTGCCATGTGCCAAATTTCCCCTTGAATGCCTAATACAAATCACATTTAAAAACTTTCGCTATAAATGAATATGCACTGCCTGGAAGGGTGGTCAAAGCAGATTCAATAATAACTTTTAAGAGGGAATTAGATATATACTTGAAAAGGAAAAATTAGCAAGGCTATGGGGAAAGAGTGGGGTAGTGGGACTAATTGGATAGCTCTTTCAAAGAGCTCTTTCAATGGGCCGAAAGGCCTCCTTCTGTGCTGTAAGATTCTATGATTCGAAGTGGCTGTATTTTTCTTATTTCCCAGTGTGTTTGTGTTGATGGATGCATACAGGGTCACAGTATTTATAGAAGTTTAAAGTCTGCTTGCAATTTCAAACAAAATGAATTTCCTTTTGAAGTGGATTTGATGTTTCTGGTGACACAGTTGCCACATCACCAGTTACCAGCTACACGTACCTGCAGTAAATATCGACCCACACCACAGCCTCGATAGCGTTTCCTGGTTGAAAGTAGCGTTAGCTGTACCACTCGATCCCCTGACTTCCTGTGTGGTAAAGATGCAACACGTCAGTCTGAGATTCGTTGCTATGGTCCTATTCTTACTTTATCACTTATCTACACTGGTGCATACAGTATTAATGGCACCTCTAATAGTCAAGTACAGGCTAATTGACATTTATGGTGTTCCATTAAGCAACCACATATCACTGCTAGGAACAACCGGAAAATATAACTGCTTTTATATTGAGGCAGCAATGCTCAAATTCAAGTCTATCCCATACATAAACATTACATTTTCTATACAATAACATAGGTTGGAGGCCATCCAACCTAAGTTGGCGTTGGTTCCTCCACTTGAGCTAATACCCCAATTACCTGCTGTTTCTCAGTACTCTTTCATATTTTCGAAGCAGTTGCCATAATTTGGTTGGTGCTATTGAGAGGCATATTTTACTGCTAACCTACATTTTTTTAACTTATTGATTAAAAACTAAACATGAAGAAATAACGCATCATAGATTGTTGCAAAAAAAAGAATTTATTAATGCTTTCTTTAACAAAAACTGGGTGGCCTACTTGGAGGGAAAAAACACCAAATGGTCCGTTTTCACCCCGCACTAGATTTGAAGGCCTGAGATCCACTAGCATTTCTCGCCATGCTCAACAGTCACGCACACAGCAGCGGGTACATAGGCCTGGACACCGAGCAAACTTCACTTTTACTATTTCTCTGGGGGGGGTTGTTTTCGCGGATTCTGCAAAAAAATTGCGAGCGCGAATTTCTATCGGCCCAGATCATCATGCAAAATACTGTGCAAATCAGTTACAGTCTAAGCTTCTTCCATCTGAATATATACTGCCACTATAGCACTGCACTGTGCCAGCCCCCTCTTCCCCCACCCCCACTCCTTTCCCCTCTGATTTTCTTTCCCTCTCCCTGACTTGCTCTCTCTGACATGCTATACTGGACTAGAATTATCTCACACTGCAAATTTAAACTCAAGTAAAATCACATACCAGAACCGGGCACATAGATGGCATTAGCTTCACTTGTGGCAAAACATTTATTATTTTAATACTCTACGTGAATAATTCCATACACAATCATATCACAGAGCTGGAAGAAATTAGGAAGTAGGACTAAAAGTTTATTTTAGATACACTCACCATTGGGAGCTGTTACCTTTTAAACAGAACTGTGATGTTATGGCAAATAACTATGTTCTCTGAAAACATAACAGCTGACATGAATATGGAATGTGTTGGTCAATGGATGGAAATCCTTTTTCAGCATTTAATATGTACTCAGAGGTACCTTTACTCAAGGCTATGTTCTTTAATGTTGATGCCTTAAACCATAAATACTGGTTTAAGAGTAGCTTAGGAACAGATCTGTACTGTATCTCCACCAAGAGTGATTTAAAATCCAAGAAAATGTAGTTTGCTGCCTGACGTACCAGTTTCAATTCACATAAGGAACACAAATAGAAAATGAGATGTTTCGTTCTTTAAGTAATCTATCTCCTTAAAAATAACAATCTGCCACTTCCAGTTGTATAACCCGGAATATAACCGATATAGGAGGTTTTACATCAGTTTTATAAAAACAAAAGCTGTAAAAATGCTTAAAACTGAGAAGAAAAAAAAAGACCGAGCCCACACCCAAACCCTGCAGACACTGGGCTCATATCCAGACTCCCACAAACCACTGTGCTCACATCCAAAGCCCAAACCCAACAGATGACTGTGCTCACACCCAAATCCCACGATTTACTGCACCCAAAACCCCAAAACCGCCACACCCAAAACCAAAACAAAATACCAACTCCTCTGAATGAAGATCTCAAATCTTCAACTATGTTGATTCCAAGAAAACCTTAAAAAAAGACCAATTGTAATGCTCCATGTAAAATCTGATGACTCAAGATATGTTGGGGATTAAACTGAAGTCTTTGCAGTCTGTGTGGCATAGTTTCTTGCTACATTAAATTGATCATTCATTTCATAACTGTTTGTGGGATACTACTGTGTGCAAATTGGCTGCCATACTTGCCTACAAAATAGTTACCACAATTTAAAATAAATCATGTGTAGTGCCTTGAGACATCCTCCTAACATGAAAGATGCTATATCAAATGCAAGGATTAATTAACATTATTATAAGACATCGAAACTGCTTGAAAACTTGGGTTTTAAAACACCCGTGGTTTTAAACACACATCTTCCTGTATTTAATTATACAATACACAAAGCAGATTAATAAATGATATTGAAATGTAATTTTAGATATAACTGAAATAGCATAGCTTTGTTAAAGAGCTGAACAGGACGTGTTTGTTTTAGCCCATATTTTTGTACGGATTGTAGAAGCAGAAAAGTCCATCCATTCTCATTCTTTTGTAAAAACAATGGTTAAATTTAATAATAATAATCCTTGCATTTGATATAGTGCTTTTCACGTCGGGAGGACGTCCCAAAGCGCTTCACAGAACACACTGTAAAATGAATTGACTGTATATTTGTGGGCGAACGCGGCAGTCAATTGCGCACAGCAATGTCCCACAAACAGTAGTAGATTGAAAATGACCAATTTATTATTGTCTTTGGTTTTGGAGGGATTATTATTAGGCTCTGTGTGGAGTAAGGAAACTTGCCCAAGGTTTCGCCCTCTGCCTGGAATTGAACTCAGGTCTCTCGCTTGCAAAGCGAGTGCTCTAACCACTGAGCTACAGGACTCCATTTATTGAATGATGCTAGATTACATTCTTTCAAAAACCATGTCAGTTTTAAGAATAGACAGCAAAGCATCCAATCTCCTCAGGAACAGCCAGCAGTTCCCATGAGGAACAAGAAACCAACACCTGAGTATAAACTGTTGACATCTTGTCCTGGGCAAAATCTACAGTTCAATAACTTTTCATTTTGGCTCTCCATAGGGAGGCAAAGGCTGCTGGCTAGTAGTTTCCTCAGGCCTTGAGCTATATTTTCCTTTCTATCTGCGCTGTGGATATCAATGTGATTATTATATAAGTGCGCAGTGTTATATTTTGGTCACTTTTTATATTAGAAAGAAACCATTGGTCCTGTCCCACACAGAGGAATTCACCCACTCCCCATGGAGTCTTTAGGTAGGGCTTCAAACCAAAAAGATGGGGGAACCACAACAGGAACAATGGTGTACACAGAGCATAACACACAGCAATGTCAAGCACCAGGAGGAGCACCTATTAACTCATACCAGGTTCAGAGTTGTGTTATTCCATAATGGAATATTCTCCTCTGCTAAGTCCTATGCATTTAGTGGGAATAGTATTTGCATTATATAAAGGAAATAAAATAGCTCAATCTAACTGAAAACCATTGGCACTATCCTACACAAAGCACAGAAAGAGAAGACCCACTACCTGCTTATCGGTCCTTGAATTTCCCACCATTTAATTGATGGGCTCCAGTGGTTTATAAATAGAATAATCAATGCCCAGGCTGCTTTACAAGCTAGAATCTGATCTAGATGTTCAGAAGCCTGTAGAAAATAATTAGTAACAGTGTGTAAATCAGAGGCTGGAATCTAATTGAGGAGGTTGTGTGCTTTATATATAGAATGCTGGATCCAAGATATGAGTTATAGACTGGATTCTAAATCGAGGGTTTCAGATGGTTGATTTATAGTATATTGAAGACCTAGGAGAGAGGCTGGAATGTCTGAGGGGTACAGATTGACTTAAAAATCAGAAGAGTGAACCTACAGTCACTTGTAACTTCAATCTCAGCCCTGCATTAGATTACAGTGGGTTATACTTTCCAAAATAAGCATTTAGAATAATACAGTAATAATAATCCTTGCATTTAATATCAAGCCGTGAAATGTCTCAAAGTGTTTCAAAGTATATTTTCTGTAAAGTGCAGTAACTGAGTATTTGCAGAGAAAAAAGGAAACAATTGGTATAAGGAATTTCTGTAAGGAACTATGAAGTGAATGATCATTTTATTTTATCTGGGGAACTGTTGCCCACGATACTGGAACAAACTCGCTTTTTTTCAGATGGTTCCATGGGATTGTTAACATTTAATTCTAAGTGGGGATATTTTTTTTGTTAGTGTTTTTGTCCGGGATAAATATATAATAAATTTTAAAAAAATAGATGAAGCAATTACTCAGAGGCTGCTCATTGCTTCTTCAGTGCAAGATTGCAGTGGAGATCAAAGAACTCTATGCTTCTGTGGGGCCATTTATTGTTGCAGTAATAATAAACTCTATCCCGTTTTTAAATAAAAGCCCCTTGCAGAGGCACAATTTAAACTTTTCCCAATGCAGAATTTAATCTAATGGGTTTACTAATAAATTGTCCATTGACATCTCATGGCTATTGTGGGATCCCGCTGGCACAATTAGCTGCTGCATTTACTTACAAAGCCAGCCACTACACTTGACGGTAATTTCATGTGTTGTGCTTTGAAATATTTCAATGTAATAAAGAGCTAAAATATGCACATTCTTTCCATTACTTGTGCCATTTGTTCCCAGCTGAGTCAGGACTGAGGAGTGCATTCCGAGAAATACATACACTCTTTCAGCTGAAAGTGTGTTATAACTGAACAGCAGGAATATCAATTTGCAACAGTACAATTAGTTTGTCTACTGAAGAAGTTTGTCTCCAGTAATTGTGGAGGCAAACCTCGATCGGGCTTTTAAAAACACCCTTACACCACACAGTTAAGCTAATTAAAGAGTAACTGCTGCAATTTTTATAAAGGGAGGTTAATTACAAGCATATTTTGAGGGTTTATGCAATAATTATGGTCAAGATCCTGCCTTGCTCACCATATAAGTGGGCATCAGCATTTTACATTAACAGTCTGGTTCAGAATCAAAGTATCGAGGCAAGACAAACTGACTGTGGATTGAAACGTTTGGATGCAAAAATTCGATCTGGAAATTCAACCAGCTACCCTGGTGGTTCAACTGGTAAAGCATTTGTCTAGATTGAACCTGAGCCACACAGGTCAGGAAAGTCCCAAATTTAATTCCTGGTCGGTGCTGAATTTGTTGGATTCATTTGGTGGAGCAGAAAGTGGGTACAATTGACTCAGTGTCCCTGGGTAGGGAGGAGACAAATGAGCCATGGTTAATACTTTACTATCCAGTGCTGCTACTTCTATTGGAAAGCAAACACGTCAAAACAGATTCCAGTTCAGCCCCAAAAACTGTATGGCTGTTTACCTCGTCAGCATTTTCCAATCAAATATCATGAATCGCCACTTGGGCAAGATATCAGAAAAGTATTCCAGCACATTGGGATGGATCACTACAAACCCAGCAAAGTCATACAATGAGCCATGTTTCACTGTTCTGCTGCCCAAGTGAGAGCTGTTTAAAGTTGTCAAAGATTTGCACTCAATACATTGCCCTATTAGTGGATTATCTGTTCAGATCCTCACTATGTGTGTTGATCCTTTGTTGCGATCTTGATAGTTGGTTCCTGAGCCAGGCGGGTCTCCAGTAATCCAAGGCACTGTTGATTCCAGCCATCCTAGCTCATTAGCAGGACGTGAAGGAGCTGATGAGTCATGGGGGCAGCATTCTCCCCACTCAGTTCCTGTTAATTTTGCAAGTCGATCTTCTAAAATGAATAGGGTGGTTGTAGCTGGACAATCGGAGGGAAGCTTGCCAGTGAGAAAAAAGCTGTTATGCAAGCACAAAACATATTCAAGGCATACTTACGTGACAGAACGTTCATAACTCATAGCAGCAACAATTCTGGACTCCATTCCTATTGCTGTAAGTGGGATGTTACTATTTTCCTTCATTGTGTACCTCTGGTGACGACGCTTTTTCACACTCTTCAGAAAGTGTTTCACTCCTGCCTTAAGCTTTTCTTCCTGTTCGTTCAATTCCCTGGAGCAAGAATACAAAATGTCAAGCACAGACTCAAAAACAGGATTCAGCTTACCTCATGTGAGGTTTATCAGCGGGACAGGATTTTCATTTTCACATTTACAGCATCTAAATAAAGCAACGCCAGAGAATGTGGTTTGTGAGCCTAGGAACATAGAAATATACAGAAAGAAACTGGAAAAGACCTCTGTGGTTTATCTGTCTGGTTCAAAAATGCCTCAAAACAGATTCAGAGTGGAATATTTATGCAACACAGATTTTCATGGCTGCAGTTTCACATTGTGTTTATTCTCGTATCTGGCACAGTTGTAAAACTGCGTGGGGGGGGGCAGGGGGTTCAGGATCCAGGAGTGGCTGTTACTTGCTTATGCTTTACATGTCTGCAAGATCTGAAATAAGTGAATTTGAATGTGAGACAATGAGATGGCAGGAGCTCAGGCTAATTCATGCCATCTTTTCATACCCTCGTACTCTCATCATACCCAACTCAGCAATGGGCTAATACTTTTTGTTGTATAACATATACAAACTTCTGCTCCTCTATTTGACATGAAATAATGTCCTGAGGAACAGTTACAGCATAATACATGATAACTAGTCGCTGGAACTAACATAGGCATTTCCACGAGTATTAATTAGTGAAAACAAGAGGAGCACATGGATCATTAATCTAATTTTCTCCAACCAAGTCAAATATACCATCTCATCATTTATTACAGGTAATAAGTGAGGGGGAAATGGGACTATTAATTGTGACATGAGACTGGAACGGATATGATAATTTGTAGAAATTCGACAGAGATTGGTTTTAATTTTTTTTTAAATCATGACCAAATTAGATGAAGTTGTGAGAAAGCTAACAATTGTAGAAGCACAGCATTTGTGTAAAGTTATGCTGTTGTAATATACAGCTAAGACTCTGAAGCAGAAATGTTGTGTGCCCTGATATAGTCACTGTCCAGGAAGATTCCAGTTTTGATCAACAGTCGAGTTAGCTCAGTGGTTGTAGAGGCACTAAATTTGGCCACTGTGTTGCCTTGCTGAAATGGAGTGGTGGTGGAGAAAGAGAAAATAGAAAAGAAGAAGAAAAGAACTAGGGTACCCACTCCCAAACACTATTCAACTTCCTAACCTGCTAGAGAGTGTGCCATTGTGTAGACATTGGGACAATTTCTTTTTCTGATCAGCTGGGTGTCTGACATACTGAAATTCCTCACCGTGCTTAAGAGTATCCAAACCAGGTAGTTCCATGCATGCCACCAACACATGAAAATTCCCCATGTTTGGAATAGAATACACACTCTTCACTCCCAGAGGGACGCACCCTGCTTGCCTAATTCCGGAAAATGTTAGGCGCAGGTTGGCAAGAGTCGATGCTTGGGGGCTCCACAGTGTACATAGGGATACTGCTGGAGTCCAACCAGCTAAAACTTCACAGCTTGCCACTGAGCAGGGTCTGGGAAGTTTTTTTGCTGCTTGTCTATCTATGACCATGCTATGCTTTAGGGTGTTGGCTTACAGGGTGAATGGGAAGAATCCCAGGCCCCAGTCTGTTCATTGAAGTCTTTGTGGAGTCCTGTAGCTCAGTGGTTAGAGCACTCGCTTTGCAAGTGAGAGACCTGAGTTCAATTCCAGGCAGAGGGCGAAACCTTGGGCAAGTTTCCTTACTCCACACAGAGCCTAATAATAATCCCTCCAAAAAAAAAAAAAAACAATAATTAAATTGGTCATTTTCAATCTACGACTGTTTGTGGGACATTGCTGTGCGCAATTGGCTGCCGCGTTCGCCCACAAATATACAGTCAATTCACTTTACAGTGTGTTCTGTGAAGCGCTTTGGGACGTCCTCCCGACGTGAAAAGCGCTATATCAAATGCAAGGATTATTATTATTATTATTATTATTATTACTGATGAGTCAGGCTGGCTGATCTGTCATCAGCAATGCCCTGGATATTGTGGACCTGGAGTTCAGAAATACTGCTGAAAAATGTACAATAATGGGCCCAGCTGCTCCCCATTGCCTGCTGACACTCATTGTTGAGAACGACAACTAGGTAAAGTACTGGAGATGACCAGCACTTGTGGAAATGTACCCCATCGTGAAGCAATACTTTCAAGAAATAGAGAATAGATAATTGGAGTGGGAAAAATACTTAGTCCTCTCCCTCCCTTACCATGACTCAGGATACAAGCAGTACAGATTACAGAATATTTTATCCACTTGAGCATATTAAGCATTTAGCCCCACAGGGAATAAAGCCATTCCTTTGAACCTGCAATGAGGTTTACTTTACTGTCTTCTATTGTTGCAGGACAACACTATAGACATTAGAGACAATTATTTTTAAAAAAGAAACTTTCACAAAACTAGTTCAAACTGGTTGAACTGCTGCCACTGATGCTGAGGGCTGCATGAGACCTCTGTGGCATTGGTCTCCGCAGGTATAACAGCAGCATGCAAGATCAATCTGCGTCATCCACTTGCAGTGTGCTCCCGAATGGGACGTCCTCCCGACGTGAAAGGCGCTCTATAAATGGAACCTTGTTGTTGTTGAATTAAATGCAGAGGGACTTGGTGGCCACGTCATCATGGAACGCAAATTCAACAGTTACAAAAATATACATTCTTTCTCAAGCATTCAAACATTTCACTGTAACTTTAATTCCCTGTATGCAGACAGTTAGTTATTTGAAGTAACCCCTTGCCTCCTTCAAGACCTTTTTCAACTGTGCCTTCAGTCACCCTCCCCGCCCTCCACCCCTCCTGATCCCAACCACCAGGTCGGGTGCGGATCCCTGACTTTCCAGTGCCTTGGAACGTCCTCCTGATGTGAAAGGCACTATACAAATGTAATTTGCTGTTGAAATACACACGGAGGGAATGATAAACACAAACGGATACACAAACAGGCATGGCCGACACCTTTGCTTGTAGCCTTTTTACATTATGTGCAACAACTCAAGTTAATAGAAATAAACTGCACAAATAAAGTGAAAAGATAGAACCAAAAACACTATCCTCCGGTGACTGATGGTGAAAATAAAATATTTTCAAGAATCAAGGTCAAACTAACCCCATGAAGAATACATTGAATTTAAGCTTGTCTCCATGCTTAGGTGTAAAATAGAGTTGCTAAACGAGACAGGATTTCGCATATTTATGTCATCTCAACATGGAAATTTCCGTCTTTGGATTGCAATGTGCAGTCTGCCTGGAGGGATGCACCATGCTTACCCAATTTTGGAGAGTATTCGGTGCAGGTTGAAAAGAGCCAAGGTTTAGGGACCCCAGAGTGTGCATTGGTGTAACTGCTTGAGTGTAACCAGCGTTTTAACCTGATATCTTACCATTGAGAGCACTGTCAGGCAAGTTTCCCACTGCTTGTCCAGCTTGGACCATCTTACCCATTAGGGCTTTGGATTATAAAGTTAATAGGAGCTGAGTGAGAAGAATCCCAGCACCCCCTATTGATCAACCAAACAGGTCAACAACAACAACGTTACATTTGTATAGCACCTTTCACTGTTATCAACAGCTCCCTAGAGTACTGTGGTCCCACCTGGCTCAGGAATTGGGACTACCAAAACCTCCAGAGACTTGACTAGGTTTTGACATTCCATTTCCAAGCACATCACCTTTGCGTTTGTCACCTCCCGCTTGAATTACTCCAACGCACTCCTCGCCGGTCCTCCCAGCTCCACCATTCAAAAGATCCAGCTCATTCAAAACTCTGCCGCCCACATACTGACCCGGACCAAACTCCATACTCACATTTCACCAGTTCTGGCCAGGCTCCCCTGGTTCCACATCACTGAACGGATCCACGTCAAGATCCTCACTCTTGTGTTCAAATCCATTCACTACCTGGCACCTCCCTACTTCTCCGACCTCCTCACTCCCCAATCCACCACCCAGCACCTCCGCTCGGCTGGCACTGGCCTCCTGCTAGTCCCTCGAACCCTCTGCCCCACCATTGGAGGTCGTGCTTTCAGCCACTATACCCCAAAATTCTGGAACATCTCTCTCAATCCCTCCTCATTGCCCTCTCTCTACCCTCTTTCAAGTCCCACCTCCCCCTGGCTCGGAGTCAGGTTCCATCACAGTTAAGCGTTTTGAGACGCACACTGCGTGGAGGGTGCTATGTAAGTACAAGTTGTTGTTGTTTATGTAAGTACAAGTTGTTGTTGTTATCTCCTCACTTTATTCTCCTGGATCAGAAGTTGATTATTTGATATCTGACAAGTGTTGGTTTAGGCTTCCCTCGGTGGATATCAGGAACTCCCTGTGAGCTTCCTTGTAGTAGCCCCAAGAGACCCTGCTTACTTCTCCCCCAACAAGAATAAATATGATAAGCTAGTCAGCCGTATGCAAACCATACTCCAACCTTTATGAAGTAACGAGTGTTGAAGAGATCTCACTAAAAAAAGTGGCATAATGAACCAAATGCAAGTGCAATATGTCTCAGTCTCATCGTCCTCAAAGAACTGCTCGTAATTGTTCAGCCATCAAAAGAACTACTTTAAAGTGACTGTTTTCAAAGTGTAGTTATGGTAATATGGATACCGATATAATAATCCTTGATTTGATATATGTCTCAAGGTGCTTCACAGAAAATACTGTAAAGTGAATTGACTGTATATTTGTGGGCGAAACGCAGCAGCCAATTGCGCACAGCAGTGTCCCACAAAGTTGTGGGATTGAGTGGCCAAATTGTTATTGTTTTTTTTTCTTGAGGGACTTTTATCAGGCGTAATATTATATTATGTGGGTAACTAAGACGAAGATCTGAATTTCTTATTCAGTTTAAAATATTAATGCTGGTCTCAGCTTTAATAGCTCTTATATTCTCCACCGTGCTCTTTTCCATCATTCTGCTCAATAAACCCACTTACTTATCTGACTCAGTCTCGGACTCTTCTTCAATGCTCTCGGAGTCACTGAAGACCTCAGAAAACAACCCCGGTTTCTCCTCTTCATCCTGGTTTGATAATTTGGTGTCAGGAATATCCACCAGAGATGTTCTTGCAATCTTCATGTACTCCTCGCATACCTCTGCCACGAGAGGGAGAAAGACATCACCCCATGCTTAACAGCTTTCACAGTTCTGTTGCCTGCCTCAAATCATATCTAAACTCAAAAGGTTACTGTTTCATAAATAAAGAGGTCTCAAATGCAACAGAGTGAAACAGCTAAGACTAATAATCTTGCAGTACAAATCAAATCGGATCGCCTTCTCCTCCCCTTCAAGCAGTGACCCACTTCTTCATCCTCAATTATTAATGGCAACAACATACTAGTAGAAACAGCTGTCATAATTGCTCCAGGTTTAGCTCAGTTTTCTGCTATTACTATCAAAAACTGTAAAGTAATTCCCTTGATTGCTTAGCAAATTTATCCAATGGGCAGCTCGGCCTGTCACCAGGGTGGTCCAAGCCTTGAACCTTGCTCTGTGCTGATCTCAGTTGGGAATAACATTGAGAGTACTAGAATTGGCCTCATCACTAGTTTGGAGGGAAAAAAGGGTTCCTGATCCTTACCACTATCCAGCAATTCCCACTGTAAGGTATGGCATATGTGGAGGGGAGATGAATATAGTATGAGCTTGATTGAGATTTCTTCTCCCTCCCCCAATCAAATAGTTTCTTGACTCTGACTATCCAAGCTCATACATGAATAATGGCTCTTTGGGCAAGGTACAGGAGGTCAACAGGCAGCCAGTAGATGGAAGAGTAGAGCAAAATGTCTGCAGAAGAAAATGGGAGAAAAGTGGAAGAGAAAACAGGCAACATAGAAAAATAAGAGTGTAAAATGGAAAAGTGGAAAATAGAGTAATGAGGCCTAATTACTGCTGTTGAAAAACCTTCAATCAGGTAAAGCAGTTGCAGTGTATCTCAACTAATGAATAACATGCCAGAATACAGATACGTCCTGCTCCGCACAGTGAGCTCAACAAATGAAAGTAAAAGCTAAGCATGATCCTTGGGATTCATTAGAGAAAGCTATCTCACTTTTTTTGCACACTTCAGAGATCAGTTGCAGGCTTGTGTTCACAGGAATCTAGATTGAGACTTTCCAAACTTATTCCATACAGAATCCTTGTAGCTGCACAGATAAAATACTTTCATCCCAATAGTCTATACTGGACTTATATCTTTCTCCCACAGATGAAAACGTGGTGTGCTATACTTGATGTCCAGCTAGAGACTATGCTTGTAATGATAGAAAACTGATGCAAATATGTCCATTGGGTCTCATTTGCATTAAATTAAATTTTCATGATCTCAAAACATGGTTCAAATTACTGCTTGTAACAAATCAGACAGCGTGTATGACAGATTGCTACCTTTCTCATCTCGTGCCAAGATAATGGTTTTAGTTCCTCTGGCACAGATAGTTGCTCCAAGATCTTCTGGTCCAATGTTGGGAAGACAGACATCATAAAGTGCAGTAACTGTGTGTACCAATTCCTGATTGGAGACCTACAGAAAAAAGAACTTTGTGTTAGAATGTCTTATTCCTATGGTTTGCCTTATGGAATCAAAGGTGTTAACTTCAAACTAATCTATTTTGCAGAATAATAGACTATTAGGACAGATATTCTACTTGACAAAACCATAGAATTTTACAGCACATATGGCACCATCCGGCCCATTGTAACTGTTGGACTCTTTAAAAGAGCAGTCATTCAGTCCCACTTACTGCCCTTTCCCCAAACCCCTCTAATTATTCTTTTTAAAAATATATAGGGAGAGAGACTGCTTAATGCAGGGCTCAATGACATCACAGATCCAGTGACTTCGATACACATTCTGATGAAATGAGCCAGAAACAAAACAGTAGTGGAAGGCAAAAACTAGGTAGAACTTCTATCCCAGCATTGAAATGAAAATGAGGTGTGAAGTAGGACATACACCCTATTTAACTGTAGTTTTGAACCACCTAAGATCTGAAGATAGTTCAGGCTATAGGAGTCTTACCCTAGTCTGCCCAAATACAGCTTGTAGTTTGTCTACATGGCCTAGTGGATAAATACATCTGTTACAAGATTAGTGACTGAAGCCCAAAAGGTGGGAATCCACTCACAGAATTCCAATCAATTGTTTACTATCCCCTCAAAGAAAACAGGGATAAAACAATGCTTTTATGTTGTGTCTGCAATTTCCAACCAAACAAAAACTGAAACCACAGCAGGGAGATGGGATGTGACAGAATTACTATGAAATATGTCCTGAGAGGTGGCGCAAACATGACATTTTGCTACAAAGGCTGCATCGCAAACCCATAAGTGAAGCCACATCACTGTCCAAATCAGAGAACACCGCTGATAAAAATTTTTAAAATGTTCCAGATGAGTTGCTCAGGAGCTTCTGCAGGGTGACAATTATTTACAGAAATTTTCAAATGATCTTAGTGAATTTTGGTAAATCTCAATCCAGGTGTAACATATCTATGGAGATATAGTTTACTATCCCTTTATAGATCTTTATTCTTGAGCATCAAGAGATTCCCCTTCTAAATGTGGTTGATGTCTTTCTATTGGTTTGTGAATCGTAACTCAGCTGGCACTCTTAGGCACAACAGTGCAATACGCGAAGAATGACCATTGAAACTTTTCAGCATACCGCCAGGCCTCTATGTGCACAGATGTCATTTTCCATATCCTTCACATCCATCAACATCAATCAGAGACACACAAATGACACAAAAAGTGTCCCTTCCAGCTGATTCCTATAACCCTGCATTATGTCACCAAACTCGGACAAATTGCATTGACCACGCTCATTTTTGTTATTTTGGGAAAATCTAGCACTTCTGGAGACGAATGCATGATAAAACCAAAAGAGGTTGGAAAGTATTTCAAGCTGTTTTGCTTTGAGCTAAACGGCCACAAGATTTGTCTAATCTCCAGGCAGCCGTTCCTTGCAGAGAATCAATTGGAGAATAGCAAATGGGTAAATGTCGTGTAGGCACGCAAGTGAAAGACAGCTCCATGTAAAATGTTTCCATCCGCTATGCAGAAACTGTGTGCAGTACTGTAGAACAAAGCAATCAATGTATGTACATTCTTGTCAAAAGAATAACTTGCTCATCACCGGTTTTACTCACACTCACACTTCATCTGGATGTAGCAAAATCTACCAGTAAGCCCTAGAAACATTTATACAACAGCCTCTTAACCCGTTTCTTGCTGAAACAAAGTTTGGGCAGTTACATAATGAGTAACCCTTACTCTCTAGAATAAACAAACACTGTTATAAGAACATAAGAACATAAGAAATGCTAGACGAAAAAAAAACAAGGTCCATCTAGTTCACCTTCCTGGCGGTTCCATTGCATATATGTCCCAAACTACCTATGTACTATATATCCCATAATGTTATTTCCTAAAAGAAAACTATCTAATCTGTGTTTGGAAGAATCAACGCTTCCTGTTTCAACTGTCTTCCTAGGGAGCCTGTTCCACAGGTTCACTATTCGCTCACTAAAGTAGTGTTTGTGTAGATTCATTCTGAATTTACCCCCTTCAATCACAGGCCAAGTCCTCTGGTTTTTCTATTCTGGACAAGTTGAAACAGCCTGTTATGATCTATATTGTCTTTAGAATCTTAAAAACAGCAATCATGTCGCCTCTCAATCTTTTCTTTTCCAGCGTGAACAATCCCCAATTTACTTAGTCGCTCCTCATAGTCCAATACTTCCATTCCCTCAATCATTTTGGTTGCCCTCCTCTGCATCTTCTCAATTTCTCCAATATCCTTTTTGTACTGCGATGAACAGAACTGTACACAGTACTCTTAAGTATGGTCTCATTTATACAGTGGCAGGGTTACTCCACTATTTCAACTTGTCATTGGTCTTTTGATACATCCCAACATCTGGTTTGCTTTACTCACTGCCACAGAGCATTGCTGGGATAGCTTCAATTTATTGTCAAGCAGGACCCCAAGTCTTTTTCATTTTCTGTACATATTATTTTCCCTCCGCTCAAATAATAGTCCCTCCAGGATTTTTTTGTCCCCACGTGAAGTACTTCACATTTCTCCACATTGAATTTCATCTGCCACCGATCTGCTCAATTCCCAAGTATGTTCAAATCCTCCTGTAACCTATCTTGTTCAGCTTCACAATCTTCCACCTGCATTAGCTTGATGTCATTAGCCACTTAGCCACGGTGCTTGTGACTCCTAGTTCCAGATCATTTATAAAAATATTAAACAAAAGAGATCCCAAAACAGCCCCTTGTGGAACTCCTTTGGAGTGCTTCGTGCAAGTGAGTATCAAAACAGCAGGATCAAACACATGAATGCACGACCGGAGAAAAAGTGTAGAAAAGAGGGCTTCAGATTCCTGGATCATTGGGATCTGGGGCACGTGGAACCTATACAAGATGAATGGGTTACACCTGAACAGTGTTGGGATCAATGTCCTTGCAGGGAGGTTAACTAGAGCTGTGGGTTTAAACTAATTTTGAGGGGGCAAGAGTATCAGGATAGCATTAGAGAAGACAAATAAGTTACACAGAGGGCTGGGAGAGACAAATAGCAATGTAATAAGTGCAGAAAAAGGAGGGATTAGACGGGGGAGAAATGTCGAGCAGATTCAGTCGGTCTTGGAATGCATGTGCATAAATGCACGGAGTGTGACAAATAAGATTGGTGGCTCAAGTTGCCATATGAGATTATGACGTAGTGGCAATAACGGAGACCTGGCTCAAACAAGGGCAGCAATGGGAGCTGAATATTTCTGGCTACAATGTATTCAGGAGGGATAGGGAAGGAAAAAAAGGAGGTGGGATGGCAATATTGATTAAAGACACTGTTACGGCCCTGGAAAGGAATAATGTGCTAGATAGAGTCCAAAAACAGAATCTATTTGGTTAGAATTAAGGGGCAGAAAAGGAGGTTACTCTGTTAGGTGTATACTATAGACCACCAAACAGTGGGAAGGAGATAGACGAACAAATCTGCAAGCAGATTTCAGAAAGTTGCAAAACCAATAAAGTGGTGATATCCTAACACAGTGTAAAGGGCAAAGAGGGGGAAGGATTTCTGAAATGTGGGCAGGATAACTTTCTGGATCAATATGTTTCCAGCCCAACGGGGAAGGAAGTTCTGGGGAATGAAGTGGAGCAGGTTTCAGTAGGAGAGCATCTGGACAACAGTGAACACAACATTATTAGGTTTAGAGAACTTTGGAAAGGGACAAGGAACAATCAAAGGTGAAGATACTCAACTGGAAGAGGGCTAATTTCAGTGAGTTAAAAAGGAATCTAGCCAAAGTGGACTGGAAAGAAAGATTGGCAGGTAAATCAGCTAACGAGCAATGGGAAGCCTTCAAGGCGGAGACATTTCAGGGACAGAACAAATACATTTCCACGAGGAGGAAAGGTAGGGTATCCAAACCTCCTGGGATGAATAAGGACATTGTGATTAAAATAAAACAGAAAAAGCCACCTTATGATAAATGTCAGATCCAAAATACAGCAGATAATCAAATAGAATATAGAAAGTACAGAGGAGAACTAAAAAAGGAAATGAGAGGGGCAAAGAGATTGTATGAGAAAAGATTAGCGGGAACATAAAAGGGAACCCCAAGATTTTTTATAAGCACATGAAGAATAAAAGGTTAGTCAAATGTAGGGTAGGTCCAATTAGGGACTAAAGAGGAAATCTTCGTGTGGAGGTAGAGGGCATACTTGATGTACTGAGTGAGTGCTTTGCATCTGTCTTCAAAAATGAAGAGGATGCAGACAAAGCCACAGTATCGGAGGAAAGGGTAGTGAAATTGGATAAGATAATAATAAACTGAGAGGAGATACTAAAACCGTCGTCGGTGCTCAAGGTAGATAAGTCACCCGGTCCGGACAGGATGCATCCTACGTTACTGAGGGAAGTAAGGGTGGAAATAATGGAGGCGCTAGCCACAATCTTTCAACCCTCTTTGGACACCGGGGTGTGCCAGAGGACTCAAGGGTTGCAAGTGTTACTCCCCTATATAAAAAAGGGCAGAAAAATAAACCCAGGAACTACAGTCAACCTAACGTCAGTAGTGGGAAAACTTCTCGAGACTATAATCTGGGACAAAATGAACTTTCACTTAGAAAAATGTGTTAATAAAGGACAGCCAACACGGATTTGTTAAAGGCAAAATCTAGCAAAGATCTAACAATCATCTACTTCATGAAGTAACTGAGAGGGTGGATGAAGGTAGTGCAGTTGGTGTAGTTTATATGGATTTTCTAAAGACGTTTGACAAAGTGCCACATAAAAGACTTGTAGGCAAAATAGAAGCCCATGGTATTAAAAGGACAGTGGTAGCATAGATACAGAAATGGCTGGGAGACAGAAATCAGACAGTAGTGGTGAACGGTTGTTTTTCTGACTGGAGGGAAATGTGCAGTGGTGTCCCCCAGGGGTCAGCATTGGGACCACTGCTGTTTTTGATCTATATAAATGACCTGGACTTGGATATAGGGAAT